GCTAATGTTTGTAATGTTTGAAATTCCTTGTGACGGCTTTTCTTTTCCTTTAGAAAATTGGGGCTTGTAAAGGGCATTTTAATGATCAAGCTTATTGCTATTAAACCCACACCATTTAATCTGATTTTATCTGCACATCTGCAACAAAACTTTAATTATCACTTCCCATTGCAGAACTACTTCCAGTCGATAGTAGTCTGGGTCAAAAGGACTTGCACGATGGAGAGACACTGATCAAAGAATTAGCCAAAACTATTGACTGAATATTCTAATTTCAGCTATGTTCAATTATTTAGTTGTTAAGTTAAACAGAGAAAGAAATTTATTTGTGTTATGCTAGTTGTAACAACAGTAACCTTAGGGAGATATTCTTGATCATTTCTGCTTCGGTCAGATGAGTACCTTGCTACACAATGCCTTAATGTTTTTGCTTTTTATAGTCAATAGACACTTGATTGATATCATAAAAACGTTCAGATTTAATCAAAAGTTTGTCATCAGTTAATCTAATTACTAGAAATAGCTCTTGCTAGTACTGGCCGCAAACAATTAGTTCCTTGATAATGATTGTTTTGAAAATTTAGGTCAGGATATTCGAAGAAGACACCATCTTGGGTTTTCACAATTTTATAAAAACAGCTGCTCTAGTTGATGCTAAACTATTCTTTTTATCAAGAATTTTTGGTGTCCAGTTTGCCTTTGATTCAAGTCCAACGCCCTTTTGAAAATCATGACGTTTTTCTAGGATTTGACATTTATTTTTCGTTTTCGTGAAGCAAAGACGTATGAAAATGGACACGTGATAGAACGGGTACAGCTAAAATAGATTGTGATAAAGGATTCGTACAGCGATGTACAGGAGATAATCACGACAATCATAACTTTTGCTCGTACGGTGTCGAGTTTTTGGGAGAAAGGTGTGGCATTCGACTGGTTTTGATTCCCAAAACTTCGAATCAAAACTTCCATCCATTGCAGAGAACCGAGCTGTGATGCAGCACCGTTTTCGTGCCAAAAAAACCGAAGGCCTTTAACAGAGTCTTGGCAGAGCAACGCTCCGAAGATAATTCCCTTCCGCACAAAGAGGTGGCGGTTAACGACCTCCTCGACAAAGCCGATTGATTGACAATGAAATTGATTGACAGTTGTCATGGCAGCAGAAAAGTGACAAAATCTGCTGACAAAGTGCTGACATTATGAACTGAAGCTTCCATATGCTACTTATACGCGGGGCAGACTATAAGCCCTTCACTCGCGCGCTATCGCGGGCAATCATTGTTTGATATCATGCAACATTGACAACAGAACTCCAGGGATGTTGAATATAATCTAGTAGCGGAGGCACTAATGTCAAAGAATATGCACAATCGTGCAAGTTTTTGAACAATGGCGGCTTTTAGGGTTGTCCTGGGGGGCCATGGTCCCAAGCCCCGCGCTTATAGGAGCCAGAAGGGGATCTACGCTTAATTAAAGGGCCTCGCACATGTTTTAGCCCCAGTTTTTAAAATCTCGGCTATTGTGCCACCAGTATAAAGCTTCGTACATCGCCCAACTTTTTGCACTGAATAATATAAGAACCAGGCCCATATTGAATTCTGTCCCTGAATGTTAGTTTTTGTCTAGGGTTCAGGGGCCTACTCTATTAAAAGGCATCGGCAGTGCTACAAGTAACGAAACGTAATTTTACACATTGAACACGATCCGTCTAAAAACTGTCCGAGAATGCTATTATTAGACTGGGGGTATTATTGATCCTAAACTATCGCACAATAACGAGACATTTAAGAAATTCAGCCTATGTAGATAGATTGATGCGCCAAAAATATACACAACAGAACCTAACTCTATATTGAAATTCTTAGGCTGTGTTACAGATAGCCTGCTATTCTTATCTCAAGCCTTTTTATTAAGAATTGCCATCGTACAGAGGCTTTTGCTGCAACAGCGTTTGTAAAATTCTGTCAAGCTGTAGGATTCCTTGAGATATAGAATAAACAGAGGGTTGTAATAAATAAGGAGTTCATGGGCAAGTCCGAGTTGTAAAATTATAATAAGCAGGGGCTGTTAATTAACGAGGGAAGTTGTCCTCTTCCGAAGAGAAATATTGTTGAATGTGATTGAAATGATTTCCAGTTTTAAATTTTAGTCGAGATTTTTTCTCCACAGAACAAGGAGATCGGAATAAAGAGTGGCATCAAATATATGGTGTATTTGATATCAAATATTAAGAGGCTATTAAAATAAATTGAAAAAAGGGTGGCATCATGATAGTCAGAGTAATTCGCAACCCATCACCCAACAACGGCTTCGCAGCCTTCATTGTTTTGATTTTGATCTCGTTATGATCATGGTGTTGTTGATGTTGCCTTGTTGTTCATTTGCTCTCGTTACATTATGTGCATAGGCTTTTGGTGCTTAAAGTTTTGACTTTTAAATGGCTGAACCTCCAATCGAAAAGCCACAGAAGATTAAAAGAAGAAGTAGAAGCATTCAAGCAAGTCGGAAGACATCTAGAGTCTATGAGCTTGCTGTGGCTGCCTTCAATGCAGCAAAATATGGTAACATAGACGACTTGAAACATGTCCTATCTCGAGAAAGTTGTCAAACAAGGGAAGAGTTTGGTTCATTGATAGAATCAAAAGACAAGGAGGGTAACACTTTGATCTTGAAGTGTATTCATGGTGCAGCTTCACGACAAGGAGAGGCACACAGCAACTTTGTAGAATGTGTACGTTTCCTGGTTTCCAACGGAGTAGATATAGACGCTCAAGATAGTGTTGGCAGGACGGCTCTGCATTGGTGTGTCCTCTATGGGCGTGCTGACTTTCTTGAAATTTTGCTTAAGGCCGGTGGTGATTTGATGCTTCTGGATGGGACTGGTCTAAGTCCTTTGCATCTCGCCATTGGCATTAGATCAGAGAAACTTAGATACAAATTTATCGACTTTATTTGCCAGTCGGCCCGAAAAGAGGTAGGGTTTAAATAAACAATCATGATTATCCTGTTTTCTAAGCTTTCCGTTACCCTATCCTCAGATAACATCCTGTATGGGCAATATGGCCTCATACTCACATAATCAATAATTTGGTCACCTAAATATGAAAACAGTGCCCCAGAGATTTCTCACGTTGACCCTAGGATGGCTAAACTGTACTGGATATCATCTCAGGTGGTGAGCAACAAAATGGAGAAAGTCTGTATCACCAACCATATCAAAATTCTTACTTACTGTATTTCCTCTAAAGAACTCTGTCTTCTGATAAATGCCGCACTCTATTGAAGTCCCCACCTTCAGCCAACCATTTGTAAAGAGCACTACCCCCTGATAAACACTGCCCTCTTTAAAACATCAATCTTGAAAAGCAGCGTTCATTAGAAAACATACCAAACAAGAAGCAACAAATAGTTTATACACTTGCTATTCAAAAGCCATGAAAATTGTTATGTCAAGGAGGGGAGGACTCTGGCAGAGTCAGGTATATTGACATTTCTTGACATTTGGATAATGTGAACACATCTTTTGTGAACTTTAGATAAATTGTTCACACAATCTTTATTACATGTTTTTGGGAAAAAGAAAACATTGTTTGAAGTCTGTTTTTATCTTTTTTCATGGTCCTTCTTGTTGTCATTTTTCATTTGATAAACTTTTATTTTATATTTAACACCCTACTTTGATAAACACCATCCTCTATTAAACACCACATCCAAAAAGCTGGATTTTGTAATAGACATGACAGCGGTCTTTAGAGGAAATACAGTATCCAAAGAAAAATGCCTTGTACAGCAACAATGAAAGCAGTAAATGCTTCATTGCAGTCTTCTCCTGCAACTGCAATTCTTTGATGAATGATTAGTGGGCTGTTTGGCTTAATTCTCCTAGAGATTTGTTTTGTATGCAAAGTCAATGCCTAAGCCAAAACCCGACTCATTTGCCTTGATTTTCCCACCAATGCGCAATGCATCACATCATGCCGCAATGCATCATGTCATATGAAATGTAAAACACCGTATTAAATTTGAAATGCCATATGAAATTTGAAACACAATACAAAATGAAAAGCCACTTGGAGTATAAAGTCATATGATAAGTAATGCCTCACAGATAGAATAAGCAGTGGGAATATGATGTGTTATCGAGAATTTAAAAAGCCACACAAAATGTTAGACTGTGGATTTGAATGCCATTAGAATAACATAATGTCATTAGAATTTTGTTAAAGACTATGTAAAGTGGGATGAATGGCATATGAAATCATTTAACACTTTACAAAAAGTACAATTGTAATATAGACACAAACAACACTCCATAGTAGTTGTGCTTAAATCCTTTTGCATCTTTTGTTCTTAATTTGATTTCTGCATTCCACTTTACCAGTAGAATCAACTTTTGTAGGAATTGCTTCTGACCAAAATTATGAAAGCATAAAAGAAGCATATTGATCAAATTGCTCTCATTTTCAAAGCTAGCTTTTGGCTGTTTTGCCATGCTGATGTCTTGTTGTTTAGTTTCTTTAGCATTCTATCTTGATAGCCATTAGTGTGTCAGATTTAACCTTAAAGACTCATTGCTAACATTGGGCCTTTGCGAGCGTGGCGATGGTCCAAACAATGACAGTAATTTTCTACGGATTAACCAATATTGATTTTAGACAGTCTCAAAATGCATTATCAGGCCTTGCCCGGAAAGGCGCTCGATCGAGCGCGCGCGCCTAGAGCGCACCCAAAAGAAGCCTTGGAGAGCGATTTATAGAGCCCCTCAAAACGTAAAAACAATATTACCACGGAGCAAAATAAATTTTTGGAATTTGTTGAATCAACTTGATCAAGCATAAACAATCTTCCCAACAGACCGCAATATTATGATTTGCGTAAGATTACCCCTTGAGAAAAAAATTCAGCAAATTCAACATTGGGTTTTCGATACCATTTTTAATCTAATAACCCTCTAATAACCACCAAGGACACAGGCCATCAAGTGTATTCTCTGGCAGATTTATTTGATTTTTCGAGCAAGCGTTAATCTTCTATTGAAGTATTATTTTCTGTTTTTCTTAATAATTTAAAATCACCTTGGCAAATCAGAGATCACATTTCCGTCCAAATTATCGCATTGCTTTTCGGTTTTCATTTGCTTTCGCGAGTAGCAGATGTTCTAGTGTGCCTTATAGAATGGATAGCATAAAAAGGGAAACAAAGTTAATGTTCGACTTAAACCCATGTGTTTTCCTATATTTCTATATTTGTATTAACATAGTGTTTGCTGCATGTTTTATTATTTTATATTATGGTGCTTTTTGGTATCAAGATTGAATTTCTTATTTAACACTCTTCCAAAGCTTTCGATATGAAGCTCTCGATCTTCCAAAGCTCTTGAAGGATGCTCTCAATGATTTTATTTAAAGGTGCGAAATAGAGCGCCTAGAGTTTCTATGGGGCTCTTTTTATGGAGCACCTTCATTTTGCTTAGAGCAAGGCCTGCATTATGGGATGCTTACGTAGCACAATGGCTCATTGTTAGCAATGAGTCTTTAAGCATTTGATGTCTTTGTCAAAAAAGTATGTTTTTGCTACTTGTTTACATTTGTTCTTTTTAGGTTATAGATGGTACTGATGGTCACAACAGAACCCCACTGTACCTTGCACTAAGTGTTTCGGCTTTTGAAACCTTTGAGCTGCTGCTAGCTGCTAAATCAGATCCAAATGGTGCTGGCCCTGATATGCGAAGAATCATTGTACATTCTATTGAGAAAGGACTTGGGAAGTTTACAGAATTACTGCTAAAGGCAAGTTGTTTCTTTATAAAAAGATTTTGCTTTGTTTGCATTAAACATACAATTATACTCTTCTGTGTTACTGGTATGGGTGTGAGTCTTGCATCATTATCATCACCATCATTGTCATCATCAGCATTATTTTGTACAGACTACCAAACAAGCATCTGAAGTATGGTTTTGCTCACTTACCTATAAGTGAAGTAAAGAATAAGCAATTTCATTACCTGTCACCAAGAGTCTTTCTATTGCTGGAGACAATTATGCAGTCTAGATTGTTTACTTGTGAAAACTGGTTGGTAGTATTCAATATATTTTGTATCTTTTAGCATGGAGCTTCACTGTCAACAAAAGACCCTGATGGCTTCACTACTATACATCTAGCTGCCTGTCAAGAAAATCCAGAAAGCATTTATATTTTGACGAAGACAGTCAATAAGACTCTGTTGAATGTTAAAGACAAGTTGGGGAGGACTCCACTTATATATGCTTGCTTGATGGGCTTTGATAAGAATGTAGAGCTGTTGCTTGCTCAGAAGGTAACACACCTCTGAATCACCTCTGAATCAAGACTTAAAATCACTGTGGATTAAGAGTCATTGCTTTGTGACTAATTGATCAAAACAGCCCTCCAATGATATAGCAGTGGCAAAGAGAATTGTATACTTAGCATTAGGTTTCCTGCTGTATTTATGCACCAGTTATAAACCATTGTCTTCTTATATTGATTTATGAAGTCATGTTATCAGTGAACTTTATGTGTCTGATCTTTTCATCTTTCAAGCTAAGCAAAGAAATGCTAATGCTAAATATAATAGAAGTGAAAACAGTTCTTCTACCTTACAGATTTGGACTTTGGATCAAGACAATGAAGGAAAAACAGCTTTACATCACACTGTAAACAACACACATTGTGGTTGTGTTGACTTATTATGCAAAGAGAATAAGAAAATTATTCACATTGTTGATGAAGAAGGGCATACTGCAGCACATGATGCTGTTATTGCTGGAAATGTGACGGTTTTAAGTGCTCTGTTGCAAAATGGCTGTGATGTTGCTACCAAGGATCTTACAGGACATTCACTAATGCATTGGGCTACTGGTAAATTGACTTGGAGTAAAATTCGAATTTTTTCAGGACAAGCTTGAGCTTTTCATTGTTTCTCCTTTGGGGAATTTCAACTTTTGATATGTACTTTGAGCGTTGTTTATGTGTGTAAGTTATGGATGTTACATCCATTATTTCATTTGTTTGCTGTTCATGTACAATTTTCACAAATGTGTTTACTTTGCCAATAATTTTAATGTCAAAACTTCTGTTCAAAACAGCTTATGCCACCTTGGGATGTTTTCAGAAGTTGCTTGAATTCAAAGTGCCACTTGATGAGGTGGATGGTCATGGTGCCACTCCATTGCATTATGGATGTCAAATTGATGAAAGTGACAAATTGAATGATGAAAGATGTGAAATTGTTAGAACCCTCCTTCACAGAGGTGTCAGTATGAACGCAGGTGATTCTGAAGGAAGGAAGCCAATTCACTGGGCAGCATCATCAGGTGATTGTGATGGAGCTTGATGTTTCATTTTCAATTGAACTTTCTGGAACCTGTACCTAAGTGCGCCCTAAGGGGGCTTTGCGAGGCCTGTCACTACCCTTTTTGCTTCTTGCCCCCACCATTACCATGTATACCAACACCCTTTGAATAACACAACACATATCCTAATAACAGCACAGGGAAATGCAAAATTTTGAAGTCCAGCCATTTTATTTGGAATCTGGCAACTGGGAAGTTCAAAAAGGAGCGAAAAACAATAGCTGACGAATAGCTTTCTAGAAGATACCCATGCAATTGAAGAATACAGTACTGTTCAAGAACTTGCCTTTACCAACAGTTATAAACTAAAAACTTTGATCTTTATTTTGCAGTTTTTTTACGCATTATAAGCATTCAAAGTATTTATTGATTGAAAAAGTAACTTATTACCTCCGTTTTAAGTTAGCAAATTTAGCCCACATATCAACTCACTTTCTATTTCACTATGAAATGTGGAAAATTTCGCCTAACAAAGATCATAAATCGCTTAAGTTTAGGCTAAAAGCACATGCACTTATATCCTAGGAGATATCCACAACTACCCCAATCTCAAACTGATGTATTCGATTTCAGGCTCTTGCGCATGGTGTTCTTGGCATTTTGAATTATAATTGTGAATTTTATTGTTACATTTTCGATTTCCCATTAACTAATTATATGAACTCAAAACCACTAAAAAGTTCCAATTGCTCTGCAATATTTTGTAACGAAACTTCATTTGCTGTGGTTTGGTAAAATTTTTGTTATTTCTCAATTGCAGGTAATGTGGAAATTTTGAAAATTCTTCTTGAAAATGGAGATGATCCCAACGCAAGAACATCTTCCGAGCTAATGACACCATTGCATTTAGTTGCTCTCCAGGGTCTAGAAAGTGCTGCTGATTTCCTTATCAATCAATATTCAACACGACCTGTTGAAGTTGATCCACATGATCAGCGAAATTGCACCCCCTTGTTTTATGCCTGTTCTGCAGGACACGCAAGGGTTGCTGGGATGTTACTGCAGTCTGGAGCTGATCCGAATTTGGTCAATGATCTAGGAGAAAGGTGAGCTTAGTCTTAGCTTACTCAAACGCAAGAAAATTTCTCTTCTAACGTTATTGTTATCTTAATGCTCTGCACCATTTTGCTCGATAAATAGAATGCTAAAATGCTTGGTTTATGAATAGTTACAACACAATTTAATGCTGTTGGCTGAGGATTGTTGCACAAAATTCTGCACTGTATCTTTAATATCGAATCTATTTTTTGTGAATCTTACAATGTTTATTTCTTTTAACTAACTCCTTCGTCTGTAATATCCTAAATGAGCTGGATAGTGGAGAGTAATAAGCTTGTTATCATATATAATCTATTTCCGCCGCCATTGCTCTTGCAACGGAGTCTTGCATTGAGCCAGTGACGCTGTGAAAGTTGGACAATTTGAGCCTTTCCTTTCTAGTTTATATTCCCTTTTTATTTCCTATAGGTTAAATATCCGATTTTGCGATCTTCCTACGTCCTCACAATTTCCACCACTGAGCCAGTATTTTTCTTCTTGTTATCCTTGCATTTTCATTTTCTATCCTTTAGTCCAAGCCATAGTGCCTCGCTGACAGGTTCACTTGAGTGTTTGCGCTTGCTTTTCGCTGCTGGTGCGAATATGACAGTGCATAACAACGAAAAGGACACGCCCCTTCATGAGGCTGCAAGTGCTGGAAAAGAAGGTCACTATTCAATCTTTCAAAGCATTGTACTGCGATTTGTTTATTTTTCTGTTATTATTTAGAATTTGTCAATCAGTATAGCCGTATTTCTGCAGCAGTTAAGTTTTACGTTGGTTTTCCAAGTGTGAGCAGTTGTCCTTTTCAGGGAAAAATGAAAAGAGACGAATTGATTTGTTGGCACTATAATGTCACAATGCTCGGTTTCAGTTCACCGTGAATGGCTTGCTTTCTTAACGATTATTATGTATCTAAAGTATCTTCAAAACGCTGCATCAAAATAAATAGTATAATTTTTGTGTGCATGTGAATCAATTTCATACCATGATTCTAAGTGTGTTAGTTTGATTGTATTCTTTTTGATCGGTGCTTTGTCTTCCGGCCATTCCCTAAAATATCTTTCTAAAAATTACCTAATCTTACACGACGACTGTTTTATAGTATATTCTTTACTGAGAGGATGCTTTTGCATTATTTCCATTCAAAACTTTGAGTAGATTTTGCTGCCTCTCTTTCGTAGATTGTGTGAATTTTCTGCTGCAGTGTGGCTGCCCAGCAACTGTCAAAAACACAAACGGTGCCACCCCTTTGCATTATTCGGTTGCAGAAGGCTACTTCCAAATCACCAAAGCGCTCCTAGAGAGCGGTGCCAGCCCAAATTCCTTGGTTACAACTAACGAGGTATTTTTTTTATTGCTGTGACTAACAGCTCTACCATTATAAACTGGTTGCTAAATTGATCTAAAACAGGATAGTAATATAGACATAGGCGTCCCTTTCAGTCCTCTAAACATGGCTGCAGTGTTACAATTTAGACCAAATAATGCTGTAAGATGCTGGGAGGGAAAGCATGCATGGAACCAGGGGCGAAAATACCGGGGGTGTGGGGGTGTGAAACCCCCCCCCCCCCCCCTCAATCTAAAAAATAGTCGGTTACGCCTCGAAGAAACGCCACCTTTGAAGTTTGTAAAGGACCGTTTAGGAATTTTGAAATGGATATATCGTATTTGATATGAACCTCCCTTCTTGACATTGCATTTAAGCGAACGGAACAGGTATGTCAGGAAGAGCTAAGTTGTTAGCAAAGCGAAAGCTTTTCTTACCGAAAGTCGTAGCCAATGGATGCAATGATGATTGATGCATATGTTTATGAGGGCAAGGTTGAGTCCATTCAAGTTAATTCAAGCTGTAAATGATTTTCATGACAGGCACAGCGCCACTGGGGGGCTAGGAGGCTGAAGCGTTTTTAGCATTTTTGCTATTAATTTTTAAAGCAGTGTATGAAATAAACAAAGAAACTGTTAAGATTCCGATTTTGTTTGATCTAATTATTAACTTATTCACGTAAACACTCATTTGTCGCGCCGTCCACATCTAGCCTGAGTTCCAGACACCCCCCCCCCAATTTCCAGCTCAGGCTATCCACATCATGTACAAAAAATCATATGCCATGAGATACAAGCTTTATTACGAAGGAAAATCAAATTTGACATTTAATTTGCGCTTACATGGAGAAATAGATATTTCATAGGCAATCAAGTTTCAAGTTTGTTTCAAGACAAATATACACCGGTAAAGCTTTCCCTAGTAACCTTCAGACAAACCTTTGCTTCGAGGTCTGCAAGGCACCACTCAGTTTTGCAGGGCAGAGGGCATTGACCAAGTTACGCCCCTGCACGGAGCTTTGTTTAATGTCAAATAGCTTCCTGTTGACATTTTGGATACTGTACGAATATATTCCCTTCGGATAAAGATGGTTTCGTGCATCTCGTGTTCTGGCCATAAACCTATCAGCTCTTTATCGACACGAATGGGTGTTATTTATTTTTGCTGCAGTTATTTATTGCATTTATTCGCTAGTTTCTTGTTATTAGCAACCTGATAAACTAATTATGAAGTTTTTCATCATTAATATTTTAGAATCAGGCTTATATTTCTCTGTCCTTTCTTGTACCACTAAGCAAGAAATCCTTTTTTATCTGAAAGTCTCATTTATCAGTACGACGTGTTACTTTATCAAAATCAAAATTCATCTTGTTTTTGTAATAGACCGACTTCGTGACACCATTGGACATAGCATTAGGGAATAGCGACCACGAGCAAATTCAGCTTTTGCAGAGTTTTGGCGCAAGGACAGGGCACAGCATTGTAGACAATTCGGCATTGGTGATTCAGCATCGATGGAGGATCTTCAAGCGCAGGTTCAGTAATGTAGACTCCATATATAGATCGAATCTCAGTGATAGTGTCAGTAGTTATGAAAGACGGGAAGGTCCCAAACTAGAGACTAGCGAATTTAGCACCAATCTGAGAATTAAAGACCATTCAGAACTCAGATCCCATGCTTTTGACGGTGAAGAGATGGTTGGGAATAAAGTTTCTGAGCATCTTTCTTCTGTTGACGAAAACGTTACCGCTGAGCGTGATGGTTTGGTCAAGGAGCAACCCGTAAAGCGCCAAAATCATTTAACAACCGTAAAAGAAAATTCGGTGTCTTGTGGAAGTCCGGATTCATCAGAGGCAGATTTCCAGATTGAAGAGGATCCTTTCTGTGATATAGATGCTGTGAATGAAATGAAGAAATTGGTAAAGGAGAGAATCGCTTCAAATGTGAGTAAAGATTTATCATTTACTACTTTTTTCTTTTGTTTTAGATCCCTTTTGAGATCCAGTCAAGCTATTGAGAAGTTTTCAGACAATATACACAAAGGCCACTTTCTCTATATAACCATGTTGCTATTCATTACAATTTATAAACTGTATTAAGCTCCGGCAAAATGAATGGATATTTGCACTGGTCATGCACCGGTCATTGCCCACTTTGATCAGTGTGTGGACATCCAGAAAGTTTAAGTGGCGGCAAAACGACTGAACAATGTCCAGTGAACTTTTGCCCTGTTGAAGAATGACTATTATTGAAGAATGTTTAGGCATGCTAGGTTCATCATAATCACCGTATTTGTGCTCTCTGCCATCGCTTTCCTCTTTGGAACTAAAACTGCTCTTTTCAAAAGACTCATCATTACTGATGAAATGCTTTTTCCTGCTTATCGTCGAATTAAATGGGAAATAATATCGCGCCAAATCCATTCTATTACATCAATTGCGCATGCGCGAACTGGACAATGACTGGACATTTGATATCCAGAAAGTTTTAGTGGCGGCAAAACGACTGGACATTTCTCTACAATATCTATGAACAAAAGAAGTTTTATCATGTCCACTGAACATTTTTGGTTTCCTTAAAAGTCGACTGAACAACGCTCAACATCGCTGAACAAGACTGGACAAGGTGGCAAAACGACGCAAAATTTACGCGGAATAGTGTCAGGTTCAGTGGCAGTATCCAGTCGTTTTGGCGTAGCTTTATGCTCCATTAATCATTTGCTTGTCTTTTTCCACTCCAATATTTTTTCTTTATCTTAACTTTTGTATGACAACATATGTTGTCTTCTCTCTCATAAACCATGTTCGTTAATTTCGAGTGGATCTAATGTTCTTATGGTGATGCTACAATATTTCAATATTTTTGGCGATGCGTCAATGTTTTGGGTTTTTTCCACCTTTTTATCCACAGTTAGCAGAATGTTTAAAACAAGACAACATATTTTGTTAAAAATAGACGCAGATTTACAAATCCATAATTCATCTTGTCAAAACACTCTACACTTGGCGTAAACAAATGTGTCTAAATTTACCTGATATAAATATTTCTTCTATGGAACTGCTATTTTGTTTATCTTTGGGGTGATCATTCTCGACATATACACTAGACGTCTTTGGCAATGAATTATCGATTGTCTTTTTTTAGCGAACTGAGCTCAGCAGATCGGACCAGTTGCGGGTGAGGCTTCAGCAGCTGAGAAGCAAGTTGAGCAACGTTGTGGAGGTAGTAATGCCAGACTTAACTTAAAGAAGCAATTTACCGATTTAATGACGAAGATTGATTTTATAAGCGCTTAAAAGCCTACTGCTCGTTTTCCATTTTTAGTTTTTCATAATCCATTTTAAATCTGCATTTTCTGTTGCAAAACCCCTTCGGTGTCGACATGGTGCTAAATGATGCTGTTTCCTTTAGGATATTAATAATATAGCGTCAAGTAAAGAATTTCAAATAATAGCCCGTCACAATGAAAGAATCTCAAGGCAACAACAGCAGCAACACATTCCTCCGACGTGCAGACTTCCGAGGGTCTCCCCTTCATCTCAAAAGAGGTAAGGAATCTAGTATCTAGTATTTTTGTTCTAACTCAACCCAATATCACTTTATATCATTTTATCGGATTTATCTCCCATAGTTGTTACAGTAATTTAACAACTTCAAGTTGGCGTTCCTTCTCTAATGAAATAACCCAAATGTAATAATTCTGCCACGAGCCTATCTTGTAAAGAGACCGAAGCTTAGAAACCGAGAGATTTTTTCGTATACATTTATTATGTTATTATTCTATTTCACATATAGAAAAAGAATAAGTTTCCAAAATTTCACAGAATGTATTTAATGAAATCAACACATCGTATGGTTTTTGTTATCAACTAGCAATATGTTGGGAAGATAAACAAGTCAGTTGTATAGGCGAAAGAAGCCATTCTAGCCCCAGTGGTTGTTTTAGTTTTTTGTTGCCATGGGAATGAAACGGAAATGTTACTATGCCAACTGCCTCGGGTGGTTCGGTATTCGTCATTGAAGGTATATCGTTTGAAGCCTGAACCACTCATTCAATCTTATACAGTTTTGGAATAATAGAATCGCAGGTAAGCCAGCTGAAACGTCGAGATGTTTTGAAACTTGCAGCTCTAGTTTGAAAAACAATTTTTTAATGCAGCCGCTTTTTCTAGAAATATTTGAAACCAGCAGACTTATTTCATTTCCGATGCTATAATGAAAATGCGAAAATGGTTCCTTTTTGAATGGAAAGATTGAAATGTGTTGAGTGAAATTTGATTTCCATTAATAATTGATATGATAGTAGGGGTACAAATGATGAGGAGTAGATAAGGAGCGCTTGTCGTATGCTGGTATGTGCTCCTCCACTGCTTAAAGACTGAACTCCCACATACTCATGTTTTTGTCCTATCTTGGATAACACGTGCCTCGAACTGTATTCATCAGCTTCTGCAACAGCAACAGCCTAAAGTCGCTGCTTTCTAAGCATTTAACAAATTCGATTAAGAATCCGCCGTTTTATCAGCTGCTGGGCACCCGAGTGAGTATTGTGTCTTTCATTACAATCCAGGAAGAATAACAACCTTACATTTGCTGGTAATAAGTGTTACGTTTTTCGATAAAAGCAGTTTGCTTGATAGTTTTCTTCTTAATTGTCTTCGATTCCCCTATCTTTTCAAGGCTGGCTTACTCGATATCTATTACAAACCTTAGTAGCTATACTCCTTCAATATAATGTTTAAAGACTTCTAAGAAGACTAGATTTGCATTTTTGAGCTACTGATGTTTTATTTGTTTAACTTTTTTGTTTAAAACACCATTGTGTCTACATTTAAGCTAAAAAAGGTGAATAAATAACACTGTTTTCACTTTCTTGTTCTGTTAAGCCAACGTATTTTCCTGTTTTCTTCCTCCTCCCTAGGTGTACTTTCCTGTTAATAACCTTCGCTTGACGTATTGCCCAGTTCCTCGCCCTCTTTTATGGACGTATTTTCCTATTTTTAACCCTCGTTCTTTGACGTATTTCCCTGTTTTTAACCGTATTCTCTTAGTGTATTGAGTCCCTTTTCACGACGTATTAATCTGCTCTTAACCCTCTTTTCCGGACATATTACCCTGTTTCCAACTAACACGGACTTTTTGACTCCCACATGAACAGTTGTGAGTTCCATTCAATTATTTATTCTATTTTCATAATCCACTGTCGCGCCAAATAATGTTTCATCTGGTTTTGGTTTCCTGCAAATTTTTTGCAAAGCTGTACATTTGTGGGTGATTTATATTTTCAGAATATGTTTAAAAATTCTGGATGCTCAATTGTTTTCTTTAAACTAATTAAGTATTAATTCGATTAAAATTCATGACCTGCCCAGTATTTGATCTGAACAGAAAACACGATTTATATCTAGATGTTTGTGATTCACCATTCTTATTAAAAATCAATTTAACTTTTTGTAGGTAACGCTGGGATGGAAATTTTTAGGCCTAAAACGCCAAGGTCCACCGCTGTGGAGGATACCCTGGAGCGCATCACAAAGCACAGTGGGGTGACCACAGTAATCGTTTTAAGCGAAGATGATCTGCCAATCATGTCTAATGCCGATGGGACAGCAACCATGGCATATGCTAATGTCAGCCGACCCTTGGAACTGATGGCCCGTGCCACAATTAGGGACATTGACCCGACAAATGAATTAGTCGCTATTCGTATGAGAACAAAGAAGAATGAGATTATCTTGGCACCCCAAGACAACAAACTGCTCGTCGTCGCACAGTCTCTGGTTCCTAAAGATGAGCAAGATTGATTCAAGACTCCTAAAGATGAGCAAGATTAGTTCAAAAGACAAGTGTGAATGCTGGAAACAGCAAAAATATTCGATGATGCACGATTGTATAGTAGACCAAAGACCAATGTTGAATTTGAAACCAAATATAAGTGTGTAAATGGACACAGAAATATAAATATATATATTTATATATATAGAGGTAGATTATTGATAGAGGTAAATTGTTGTACATCGTGAGAATAAGATTCTCGTTTCTTATCTTTTAGTAATTAATTAAAATTGTCTGATGACCAGGTTTGTAAAGTTAAAGATCACAGTCTTCCTGGACTTCAATTTTTGCTTTTCCTTTAGCTATCTCCAGTATACGGACGTTATTTAATCGCTTTGCTTCAGTTTTATCTTTTTGTTTTGCATCAGAAACGAGCTGCAATCAAGAATGAAGATATAAGTGAGATGAATAGCTCTTGAAGAAGAATACTTCAGGAAATTGGCCTCTTGCAAAAGCGCTTGTATTTTTAAAATAAGTAGTGTGATTTATTCTGGGTAGCCTTTTACATGTAGATTAGAAGGGGTGCAAAGGTCGTTTCAGAAATGGTAATAGTGAGCAAATAGTTTGAGCTATAATTGCTTCATTTCATTGTCAGGTGACTCAGTTTTGTTAAAGCTATTAGAGGTACATTTTCCAACTGAAAACCGAAGAGCCAAGCCACCATTCTCTTTCTTCGTTTCATGTCTCATAATCACTTTTGTCATAAACTGTTTGCCGAGCACAACATTTTATCAGGTATGTTTATTCCCTTAACGAATTACTGTGAAATCCATGTTTTTGACCAAATCTCTATGTTTTTCTTTAGGAAAAATCTAAAATCTCCAGGTTTTGAAAATTTAAGGTTGACAGGTCTGTAAACCTTGTGCTGCTTTGTCCTTCTGAACCCTGCTCTTCTTTGCCCTTCGATCTGAATCAAGCAGAATTTAGGAAATAATGACATGAATTAAACAGATGCATGGATATTTTCGGCTCGCACATATTTGATTTATGTATGATCATATTTGATCATTTCGTCATTATAGAATATAACTACCTTGATGTAGAGATTTTTAGGGACAATATGGAGCTCACAACAACAACTCTTATCCACTGTGTTTGTTAACACCTATTTCTGCTTCAAGATTGAGGCACGTGCCCACCCCTCCCCCAGCGACCAGAAATCAGGGCGCCGGAGGCGATTCAATGTTCAAAGGGCCGCCAAAACCTGTTAAAAAGAAAGTGCACGAAAAGGCAACGATTGTCAAAGGGAAAGGCATTATCATTCAAGAAAGGCAACAAGGTCTCCGACGAAGTAACCATGACCCCACCGTTTTGCAAATTAATAGAGCTTTTATCAAAATCTTTTGTTATGAGTGTTAAGTTTTCCCTTGCCCCCTCCCCCCACTTTCGAGGGGGCAACGGAAAATTATTTGTTGTGTTGAAAATTTACCGACGAGGCACTCCTTTGGTTTCACAATTTTGATCAAAGTAACGTTTTGTAGTGCCTCAGCCTCAGCTTATTTTTTAATTCAAGGGGGGCTCTTGCACAAAATGTTGTGAAAAACACTAGACAAAGTAGAAGTTTGTCAATTTTTATATTAACAAGTATGGTTAAGCCCCCGAGCCCCCTAGCACTAGAACCCTGATTTATTCTTGAATTCTGATTAATCTTGAGACCCATGTACTCAAAAAGATGACAACAAATAAATTATTAGTAGCTAATGAGCAGTGGCGTAGATAGTAAAATTCATAGGAGGGACGAGAAATTTAAATTCTCCGACAAAAATCTAATGAGCATTTTATTTTTCATACATTCGAGCAAAACATAAAGACATAGGTACTAAAATAAATCAGGAGATAAACTCTCATGATTTTTTCAAAGTCTGGTTTCTTGAATTATACTACTTGAAGATTTTTCTGGTCTTCTCCTCTTAAAAAGAAGATTGCCAATCTGTTTCAGAGCAACGACATAAATTTTTATACTCGCCTTAGAAACCTTTCTGAGGACAACAAAATTATATATCCGACAAGATCAGAAATTTTTCCTACAAAGTAACGGTTTAGCTTTACTGGGAGGTTTTTGCCCGCTTTCACCCTCTCTTCTACGCAACTGCTTATTTTTCAGTCCGCTTTACCTGAAGTAGCTTCTGTATCGGTGTCGGTTCGTGCTGTTGAATTGCATTGCGCCATAGAAAGCGCAGTTGAATGCGCGCAATTTTCAAAACATATTTTCAAGGCGGTTAAAAAATAAATTTAAAAAAAAATCCTTCATCATGGAGGTAGACTTTGATACTTGCTTACGATCACTTAGGAACTCGTTCAACCAGTACAGAAATTATCCTTCTGAAGATTCCAGGAAAGACCTTGAGCGCGAAATCAATGTGAGTTATCTTTCCTTCCTACTTATAGACATCTTATTGGGCCTAGCCTACCGTAGCTTTATATGTTTCTTTAATGTTTTTTTTTATTCTTAGTATTAGTTGTAAAATTTATCACCAATGGCTTATTTTGATATTCATATGGTGTGGATTTTCTTTGTGACTCAAAACAGCTAGCTATACATATGTCTGTTTTAGAGTGTCACACGATGTCAACTTTTTATCTCATTTTTTAGGTAATTGTTGGTATTGCTAGCCACGGAGAACGCAATATATCAAGTCGCTTCAACCCCAGAAACTTACTGCATGCAGATGCGTTGTCTATATTCGTCACTCTTTTGAATGAAGTTAACCTGAAGGAATCGATTTTTGCAGCATCAATTTCATTATTGAATGAATTAGGTAAATTGAATTATTGTCCGTATGAGAGATAGCAATAATTAGCACGGTATTGCTTGTAACAAGCCGCGAAAGTCTTGCCAGAAGACTTCTTTCGCCCTCATTATTATACTTCTCATTTAAAACTCTTTTTTCATACATTTCTAGTAGTGTATCATTACCAAGACTTTACAAAAGTATATTGGAAATAAAAATAATCTTATTCATTGATAATGAATGAGGTAGTTTCTGTTTAAGTGGATACAGACACACTCAATTTTTTATAAGAAACAAATGTTGGCGTTGTGTACTCCAGTTTCTTAAAGCTTTTTAGGAAGTTTTGATACACTGTTTCTTCAGACGTTATTAGTTGTTCAAGGAAATTTTCCAATGGTACCTTGTTTTGGGAGAGCTTTTCCAGATGCAAACTATGAAATTCATCAATGATTCAAATGCTGATTACATTGCTGTCAACATATTTCATTCTGCTATTAGCTGAGGGACATTATTTGCTGTGCTTAAAGTTTGATAAAAAACGCTGGAAATTTTTTTTTCCAAAAAAAAGATTAGTTGATTGGTAACATTTGCTTGCAAGAAAACACAAATAAAGGTCAACTTAGTCAATTTGCCTTCATTGAAATTCAGTTACAACTAATTTTCATTTTAGCTGCATCATCTAAAATAAGACTGAGCCTTCAAGAGACATTTAATCTGCCTTCCACATTGTTCAATTTTATCATACAACACCAAACATCAAGTGATCTATCAATAATTTTGCAAGTATGACTTTCAATTATTTCTTGAAACTATTCATTTCATTTGAAGTAAATTAATCTAGCAATTTCCTCTTGCAAGCTACATCTGCAAATAGCAGCATGAATTTTCAGCACTTAACACTGCAAAAGTATCTTAACACTGCAAAAAAGTAAAAATTCTACATTCTGATCATATAATAGCTGATCATGACATCCAAAGAAGAATAAATGAAAAAAATATGAGATTATTCAATTTTATATCAAGAGAATAAACAAAGCTCATGCCATTTATCTGCCAGAGATCATATCTTTTTCACCTGTATTAATCCATGACGTTGTATGTTTTTTGCTTAGTGTCTTCAGCTTGTTCAACTAGTCACATATGGCATCAAAGTCCAACATTCACTTGGAGATTTGAATGGTTTAATAAAGTATCTCGTTTCAAAAGTGTAAGTTTCTAATTCTTTGTTCCTATGTTGTTATGACCATGCTCATGTAAGGTCTCTTAATTTTTTGTAAGATTAGCTTGCCAAATTTATCAATATCTCAGATTATTAGTCAAGTTTAACATCTTCTGTTTTTTCCACAGTATGGCACCTGAATCGGTACTGACAACTCATTGTTTGGGATCTTTGACAAATCTCTGTAGGAATAATTTCCTTGTTCAAGACCATTTAAAGAAGCTGGTAAGTTTGTCAACTTTATATTAAAAGGTACATTGTCAGATGTCTCTCTTTATCTCATCTTGTATATTAGAGATATTTCATCTCATTTTGAGGCTGGAAAAAAAGTTTATTTTATAGAATGTGTTTTCCATTTTAGGGAAATGTCAAAGGCTTTTTTAGAAGTGTTGCTTCATTCTTGTCTCATTCAAATTGGATGAACATAATCTATGCACTCTCAATTTTGTCAATCTGCACCGATGAGCCTCTTGGTGAAAAGGTATATCATGATTTTACTCTGTTCTATTGCAACGAACCAAATATGATATTAAGAAGCTGAGATTGAATTGTTGCACATTCAATCATTATAATCACATGGTAATACATGCCAGAGCTCCAGGTTTGAACCCGGCTCACAGACGACCCTCAGTTCACTTAGCTGAAAATGAGTACCTAGTTGAAACATACTAGGGAGGTAAAAGCGGAGTGAAAAGGAACTGGCCACGCTACCACACAATGCCGTTACCCAGGACTGTGCACCCCCAACAGCACATTCCCAACAGCGCATTCCCAACAGCGCATTCCCAACAGCACATTCCCAACAGCACATTCCCAACAGCGCATTCCCAACAGCGCATTCCCAACAGCACATTCCCAACAGCACATTCCCAACAGCGCATTCCCAACAGCGCATTCCCCAGTGTTTGATATTGAATAGAAGACTAACCCTTACATTTTATGAGCATTTTAGTATCAAATCTAATTCAGTCTTGGTATATATATTTTATATATTTTATATCCAATTTTCAAAATTTTCTTTTGAAAATTGCAATATAGGTTTAGGAATGTAGTTTAGAATTGTGCAGTAGAAATTATGTGAAAAAAAGGCAAAGCCTCTGAAAATTGCACTCTTTTTTATTTTTACTTTTGGTGCAAAGCCAAACCAGACTTATAACTTATATGTAACAAACTTATAACCCTATATAAAGAACCAGATGCAATACAAGGCTGCCAGACTCCCTGATTTGTTGCAAGAACAACTGTCAGAATTTGCTGTTCTGTAATTCCCTAACTTTGCCCTCATGTTGTGCTCATGTTGTCATTCTATCATTCTTTACAAGGTTTTCAACAAGAATAATATTGATCAAACATTTGCATTGACATTCAATGTACTCTTGAAAGGAGAGAGTGTCAACATGCAGAAATATGCCTGTGATCTGCTAAACGACTTGATGCAAAGCACAAGAATGCAGAAGTATTTAGCCAACTATACTGATCTTCAAATTCACATGAAAGAATTAGCACTGAAGCTCAAAGCTGTTGATGAAGAACTAGTTGAGAAGATTCTACAATTGCTCATAAGCATGAAGAGCATTCGTGGCCTCTTAGAAAAGTTGTATTTTGGGCATGATGTGAACGGCCAAGGAAAGGCTGGTCATGAAAATTGTAATGATAAGGACGGTACTAACAGCTGTATGTCAGTAGTTTTAGAACTGTGTGGAAGGCTTCTTGCAAAAAGACACCCCCTTGCATCATTGGCGCTGAGGTTCCTCAAGCATCTGTACCAGGTCATTATATCTTCTTCTTCAAATTTGTAGTCTTGGTTGTAAACAATTCATGACATTAAACTAAATGTGACTATAAAGCTGTCTTTTGAAGTTTTCTTCAAGATGTTATTAAGGTCTCAGTTTACAGACGATCGATTTGCAAGAGTTCTGGAAACTCAATAATGGGTTGGGGGGCTGGTGGTTATAAACATGAAGCAGACAGCTAGGGACAACGCTGCAGATTTTGCTGCCAATGAAAGACGTTTTTTAGGTAGTTTAGCAGCCCGGTGTTGCTTTACAATTTTTGGCATTTATAGATCAATAAAACCCAGCCTTTACAGTCACTTAACCAACTAATCATTCTCCATTTAACCAAGCATTGAGGATAACATGAAATTGTCTCGTTGTTGTGAAGAGATATAAGGCAACACAATGTTTGCGTCCATTCCAGGCCAATAGCCCCTCCATCCAATCTTCGTCGAAAGTAATTAGAATGCTTGCACGACATCTTTATTTACTGGAAGAAGAAGAAAACTACCCGAGCGTGCAAGAAAGATACGAGAACATCCGAAGAAGTATTGAGATTCTGATGATTTTTTGCTGCGAAGAGAGGCTTACCGGTGCTGTTACTGAGTCAATCTCGTGCGAATCGATTTGCCGATTTATTGAAATTATTTTTGATCGATTTGCAACAGAGCTGAGCTCACCGAGGAGTATAAGCTGCGAACACAGGTATTAAGAAAATTCTTTCACATACTTTTCACTTTAACAATTTTCGTAATTAACATAGTCGTTTGATTTTTAGATTGTTGCTTACGGTTTCCAAACAAAGCAAATAAATTATCCTCTTAAATACTTTTAGACACGGTACTTTTGTGTTTTTTTCTTGCATCTGTCTGTAATCAATTTATAATATGATAAAAAGTGTACATTTACAAAACAGTAAACTAGCTGGTTAAAATAAAGCCATGGTGATTTGTTTGTGTCATTCTCTTCTTATGATGACGTCTTCTTATGATGTCATCTTCTTATGATGCCATCCTACTCTCATCTTTTTGGTATTTTTTTGATTTCTATTTTGGCAACCATGAAGATGTCCATGCCTGGCTTTTATTTAAAAAAAGACTTTCGTTGAGATATTTTTTCTACTCTCCTTTTGGTCAGCATTGACTCTATCACTTGTTTTATTTGACTCATTTCGCTGTGATATTAATTTTCGTCGCCATGATATTTTTTACGACTGACTTGCAGTTTCTCAGTGATGTTGAATTTCAATCTGACTTATCGTTATGCATTTTTTTCATCATATACAGAGAAGAGGTTTCGTCTGCAGTTATTGCCTTTATCGAGCTCATGTCCCTGGTCATAAAGTACACAAAGCAAGGACAGGTACAAATAATCCTTAACAGGATTAATTCTAATAGATACTTGCTCTTGTAATTTGCCTTAATGTGCCTAATTTGCCAGTTCTATTGCCTGCAGTTTTGTGACTTCCTCAACCTCAAATAATGTAATTTTTTCTATGCTGCAAAATCTTCAACCTTTGACATTTGGTTTATAAAGTACTTTTATAAAGTACTTCTTTATCTATATTTGTCTGATACATTTCTATTTCAAGTATTTATGTATTGAATCAGCCTTTGCTTTTTCAAGCATATTGTGGCATTGATTTGATTTTTATCATCGATTAGCGTTTTTTCTCTTCTCAGGAAGCTTACACTCGAATCCTGCAGTCTTCAAATTTGCCGCCATTCCTGGCATGTTGCCTAGCAAGCACCTCCACCGATTTAGTGAAACGCACCATGAAAATTGTCCAAACGTTGCTGAGCTTGTCAAAATCTTCTCCTGATTTGTACGTTTTCTTATCTTACTGCAGATAATTGATAATGAAATTTCCTGTTCATGTTGGTATCAACTTTAACAGGGTTCAAGAATCTATTCAAGCCTAGACCAATTATTTAACTGCCCGTTGAACCACACGATCCTCAATGTCAAAAGACAATACTTTTTAAAGCTCGATGCAATTCTTCTTTTTTCTCGACTTATGATTTTATGTGTAGTTCAAAAGATCGCTGTGGTTTCCAGGATCAAATCGTACGACTTCTTACCCTTATCTCACTTTTCTCTTTAGTTCTTAGAAATAATCAAATCGCATTCGCTGTCTTTAATCTTTCATCCATGGTTATGATCGATGGACATTATAAGACAGCTCTCTCACTGAATACAAATGTAAACCTTTTTTCCTTCTTAGACTGAGTACCCTCTTGGCATCTAACAACAAACAACGCGAAGAAATAACTGCTTTACTGAGAAAGCAGCAATCTATAGAGCCTGCTTACCATCCAAATGTGGCATCCTTTTCTGTAAATGAAATAGTAAGCAATTCGAGGCGAGATGGTGGAAAAAGTAAACAAGATGAACACGTTGATTCTATTTCTGCCCTGGCTGATCGAGTGTCGTCTGGTCTTGAGGTAGGGTACTTTAGTCCAGTACCTGTTTTTTATTCGTAGCAAATGATTCAGAAAATTAAAAAAATAGCACACCTAATATGCTAAAACTTAAACTAGGATTGGCCTAAGTCATTCATCCCAACTTCAAACTTTCATTTCAGTGTTACTTTTATCAAAGTCAGATATAGTTCATATACTTGAGGGGATAGAAGTGGTGCCATCCTAGGTTGAAAAAATTCATTCATGTGAATCTGATGAAGAAGAGTTGCCCAAAGACGTTTCATGCATTTTGCCACTCAAAAAAGTACCAATAATTCCCAACATCAACCATCAAGACCAACGAGATTAAGATTTTCCAGTACTTCACATCAGACTTAGATATAAGGTTGAAATTTAATCTTAACATCAAATTTAGAATATGTTGTTTTATTTTAGATTAAAGACTCAGCAAAGGTTTCTGAGATAATGGATATATACGAACACAAATTAGCAATAATTCAAGTAAGTAGCAAGTTGAATTTCTACTTTGCCACTCCTTGCAGTTTTAGAAATATTCCTACACGCCCAAGACCCGACGTGGGCATAACACAAAATATGAGAACGAAAGAAAGAAATTAAACTGAAGTTCAATAAACCGAATGTCAGTTCTTCTGATGTTCTTGATGTCAGTTCTTCTGATGTTCTTGATGTCATTTTTGTCTTTTCCCTTTATTGTCCTCCTTCCCATCATTTTCGACTTTGCACATGCATTACTGATTAATTTCCGCCACTCTACCCTATCAGTGGCAATGCCTCTCCACATGTCAAGAATTCCACCTCTTTCCAAAATATCTTTCATTGTATCTTTGAATCTCAGAAATGGACAACCATCTTTTCTGGTACCTTCAGAGAGTTCACCATCTAACGATTTTTGACTGGTCTCTCGTCTGGCATGCGAGCAACGTGACTAGGCCGGCGAAGTCAGTTTTAGCACGTTGTAACACTTCATTTGTGACAAAATAGTTCCATTTGATCTTAAGAATAAATCTAAGATGTCGCTGTTGTAGCGTTCTAAGCTTCTTGATATGATGACGATACAGAGTCCAAGATTCACTGCCATACCTGATGATAGGAATAACACATTGATTGTAGACCTCAAGCTTGGTTTCAGTTGCTAGATCCCTCTAGTTAAAAACTCTGTCCTTCAGCCTTTTTGCTACACATGCGGCAGCTTGAATGCGAGCCATGACTTCATCATCTAACTTGCAATGTTTGGTTACCCAGCTGCCGAAATATTTGAAGCGATCTACTCTTTCCAAAACTTTTCCATCAATGGAGAAATTTTCCTTCTCACCTACACTTATCGTTTTTGTTTTTTCGATGTTTACTCGGAGATCCATTTGTTTGGACAGCATATCATAAGGAGTTGAAAGAAGTTGTAGTCCTATAGCATCGTGACAGAAGATTGCGAAATCATCAGCATACTGAGCCTCACGAATGTAATTGCTAAATGGATTTTGATTTTAGGCGTTGCAGGTCGAAATGGTCACCGCCATATCTAAAACGAATTTCGATGTTATATAATAGATTGACGTTTTTAAAGGCAAGGTGCAATAGTGCTGCAGCGTAAATTCCAAAAGAGTCGGTGCGAGCTTGCACCCTGTTTTACTCCATTGTTGTATGCTATTGGATTAGAAAATTCTCCTTCAATAATAACTCTGGCATTGGCACCAGAATGCAATTTTAGGATTATACGAATAAATTTAGCGGGGCAGCCCAGTTTCTCCAAAATCTTGAAGAGCATATCACGATTCACACTATCATAAGCTTTAGTGAACACGATATGCAGATATGCAATGAACACGATATGCAGAACGGTTTTAGCGATGTGTAAACTTTGCTGTTTTTCTTTCACTCAAATGGATATGCTTATAATCAAGTAGGGGTAATATTTTGCAATAAGCTATTAGCATGATGTTCTCTCCCTGATAGGAAACTTGCAAAAAGGGAATATTTCATTGTGCGACTTAAGCACGCTTTCATTTTTGTTTATAAATGCTTACAATTTTGTTTATAAATGTTTGCATTTTTTTATAGGGAAAAGAGAGCCATTTGCAAGACCTTTTGGATGCCAAAACAGCAGCCCTTGCGCAGGCGGATCGTTACATCGCACAGTACCGGTGCAGGAGTGCGCAATCCGAAGCTGAGGTATTACGTGTATTGCTTTTGTGTTTTAGCGGGAAATTCAATCAGACTGTTTTCAAAAGATCTCAAATTAACCTACTTGTAGCATGACCTGCCTTTGATTTGCCTGTTATCATCTTTCTGCGAATCAACATTTAATTTACGCCGCTGTTTTTTCTCAAAACGAGATTGCTACATAAAATGTATTAGTAACGATTTTATAAGAGACTATTTAAACATGGCGCAAAAACTATTAAAATTGTAGCAAATGAATTCCGCATCATTTAATCACAAATTTGTTTTATTCGATAGTGCTTGAAACTCCGCTCCCTGTTGCTCGAGAGTCAAAAGACATCAGAAAGCCAATTCGAACAGGTAAACTACCCTCCTCTCTATTAAACGTATTTTGTTTCTGTTTTGTTTTGGCAAGAAAAAGGCAATGGCTAGTTGATTTGTAAATGTCATCGTTTCTCCGCACAAGGTTTGCCCATCTACACAGAACGGCACTTTGGTACCTGCAAATATATGTTCCGTTAGGTATTCAGCACCTTTAATTTTATGAAAGGCACAAAAGACACAGAAGACAGCAAATTTATTTTTACCTCCTAGATTATAATTTTGTTGTTCTTGCAGATCGATGTCTTTACCGTGGAAATGAAATCCTTGGAAACAAAGGTATTTAATTCTCAAAAGTTCTCTCTCATCATCCAACCATCATCGATTCTCTAATTACTTCCAGAATTATGTTTTCTATTTAGGCAGTTGATGCATTTTGCTTGATGTTTTGTTTGAAGGCTGTTCATTTGATAAGAAACTCTTTCTTTATTTGCGATGCAGATCGATTCACTTTATGATGAAAACAAAGCTTTAACGGAAATATCCACCGAACACCACCAACTAAAGCTTTCTCACAAAGAAGCCCTTGACAGGTAACATTAGCAGCCATTTTTATTTACAATCCTAACACGATAAAGTTTTGATTTTTGAGTAGACCTTGTTTGAATCCCAGTTTATTTTGCAAAAATTCAATCTGCTTTATTGCTAGACTGAATACAGTACGAAATGGCTTGATAGCTGCAGAGGAAGAACAAAAGAACATGACTGAAGCAAATGACATTTTGAAAAGGCAGTACGAAAATTTGAAGTCTCAACAAGAAAGGTAAGGAAACTAGCTACCGTATAACAATACTAAAACCTTGCTTATCACACCCCAGTCAGGCCATAAAGAAAGTAACTGCATCATGAACTCATCAATTAAAGATCACCTTCTGAATGGAAAAATTAACCCATTTTCAAGATGGTGAACTTTGCAGCTGCACCCTCCAGGTCCTTTGCAGCTGCACCCTCCAGCTCTTTTGTAGCAGCATCCTCCAGCTCTCTTGCAGCTGCACCCTCCAGCTTTTTTTTAGCTGCATCCTTCAGCTGTTTTGCAGCAGCATCCTCCAGCTCTTTTGCAGCTGCATCCTCCAGCTCCTTTGCAGCTGCACCCTCCAGCTCTATTGCAGCTGCACTCTCCAGCTCCTTTGCAGCTGCACCCTCCAGCTCTTTTGCAGCTGCACTCTCCAGGTCTCTTGCAGCTGCACCCTCCAGCTCTTTTTTAGCTGCATCCTTCAGCTGTTTTGCAGCAGCATCCTCCAGCTCTTTTGCAGCTGCATCCTCCAGGTCCTTTGCAGCTGCACCCTCCAGGTCCTTTGCAGCTGCACCCTTCCAGCTCTTTTGCAGCTGCACTCTCCAGCTCTCTTGCAGCTGCATCCTCCAGCTTCTTTGCAGCTGCACCCTCCAGCTCTTTTGCAGCTGCACTCTCCAGCTCGCTTGCAGCTGCACCCTCCAGCTCTTTTTTAGCTGCATCCTTCAGCTGTTTTGCAGCAGCATCCTCCAGCTCTTTTGCAGCTGCATCCTCCAGGTCCTTTGCAGCTGCACCCTCCAGGTCCTTTGCAGCTGCACTCTCCAGCTCCTTTGCAGCTGCACCCTCCAGCTCTTTTGCAGCAGCATCCTCCAGCTCTTTTGCAGCTGCACTTTCCAGCTCTCTTGCAGCTGCACCCTCCAGCACTTTTTTAGCTGTATCCTTCAGCTGTTTTGCAGCAGCATCCTCCAGCTTTTGCCGCAATGTCCTTCAATCCCTTTGCAGTTTCATCCTTCAATTCCTTTGCAGCTGCACCCTACCGCTCTTTTACGGCTGCACCCTCTAACCCTCTTGCAGCTGCACCTTCCAGCCCTTTTGCAGTTGCACCCTCCAACCCTCTTGTAGCTGCAACCTACCGTTCTTTTACGGCTGCACCCTCCAACCCTCTTGCAGCTGCACCCTCCAGCCCTTTTGCAGCTGCACCCTCCAGCCCTCTTGTAGCTGCAACCTCCAGCCCTTTTGTAGCTGCATCCTTCAGCTCTTTTGCAGCTGCACCCTACAGCTTCTTTGCAGCTGCGTCTCCCAGCTTTTTGCAGCTACTCTAGTGTTGCTAATAGACGGCCGCCCGTGTATTAATTTCAGAAGAATTTGCCCTCCCCCCTCGCTTATTAGCAGCCCCCTTCTATTAAATTTTACAAATCTGTCATGACCAGAACACGCAATTTTCACTTGTCAATAATTCCCCTTGTTATGTTATGTCGCTATTTTTTAATTGTCATAATTCTCCTTGTTGTGTTTGTCAATCTTTATCTCTAACCATCTATCCATTATCAAGTAACCAGTGTCACCATCCTACTAATTCCATTGCCTTTTAATTAAAAGATTTACCAACATCCATTCCTTCTATTAGCTCCCCTTTGCTATTGAAATTTGTTGACATTTCAATGAAAATCAGCCAACCTGAACACCCACCTCTATTAGCAACCCCCCTCTATTGAAAACTGGCCGACATAAACACCCCCTTCTATTAGCACCCCCTTCTATTAGCACCGCCCTTCTATTGAAAATTGGCCGTAATGAACACCCCCCCCCTTCTATTACCTCCCCCCTTCTATTAGAGACACTAAAGTACATCTTCCATTTTTTGTTGCTGCTTCGTGCAACTCTTTATCTTAAAAAGACTTTGTTATTTTGCTGTTTTATTATCTGTTCCTCTCAAGGCTGCCGAGAGCCATCTCCAGGTTCAGTGGCAGACCCAATGCTTTGCTCCTTGCCCCTTCTCACCCAAAGCAATAAACCTCAAATGCGTTAATATGAATTTAAATTGTATATATTTTTCCTATTTACTTTTAATTTATATTCGCTTGATCCTTCTATACTTTCACAGTAACAATTTGAAGCTGTGTGTATTTTACGTCCTGTAGGCATCCTTTTTTGAATGCTTTACACACCACTTCCCTGTATTAAGTTTGCTAAAGCTTTTCTTTCTTTTGTAAGCCATTTATATTTTTGGTGAATGCAAACCTCATTGATGGATGATATTTTTGTTTTCTTTCTTTGTCTTTTTTACAAACACTGTTTCAAACTGAAAAAAAGCAATTGTTTACAAGTTACAAATTTAGATTGATATTTCATCATTCCATATGTTTTGCTTTTCTGGTCTGCTTTTGATCTATAATGTCATTTTACTCATTTCCTCTAGTTCCTTGCTGCAGTTACGGAAATGCGAAGAGGAAAAGCAAAGCACAATTAAGATACTTCACGAAAAAGAGTCAAAACTTGATGGTAACCATCCCCATAGTCTTATTTTTATTTTAGAGTTAAACAGAGCGTTTTTGCTAAACCCTTTCTCAAAATTTTTGGATTAAAATTTATTTATTTGTCAAACTTTTGAAATCGCTTTTTCCACTCATTTACATTTGGATTCGTGGTTGATATTTGTTGACTGAATTGCAGTTTTTTCCTTTAACAATAGATGCAGTAAAGAAAACTATTCAATTTGAAGAGAGGATAAAATACCAAAATCAGGAATTACAAGATGGGGAAAAGAAAATGAAACAGGCCGCAGCTAAGTTGAAGGTTTTAGAAGAAGCAAATGGAGGTTTAACTGGGAAGGTATATTGAGTCAATGAACCCCATAGGCCATTCTCCATCTTTTTAGGCCATTCTCCATCTTTTTAGGCCATTCTCCATCTTTTTAGGTCATTCTCCATCTTTTTGGTAAGGTGTCCTGGATTGACCTTTTTGAATGCATTCGTAGATCTCCTACAAAATATGGAATACATAACAACATAATGATTAACGTTTTAACAACTTGAACAACTGCAAATTATGAAAATAAGACAGTAATTTGTTTTCTAACATTATAACAATCTTACTTCTTTTAACGTTAATTAGACCCTAATTAGATAAATGTTAATGCACTCAAATTACGGTGTAGCGTTTTACTTACATGCCCATCTTGAATTTTTGTTCGGATAAATAGATTTGCAGCATTTAAGATTTCAAGCCCACTTCACTGACCAACTGGCAGCCATTAGGCCCGGAACTTTTGTTTTTTTAAGTATTAAGTTATGTCTTGTGTTTCTCTAACCTCGCAGGTTGAAGAATTGGAGACGGAAAAGACCAATTTGCTTGGAATTGTCAAAGAATTAGAAAAACAGAAACTCAACCACCAGGAACACATAAAAAGGTATGTTCAATCCATTTGTTTCAATTAAGGTAAATAACAGTGTTTAATTTGTCTTTTTTAACTATTCCTTGATATCTTATTTCAATGTAGTCAGATGCTATTTGAACGTTAATGAATTTTTTATTTAGGGCTGGCATCCAACAAACGAAAGACGAAAGTCTTTTTTTCGCGATAAAATGCTGCTCTTGGTCAAATTTTTGTTTACTTGACATTGTTTATGCTTCCATTCAGACTCGTTCAACAAGTAAAAGAACTCGAGAAAGAACGACAAATTTTATCGCAGAGGTTATGTGAGCTAGAAAAGAAAAATGAAGGTAATGAAAAAAATTGGATTTGCAGCATAAATTTCTTTGTTTTGTGCTTCCCTCTTATTTTTGTTGAAACTTTACTTATTATTCGTGGCCTGGATTGCTAAGTATTGATTTACATAAGTTAAAGCAGAAAATTTTCCTTCTATTCTTTTCTGGTCATAGGGTGGATTTTGGGACGATAGAGCTTGATAACACGAACTTCTTGTCTGCGTCTCATCTATCGAACACGTTTTCGCATTTTTAGAATCTCTAAAATCAATATCAGCATTGAAGCGGGAAGTGAAAGAAAGGGATAATGATAACAAAGAAGTGGAGAGAAAAATGAAAGACGTGGAGAAAAAACTGAAGCAGACAGAAAAATCAAAAATGGACTTGAATCACAAGGTATGGATTGCATTGGTGAGGGTTGACATTCAAAAAGACAAAAGGAAACCCTTGCTTTTTTCTTAAAAACTTGCCAAAAACATTTTGTTTACAATTTTCACATAACAGCGATTTTCTTCTCTTAATCGTGCTTTTCATGTGATTGTGAGATATTACAAAACTTTAAACTCTTCTGCTAGTTAACGCGAAATTTTCTGACTACTGAATTCACGTTATTTTTTTCTTGCTGTTTTTGTTTTTTCGAATGCTAAACTTTGAGTTTCCAACTTATTTTACATCTATTTTCATTATAGTTCAAATAGAGAAATGTTAAACACAAAATATATTGTTTTCTAGGTATCATCTCTTGGAGTTTTAAATGAAAAGTATGAGAAAGACATATCAAAGAAAGATGAAGTGATAAAAGAGTTGAAGCAGCAGCTCGATAAACATTCGCAAATAGCGGCCATGATTCACAATCTGAGTAGTGGCAAAGTGCCATGCAATGGGTTGAACTTCAGCCCGTGAACATCCGCTAGTACTCCATACTTTTGTGAAGCAGATACCCTTCTATGTGTTTTCATCTACTCGGCTTTTCTTGTGCATATATTTTTTCAGATATCTTAAAGAACACTCCTTAGTAGATAAGCTCCTTTTGGGTTCCAGACCACCTGAGAATGATGCCCAGTATTCAGTGTTTCAAATTATGTACCACAACATTATTCCTTTTGAACGAGCTAATTTTTCTTGGCAAAAGAGAATCGTGCGGCTGCAGGAATCAGACTCGTGCTAAGGCCCAGTTCACACGAAGTCGGATTCATTTTGGAAAGGAGTCCCTGTATAGAGCCATGCTATCCACCACAAACACCCCCTGCCCCCTCTCCCCCATATATCTCTTATGATTTCAAATTGGCTTTACCCTGAATGATATGGGGTTTCGCACGGCCTATTTCCTGTATTTGATTTGTTATTGTACTTTGTGAAATCGGTTATAAGCTCCTGGTCAGCAGCAATATCTAAATGCTGCATGTCGATAATGTTGTGGCATGTAGCTTTGATTCCTCGCACCAGTTGCATTGTTTTTTAACCTTTTGGTAAAATTTTATCATGTTGTAATATACTATCCAAATGACTGTGGCATTACGTTACTGGGAAATTCATTTAAAATATTTTTTGCTCCATGAGAGATACCTTGCCTGAAGTGTTAACTATACGCTAATGTCGAGAATTTTGAGGACCTAGTGATCTAAAGCTCAAGAAAACGCACAGAATCAGTGGTAATAGTCAGGATCAGTCAAGCTTTGTCCATTTTCTCTGATAACGCAATGTGATAATGATTTATTTGTTTATGTAATTTCAAGGCTGTTTCACCGTTGCAATGGCTGCAGCACTTGCATAACGGTGTGCATCGCCAGTGTCACTTTACTTGTGCAATAATAATGCACTCACTTCTTTAGCCATTAGAATAAAACACCATTATTGACAATGGTAACTTGATGGTGCATTTTTTGTTTGCTTTTACTATTTCCATTATTACGAGATATGTAAGTCGATCGGAGTGATTCTAAGCAAAAGTTAGATATGTAAGTCGATCGGATATGTAAGTCGATCGTCCTTTTAAATAGCCTGTTAATAGGATTAATCAGATATGTAAGTCGATCGGAGTGATTCTAAGCAAAAGTTAGAACTGACTGATCGATCAATTTAATAATGATCTTTTGTTTACAAAGTAAAAAAATTTACTACTTAGTTCTGTTGCAACCAAAGTCCTCGTCAAGAATGTATCGAGGAATGCCACTGAAGCACTTCGTCATGCTCGATAAGGAGGTTCAGTGCGTAAGAAGCCTTTTTGGTTGGCTGAAGCCTGCAATCCTGGCCAAAAGGTTAGTGGACTTGAGAAAAAACCCAATAAAATGGAAACTTCGCCCCAATAATGTTATCAAAGTAACGGCAATCGAAATGAGTAGAAATAAGCGTATCAACATCGACTGTGGGGGATGGGGAGCGTATTTGTTCAAGAAGACTACAATTTGCCAGCCAGTCAAATAACTTTTGGCCAGGATTGTAGTTTAGGTTTTCTATATTTTCGGCAGCCAGTAATCTGAAAAGAATTTAATTTCATTCCAGCTTAGAAAGCGTCTTGAATACGGTCATTTTTATAAGGACCAGATATTTTCTGACTAGGCTCAATGTTCTTATTTTTTGATGATTTGAGGCTTGGATGTATCTAGTGTTAGTTAATAAATTGCCCCCCCCCCCCCCGCGAATAAGCCCCCGCCGTCGAAGAAAAATTGTTAATAAGCCCACACTCTTAAATGACCGAACAAGCCAATTTTTGCGTTTTATTTTAGATACAATAGGAAGGTAAATAATTTTGGTCAATGATTGATAGCACATTCTGCGACGAATAGAAAGAAACCTCAAATTGACGAGACATCGACAAAGGGATCAATATTTTTGACTAAAATATCTTGATTGGCTTCAACACTGTTTCACAATTCAGAAATAGTTATTGAATAAAGATACAAATGAATTAAACTCGAAATCTGGGGAAAACTAAACAGCAGTTCTGTATGAAATTTTAGTATGTCCCCCAATCTATCCTGGATCGATTTTGTATGTCGATGATAAAATTTTGGGGAAAGAGTTCCCGATCTACCCAAGGCAGCAAAGACTTGTCGGTGCCTTTGAAAAAATTGCATCACAGACATTTCCATTTCATCACTGGTCAAATGAAAAATCTGTGACATCGAATTAACAGGCAATTTAAAAGGATTAATTCTTGCTGCTTCGTACAACTTCAAGCAACTTGTAAGGTCGTTTACACGATCACATTCTGTGATTACATAAAATATGTGATGCAAATGTGACAAGAATATGATCGTGTAAACTGGCCTTTAGCAAAATACCCGGGTCAAATATTACAGTAAAGCAATTTTGGCGCCCCCTTACCTTCAATTGCGCCCATATTCAGGGGCGGCCATGCCCCCTGCCCCTCTGGCACCGTGCCACTGCATCGTATGATAAAGAAAGCAAAAAAAGAGACTAGAACAGTCTGGGTTTACCGGTCTTCCTGGAGATCGTGTTTCGGGAAGGATGCTAATTTTGAAGGAAATCCTTCAGTTCCTTTTGAATATGTAGTGATTGTGGGACTTGTTCTAATTTGCAATGGGATGTTATTTCAAGTCTTTACTCCAGAATAAAAAAATCCATGTAAACAGGCCCTTATTGAACTACACTCCAGGGCCTCCGGAACAAGGCCCCCCCTGTTTGCACAAAGTAGAAACAAGTGCCCCTTTTTGAAAAATATATTGCGTGTATTTTTTCATTGCCATATATTCTGCCTTTAGAAGCTAAGTAAAATAACTTGAATCTGGGCGTTCTTGGAGGACCATTCACTGAAATTTCCTTAAACTTTTACTTGGTCTTGATGCAAAAAGTGCAAGCTCCTGTGATAAACAATATTAATTGTGAAGGAGACTGCCAGTTTCGCGAAAAAATGTTTTTAGTATATCTTCAGCAACAAATGCATCACTGAAAGGTCCGCATCAAATCCTCGGCATGCACCGTCAAATGGTCCAATGTATATTGTGTGTATTCCTGAAAGTAGAAACTGGACCCCTATCTCTGATTCTTGGTTGCGTAAAATGTACCCTATTCTTTGACTTTGCCAAAATTGTGTAACTCTTTTCACTGTGAATATTCAAGCTTCAGCAGGAATTTTGATACCAATTCATGTTCGAACCATTCTTTTTCTTAAACTCATATCTAGGTATATCAAAAAGCAGAGTTCACTAAATTTGGTTTTAACAACAATCTCTTATGGTGCAAAACTATAACTGCATTACATTGCTTACTTTTTATGAAGAAATGCAAAAGTTGTGTCCCTGCAATAAGTACATGCTAGCAAAGACTTTAAAAAAGACTTCAATTTGCCATTAGTTTCCTAAAAAATTATCTGTAACATCATATCTGTAAATCCCTTTTGTGTTTCCTCTGACTGACTAAAAAAGCAACCCTATTTTCAAGATTCTATGTCCCAGAATTCTAGCTTCCAGACCACCCTTTCTCAGAGTTTTTCGGAACTCACATGTAATACGTTTTACGAACAGACTGAGCCCGCCGGGATCAAGTCTAAGGAGAATTGAAAACTTGTTTCGTTCATAAGACTGATGAGATAAACCTAATCAATGTTGCAAATTAATTTTGCTATGGTAGCGAAGGACGTGCTCGCACCTTCAGCCGATTGCGTGAAGATGACTTAAACATAAAATTTTGTAGCTTTCAAAAAAAATCCACGGAGGCGAACAAATTTATGTGTTTATATGGTGATGGAAAGGCGCGAATGCCAAGGGGGACTTAATTGTTTAAATAAAAAAGTAAGAAAATTAAAAACATTATTCGAATGGGCTTTTGATATTTATAGAGACTGAAACTTCGCTTTGACAGGAAGAGGGACTGGAATTGGTTTTGAAGTATATAGAGACTAAGAATTTGAAAATTCTATTCAGTTCATATTTTGGGTTGGATTCGTTGGTATGTTACAATAGATCTGAACTTTTGTTGAGTATATTGCGCCTGTCACAAGTATGAACGAAGGGTGTGTGCCCGCTTCTTACCCGGGGCCAAATCCACTTACAATGCAAATTATAAGGAAAATAAGTATAGCGTATTAATTATGATCAAGAGTGCATGGTCCCTAAATGGAGTACATAGCCAGCTTTCTACTTTCAGTGAAGATGGTTCTTACTATGCTCAGCGTGTTTCAATATTTTTATAAATGTTTAAATTACCATGAAATCTGTACCATTTTTGACACTTACTAATATTTCGGATAAAAAATATTCGTTCCCTTTTAATTCGTTTTGGCCCCCCTGTTCAAACCTGCGCCCGGTGGCCCTGTACTCAAAAGAAACAAAGGTCGATTGTTGCGTACTCCAGTTTCTTTATGTTCTGGAAATTTCAACAGGAGTGAAGCCAACAAATTTGGAGAGGTAAAGAAGTGCTTCATGTCGACAAAAAAGGGCGTGTCTCACTTTTGAAGGGTGTGGTCAAAAGATAGATACAGAAATACGAACAGAAAAGTTTATACTTTACAATTGTTGAAAAAGGTTACAGGGTGAGTACAAGAATAGCTTCTTTTGCCCGGCAAAAAATCCTGGGGGGTACTGCACCCCGCCCCCCATGTTAGTGGATTTTATTACAAAATTTCGTTGTTCTCAGTTTTATCACGATTTAATAGTTTCTTAATTTTTTGCTTCATGTACCGAAGTTTCTTTATATTTTCTGACGGTCCATTACTCGTTTCTTAGAGCCAGTTTCTTATAAAAAACGAGTCTGGAACACCAACAACAACAAATGTTACCATTCATTGCTCATAAGTTCAAGCGTGAGTGGCGGGGGCATTTTAAAAGAAGAAATGGCGCGAATCATTGATGGAAAAGCAATCGCCAAGTACGTGTTTCTCTTTAATTTCATTTGTTTTATTGTTGAATGTGTACTGAATTTTGGCTGCTTGAGATTTATCTGCTGTGAAAAGTTTACCGTGAAACTTGTCACTACCGCTGAGGCCAGGTTTTTACTTGGTGACGACAGAGGCTCGCCACAATTGTTCCTTAGAAATTTTCATTTCCCAGCAGACTTCTTTTAAAACACGGTGAAGCGTTCTAAAGACTTCGTTCTCTTCAAAAATCATCGTATTGGATCTTAAAAGCGCGAAAAATAGTGTTCAACGGTGCTTTTTTGAGATTTAACCTACTTTCTTCTCCATGTGCGAGAAGGTCCCGTCTTGGCACCAGTTCAACAACAATGTGTCATCGCTTTCTGGTCGTACGAGCTCGTGGCAGTTTTGATTTTGGGGAAGAAAATCCAACACAGAGTTCAATTTCATTGTAATTCTATCTATAAAATATACTTACAAGTTACATAATAATGTAGCTTGTGATAGGTTACATAATTATTATAAAATAATGTAATTTTTTATTTTTTATTTTATTTTATTATTTTTTCTTTTTTTCCATATGATTCAAAGGAATAGTTTTACTTTGTTCATTAACGCATATGTACCTCTATGGTTATGATGTATACTATTATTATGTATCATTGTGTAACCAAATCATTAAGGGTATATGGCCCGACAGCCCTTCTTGGAGCTATTTCTATCCATTCTTTTTTATGAGAACGATTTTGTAAGAATGCAAGTCTCAAAGTTAGTCAATAATTAGAAAAAGTTAGGAACAAGTTGAGGCTGACCAATGAGGTACTGTAAAATGTTATTTTGAAAAAAGGTTTGTTGATATACATTTGCAATGTTTGCCTTGTCGAAAACCTCACCCCCAACCCCACCCAACAAAAAATATGAGAATCATGGAATCCAATGATCTCTGGGCAATATAAATAAAGACAGGCATAATTTACTTTTTTCAATGGAATCAAATTTCTGTTGAGGCCTGGGGAAATGGACAGCTTTGTCCCTTTTTGTGTTGTTTTCATTAATGTCATGACAAAAAAACATGGTTATGCAGGGGAATGCAGGAAAGATCTCACCCAACATGACTTTTGGCTATGTGTTTATTGGCCTTCAATCAATCAAACCACCAACTGTGCTAAATGTTTTTATTTCCAACCTGGACTTTCAGCATGAGATGAAATGTAACAAGAAACTATGTTAACAAAAAACAGAAAACAATTTCTCAAATGAAAATGTTCAAAAGAAGCATTACTCACCAAGGAAACTGATTTCAGTGATGAGCCTTCTATCAATGGGAACAAGGCAAAATGTTGAAGACCTTGATGGAGTAGGAACATCATAAGTGATTAGATGATGTTCAGGGATGCCCAAAGTATTATGGGGCAAAGGTGGGCAGACCTTTACCAAAGGTATGAAGATGTAGCTGAGGGAAGAGAGACAAGAAAAAAGAAGGGGGTTTAGGGGTACTCCTCTGAAATTTTTTTTACCACACCCTACAGTTTGGTGGCTTAAAACAACATCAAATTATTTCTTATTGCAATTAAATTAGAAAATTATAAGATATGTATTAAACTTTTAAATGAGTTTAATGTAGCTTTCTTATATGGTACAGAGGGCTACATTTCTATAAAAGATAATGATGATGTAGAAGTGCAACTGATTTAAGCCTATTGAAGCTGATTTAAGATTAAAAGTTTTTTTCAAGAGTAAGAACTTTTTTGCATTCTAAGGGTGATTGTTAGAAAATAAAGTGTGGCCCACTAACTTTGGCAAAGGGGCCTGAACACCCCCCTTGAGCACAATAATTTAAACTGCTAATACTCTAGCCATTTATGAACAAATTAAGAACAATCCAGCCTCAAGGTTTTCGAAAAATTAGGAGCAGTCAGTCTGTACTTCAATTTATTAATTCTTTTAAAAAATGTATGTCAATTTCAGCAAATTTGACATTAAAAAATTTTCCATGCCCATTTACTGTAACTCAGTTTGACCCAGGCCTCTTTAGGAAAAAAACAATGTGGGCTATAAAAAGCCCTTTATCTGCAAAAAGAACTGTTTAGCAAATAATACAATAGTTTGTTAAACTTGTGCTATAAAAGGAAACTAAAAAGGAATTCTATTTATAACGCCATTTGATAAACACATAGATGTGTAAGACCTCTTTCTCTTTATTTACTAACACTCTGATATTTAGCAGTAAGTAGTACAAACATTTTGAAGCTAAACTGATAAAATGAGAACGTTGATTTGAAAAAACTGCATGGGCATTGAAAAGCCTTCGCAAATTTATTTTGCGCTGGGTTTGGGTGGGTGTGAGCTATAGCCCCCGTCTCCGGGAAACCTATTTACGCAGTTTGCATTATTTGCTAGCCTTTATAATAATTGTAATGCTGAGATTATATTTGAAATTACTGAAAATAAAAGACAAAATATGATTTTCTATTAACATTTTTAATCGAATGTGTTGCACTGGGATAGATCAAAACACTTTTTAGCCTAGCTCTATAGATCATTGAGACATTATTTCCCAAAATGAAACTGATGTTTATCATTTAGCGATTAGTTTATCATGAAAATTTAGCGGAAAGACAAAATTATGAAAATTATGAAAAGACAAAATGAGCCATACAAATAGGACAAAGATGAATATAAACAAAATTAAAAGAAATCAAGGGGAAAGAGAAAAGAGAGGGGATGATATGGAAACATTCTGATTAGCCTCTTCCCAAGGAAAAATTTCTTTGGACCTCAAATCAGACATTGTTAGCACTAATAATGGTAGAAAAGTATCTATATGTTTTATATTATGTTTATTTGACAAGGGCATTTCTTTGAATTGTATGTTTATATCATGTATTAAACATGGTACAATTGTCAGCAATTTTCGTAAATTTTATGATCCAAAAAATTCTTTGAATTTTAGTGAGGTTAAAGATTATTTGAAACTTGATATTGAGCAAGTCAGAGAATCCCATCCTAATTTCAAACCTGGTTTGGCAATTGTACAGGTAATGAATTGTTCTGCTCTCTGTTAAGTTGACATTTGCTTTCCAAACGGAAGTGTGCATTTTTCCTATTTTGTCAGGCCAATCCTAAAAGTATATTTCCAAGCTATTCCCTTCCATGATTACAACTTTCTTCTAGAGAAGTCCTTAGAAATAAGGTCAGCTTGACCTTTTAATGCTATCCCTGCCATTGAAATAGAGGTGTTTTTCTTTGTTTTTAATTTTTATAATTGTATTTAATCTTTCTAACTTTTATAACTTGTAATTACAATTATTGCGAAGAATTATATGTACATAAATACACACATACATTCATTTATGATTTTACCATGGTTGGTAAACCAAAAGAAGAGTCCCAAGAGGAATTACGTCAGAGAATGGATCTTTAGGATATCTACCTTTAGTTACTGAAATTAAAATTACAATTGATGGATGTGTCATAAGCAAAAAGGAATAATTGAACATGATTTTGCAATAGTCTGTCTTTATAAATGTCTTTCCTATTTCAGGTTGGAGATAGAGCAGACTCCAATGTTTATGTCAATACAAAATGTAAAACTGCAAGAGAGGTTTGTCTCACAATATCATTTTTATTTCTTTTTTGACAGATTTTTAACAGTCATTTTTAAGCAAGAATATGCTTGATAGAAAATGGCCCTTTTGTGAGTTCTTTTTTCCCCTTCTAATTCAGCAAATTCATTTTAAGATTGGAATGGAGGCAAGACATGTCAAGTTACCAAAAACTGTAACCCAAGCAGAGGTAAGCTTTATTACAAAATTCAATCATATCCTAAAGTCATTTTGCATTAATGTTTTATCTTATAACAGGTGGATAGCAAAAAGCAACCTAGAACCATCATTTTCTTTACATGAACATGTGTAAAGCTGTGTCTATACATCATCAAGCACTCTATGGCAGACTGATAAACAATAGTTTTCATTATTTTTATCTTCCTTACCTTATAAAGTCATTTTTAAACAATAATGTGCTATTCTGATTGAAGCTATAACAAAGTATTTCTTTGCAGGTGATTGAAGCTATAACAAATTTGAATAACGACCCAAAAATACATGGTATTATTGTTCAGCTGCCACTTGACTGTGTTGAAAAAATTGATGCAGACTTGTGTACGAATACAGTTTTGCCAGAAAAAGATGTTGATGGGTAAATTTTTTTTATTAGATTTGATTTTTATAGTTGATCTGCTTCTTCATCACATTATACCATACCTACTTCAAAATTAAAACCAGTTATGCAAAATTCATTTCATTTTGTTCTTAAAAATGATTCTTATTCTAGGCTCCATGACATCAATGCTGGTAGGCTTGCTAGAGGACAACTTAATAACTGCTTCATACCATGCACTCCAAGAGGATGTTTGAAACTGATTGAAAAAACTGGTGTCAATGTCAAAGGAAAAAATGCTGTTGTGATTGGACGGAGCAAAATTGTGGTTTGTATTTACAACTCTTTTTAAGCAAGCCTGCTAATGTGTGTCTGCTAAGTCCACTCAGAGTAAATTAAACTGAGTCTGATCATGATGACATAAAAATACTTTTGATATCAACTGAAATTACATGCCAGGCCCCCAAAACAGTGATTTGAGGTCATATTTCTTATCGTATTTGGCAGTGTACTTAGGCAAGTTTTGAACATTCTTCAAGTTCAGCATGTTTACTCTTTTCTTCGTATCCTTACACTTTGGGGTCCCTGTCAGAAGAGGGCTTGAAAGAATCTGACTCCTTTCTCAACTCTTGATAGGATACTGCCTAAGTATTTGGATAATTAAGTAAGCTACTTTAAGATTTACTCTTTTTACTAAAGATTCTAATTTACAATTATTTAATTGAAGGGTTCTCCAATGTCAAATCTTCTCACATGGAACCATGCAACTGTTACAATTTGTCACTCAAAAACACAAGATCTTCCTAGTATTGTGAGTATTTAAGAATGGATTGTGTGTAAAAAGCAGCTTTTAGTGATATGGCAATTTTCCACAACAATGTTTGAATGAATTCTTTTATATTGCTAAGAGTTTATGACAATCAAAATACCTCAAGAATCTTTACAAATATATATTTGATAATTTACCAAAGAAAATGCCATATTACAGCTTCAATCGAAATGAATTAAGTTAAACTATATATTAAGAGACTAATAAATTTACCTGCAACGAGGAAAACTAGTTAGAAAGAGCACACTAGGAAACAAATACACTGAGTCCTGCAGAAGTAAGAAATGTTTCAAATAATGACCCAATAATAAAAGTTGTAGCAGATGCTTAATACAAAACCTGTAGGTTATTATACACTGTTTGATAGGATTGATACAAAATGGTTGCAAATCAGCTTTGATCTTAAAAATTGATAATTCAGAATTAGAAAAGTTAAACTTGCCTCAAGCAAAGTTTAGTTAAGATATTTACAGGTTGGTAAGCAAGCAAGGTTGATAAGATATTCACAATTGAAAACTTTCCCCAGGCACGACAAGCTGACATTTTGGTAGTTGCCTGTGGCCAGCAAGAACTTGTCCAGGTGAGGGGAATGTCTCAAAATATAATAAATATTATTAACATTGATAAAGGGTAATTTGCAGTGAAGGCGTATTAGTTGTACTGAAGAGACATAATTGAAATAAAAGTTGAAAACCTTATCATAGAATATGATAGTTTACTAATTACTTTAATTACTTCATGTCAAAGGGGGAAGGGTACTAAAAATTTTCTGGATAAAGGAGCTTACTAATTTGACAACTAGGCAGCTGAAAATATCTTCCTTTGACAGACAATCAAGTAAGCTTGTTTGATATTCAAGTGTAAGGGCCATGCTGCTATATGACCTTTATATTGGCCAAACAATTGACTGTACCTAGTATTTGCAAATCTTTGTAGGGAGACTGGATCAAAGAGGGAGCAGTTGTTATAGATTGTGGTATCAATGTCATACCAGGTGAGTTAATGTTGGCAAGTCCACTAATCAACAAAACAAAATATGTTTATTTGTCAATTTAATATCTCATGCATGTTTATTTGCAACAATCAAACATAAAACAGAAGGACTTTTTTATCCTAAGATGAAACAAAGAAAAGTGGAAAGCGCTTGGTGGGTGATGTTAATTTTTGGGAAGCAAATAAGAAGGCTGCATGGATAACTCCAGTGCCTGGAGGTAAGATTTCTAGGTATTTGCAATAAAATTTGTTTTCACTGTGTCCATCATGTATTCAGGTATTGTCACTAAAGACCTCCTAATAAATGATTTAATTTAATCATTACTTAATATCTTTTTAGGCTTTTGAAACATTTTCAAAAATAGAACCTTGTCATTACATTTGCAAGCACATATTTATATACATTGTTTTAGCACTACCTTAGTTACTTTGTTATTCTATGAGTGTATTTATGTGGACATTTTTCAATTCCTGAAAGGTGTTGGTCCAATGACTGTCACTATGTTGCTACAGAACACCATAGAAAGTGCAAAGAACAGGCTGGGTTCTCCACAAACTGAACAATGATGCCATTCATTCTGAGATAACTTCAAGCCAAACATTTAGTTCATTAGAACATCTTACTGTTTAAACAAACTTGTGGTTAGTTTTACATTGTAAGATGCAAGGTTTTACATATAGCTAAAAAAAAATTCAACGTTGATGAGCGATATGCACTTGGCCAAAAGCTTATTACCACTCATTCAAGTTCACATTTTAGCATATACAACTTTACTAGGTACATAAACACTTTTATACATTATGTTAGTATTATGCATCTTACATATTTCAGTCAAATGAAGTTAGCTTCATGTACAGTTATTCATGTAAGGGGTCCTTATTTATACTTATTTATAGATAAAAAGTTTGTGATTATTCTACATATATGAGCAAAATTTTATTTACTTCGACTATTGGTACTTCTTATACTTCTGCAAATTAATGTAAATCGTTGCAGAGGCCAAACCTTGAACTTGAAAGTGGAGGGCCATGGAGTAGCAAGAGTTTCTAATAAATCATTATTGGTTACTTCATTAGAAACAAATCATCCTCCACATGATGGAGATATTCCCTTAAAATGGAACCTACTTCATGCTTGCACATGATCTTGAACAAGTAGCACAAGATTTTAATTTATTTCTTGCATACTCGAGTAGAAATCCATTATCAACTTTGGTTGCTATATAACTTGGATGGTTTTGAATTGCTTCCCACCATGTATGAAATCCAGTGTACTTCTCAGTTTTTGGAATTTTGAAATTAAAAAAACATTCTGCAATGACCATCCTATTTATGAATGGTGCAAATGCTACATCAACCATGCTTAGTTCTGGACCTGCAAAATATGGTCCTTTTGACTTAGACATTTCTTGGCTTATCTTAGCAAATCCATTTAATAACTTTTGCATAGCATTTTCCCGTTCTTCCTCCTTTCGCATGCAAAAGAACGGTGTTATTATTTTCTTTTCAATAAAATCACACCATATTCTTTGTTTTGCTCTTCCTGCCGGGTCCTGTGGCATTAAATCCAAACCAGAGGGTGACTCCCATGTCTCATCTATATATTCAACACAAATATTGGATTCATAAAGAGGGTTGCCTTGGTCCATCATTGCAGGAACTTGGCCATCTGGATTTATATCTAATAATTCTGCAGGCTTGTTTTTCATGTCTACTTCAATTGAATCGTAGTCAACTCCTTTAAAATGCAGGGCGAACGTAGCCCTCTGGGCGTATGGGCACATTCTAGCAGTCCATAACTTTGGTTTCGAGTCATCATTGGAGATGTGGCGACGTCGACCTTTTGCTTTGGGCCTGAGCAGAGTAAAGAACACGCGATTTAAAAATTTTCAGGCAATATATAGATAACGATATATGGAATTATCAACTTTATCAGTTAAAAATATGGTCAAGAGAAAATAAGACATCTGGTTATAACAAATAGTAACAGAAGGAGATGTAGCAAATTTGACTGTTTGTGTCCACTCGTCAGTGGCCTAGGCCATACTCTTGAAAACAAATATTCTAACAATATTTAAAAAAATTCCATGAGAAAAGCATCGATACAACGGAAAATAAATACTTTAAAACTCAAACTTACATTTTGGTTTACTGGAATTGATCTTGTGCCAGTCAGTTATAAAACACCGAGTAACTTGGCAGTAGCGTCGGCCATGCTTGTCCTCTCACTGGTAAACGCCGGTGATTATGGTCATGGCGTTGCGGAGTCTTCCCTTTGTGTTGCTGAATTCCATTTGCTTAGTCATCATTACTTGGCAAATATTTGTAAACATTCGTACCGCCCAGTTCAAATTCATTATATTCACAAGAATAAAAACAATCTATGACAGCCATGGGGTAGCGCAGAGACGGACAACCTTTTATGTTCATGGCCAAATTTACGACGTTTCATGCCCAGGAAGGGCTGAGCAAAGGTATCACCCACCGCATTTAAACTCCGAATATCCCTCTTGGTATTAATTCCCTGAATTTGGGTCAACTGTTTGCTCAAAAATTTCCAATGACCTGTCAACCTTAAATTTTCAAAACCTGGAGATTTTAGATTTTTCCTAAAGAAAAACAGGGAGATTCGGTCAAAAACAGGGAGATCACAGAAATTGTTAAGGGAATAAATATACCTGATAAAATGTTGTGCTCGGCAAACAGTTTATGACAAAAGTGATCAAGAGAAGTATCTTCATAATAACATTTAGTGCTTTTTTGTTAATCAGTAAGCACTAACAAAAAACTGTTTTCATGTGGAATTCAATGTGACCATTATATCTTAATTATACCCCTGTAAAAAGGAAAACATACACAATGGACCTGTCTTTGAAACATAAGATGCGCACAGGGGCGTAACTTGGCCAATAGTTTTGGGGGGGTGAAAAGGGTTTCTGCCCTGCAAAAGTGAGTGGTGCCCTGCAGACCTCGTAGCAACGGTTTTTCTATAGGTTACTAGTGAAAGCTTTACCAGTGTAAACTGGTCTTTACAAAGGACAAACTTCTAAGCAAAAAAACAAACTTGAAACTTCATTGCCTATGAAATTTCTATTTCTCTACGTGAGCGTAAATTGTTTTTTTTATATTCACTTCATTTAATGTTGGTTTGCAAAATTAAGCTAATAAACAGCTAATTGGGGGGTGGGGGGAAGTGGGTACATGATGTAGACAGCGCAACGAAATTTAACCCAGTGGGGCTAAGAGTCGAGTTTAGTGAGGTAGGAGGACCCACCATGGTTGGGTCCGACGTGAAGAAATTTTTTGAAATTATACCTTGTAAAAAGGGCTAAAAAGCATCTTTCAGACAAAAATTTAGCAAAATACTATTGTGCTAAAAGAACTGATTGTTTATTGAAAATATTATTGTTTATTGGGAAAAATAGGGAGGGGGATGTCATGCTCAAACTCTAGTGTTAGACGTTGGGGAAGGAAAGAAACGGCAACCTTTCGTTTCAGATTGCACGTAGTTGTGAATGACAGAGGAAGATGTTGTTTTGATTGGGAGAATTTTTTTTCCTGAACAGAAATGTGCAGTTTCTTGTATCAAGAAAGGCCATGTTTACACATCCAAAATTAAAACATTGCAATGATACAGAAAATGATTTACTGAATTAATGCAAATAAAAGAAAAATATACGTGAATAACTTAGCAATTAGATGAAACAAAACCGATATCTTAACGATTTATTATGTTTTTTAGTTCATGCACTGTTAAAAAGTAATAGAAAAAATAATAAAAAAATTCCTATCTTGACCAAAGTGAGGGACTTCAGCCCCATATTCCCCCCCAGTGACGCCGTGCTTGTAATGAAAATAATTTACAACTTAAATTAATTTGCATGACTCAACCTTGCCCTCATAAACATATGCATCAATCATTGCATCCATTGGCTATGACTTTCGGTAAGAAATGCTTTCGCTTTGCAAATAACGGAGCTTTTCCTTACATACCTGTTCCGTTCTCTAAAATGCAATGTCAGGAAGGGAGGTTCATAACAAATACGATATTTCCATTTCAAAATTCCTAAACGGCTCTTTACGAACTTCAGAGGTGGCATTTCTGCGTGGCAATAAAGCTCTTCTTGGCGCCCTGCGAAATCTTCGATTGCCCTGCGAAATCGACTATTTTTTGGGTTGGGGGGGTGTCACACCCCCCCACACCCCCCCCGGTAGTTTCGCCCCTGGATGCGCAGTTCAATCGGATATTTGGTGAAGAACCTCCCAGACCCTCTGCTAGACATCGTTGAAGCCGGGAGAAAAATTTTAAAAACCGGGAGACCGGGAGAAAGCAGTCAAAACCGGGAGTCTCCCGGCTGAACCGGGAGGGTTGACAGGTCTGTTTCCATATGTCAAATTTTAAAAGAATATAAATTCCCCACGTGTGTTGCAAAGAAGTAGAATTTTAAAAGAATGCCGCAAACTCAATCTGTCCTGTGATGATTGCCGTGACCGTGAATATTCTATTAGGCCTATTTCTCATATTACTTTCATATCCACTACATTACATGGGTAACTGTTTTTAAGCAACAAATACCCTAAAAATTATATTAATAAAGCTGTTAGCTATTTGCCGTGCATCTTGCTAGTACGCATGTCAAAATAAATTTTAATTGAACCGATTTGTACTCCATTTATGACGAGCCTCATTAACGTAAGTGCTTCTGTGGGTTTCGTCAAGAACTGGGATTGAACACGCATCGAATATATTTTTAAGTACGTTATCGTTCTTAACGTAAAAGTTGAAGGTAGCTATGCAGAAGCTGAAGAAACAGAAGATTAAAAAAAAAGTAAAAATGGAAGAAAATGAAGAGACAGAAGATGAAGAAGCAGAAGACGAAAAAAGAAGATGAAGAAACAGAAAATGAAGAAGCAGAAGACGGAAAGAAAGAAGATGAAGAAATAGAAGATGAAGAGACAGAAAATGCAGAGACAGATGATGAAGAGACAGGAGATTAAAAAACAAAAGTAAAAATGGAAGAAAATGAAGAGACAGAAGATGAAGAAGCAGAAGACGAAAAAAGAAGATGAAGAAACAGAAAATGAAGAAGCAGAAGACGGAAAGAAAGAAGATGAAGAAATAGAAGATGAAGAGACAGAAAATGCAGAGACAGATGATGAAGAGACAGGAGATTAAAAAACAAAAGTAAAAATGGAAGAAAATGAAGAGACAGAAGATGAAGAGACAAAAGATGAAGAAATAGAAGATGAAGAAATAGAAGATGAAGATTTTCACTCATTCATTTCACCTGTGAAAAATTCTTTCACGTTGCAATGCAAAAGAAGACAGACTACGCTACGACGATGACGTGTAACGAAAAGTTATCCTCTAATTTCATTGAAGGATCAGCGCTTATTTGTAATCAACACCTCAGCTTGCTATTAGTGCCAACATACATATGCTATGTAAACAAGGATTCTTCTAAGTCCTTTGTGGCACAAAAACGTCTGTACGGTAGCCCCAATTTGCTAGGTGGTTCTCTCTCAAAGACATTGACAGAGGGAGTTCAGCAACCCTGCATTTGCTGCATTTGTTGTTATGGATGTTAGGGGTGGTCATGAAGAACTATGAAAGATATACAGGAACAAAGCAATACGACGACGAGAATCCAATGTCACGAAATAAAATTTTCAAAATAAATTAAATTTAAAGAATATACTAATATTTCGCCCCGGCATACAGGGCTTCATCAGAGTAAAAAAGAATGAACAACTATGTTGTTGTTGCTGCACGGCAACCTGATATGTTTCTTTTTCAGTGTAGATGCCATCAGGTGTGCTGTGCAAAATGGAAAGTGCAGAGGTAATTCATTACGAGTTTCATTGATTTATTAGACTGATGTGCATTTCATGATTTCGAACAAAGTTTTATAAAGGGTGTAATTATGGTCAAGAAACAGTTGTTATTAATGTGCAGAACAAATCCCCAAGCCTGTTGTCTGTTAAGGCAAGGCTCTGTGTGGGTATCGGTATCAATACCATATCATGACGATGCACGTGAGAAGAACATCTGTATCAGGTGGGCTGGGTGCACAATTACATGGCATGACGAAGCCTCAATGGGCATTTTTCAATGATTTACATAAACGCCAAAAATTATCTTTTCCCCATTTCTTGCATGCAGCATGGTAATGTATTTCTTGCATGCAGCAGCTTGCTACAGAATTTAATAAAACAGAATGGCCGACAAAATTTTGCAAATGCAGCTTAGTTTATTCATATGAAATGTCCTCCTTTTAACCCAGTTTTTAGCTGTTGCAATACAGTAAAAGAAGTAGAAAGCTCTCCCATTAAAGCAAATCTTGTCAGTATCTTTCTTATGTGCATGATTTAAATAGTGATGTTGATAAGGGGCAAAATTGTTCAGCTTTTGCAGTCATTGTTTTGGAGGTATGCTTCTATTTCCCTGGTGAAGAGCAAGCTTGTCAAGTATGGTCAATTTTAGCAAAATCTTGGCCAAGCACAACAGGTATGGGTGTGCCAAACTGAAATACAGATGTACCAGCACTATAAACTTTGCAAGAAAGATCTAGTTTTTAGGTGTGCCATCAGCACTATCTGTGGGGGTCTGCAGGTTTGGAGAATTTTAAGAAAATGTGCTGTGTATTACAGAGAACTGGCAATTTCATGACAGATCAACAGAATTAGCCTCACTTGCTGTGCACTGATTTTCTCTATAATGATACAAAGATTATGGAATGTTAGCACACTGACTGAACAGAATTTTGACAGAAAATCAAAACTGCAGAAGAAAATCATAACTGGTGTGGGGAGGGGGCTGATCTAAACATCATCTCTAACTGCAGCTGTTTGATTTTGGAATTTTTAGCTTCTGGTACCAGGGGTGAAGTGGCTGTAAGGGGCAGAGAGCTACATCCTCCCCTAAAATGCCAAATTTGTCAGAAATTTGTGGAGATTTCACTATTTGTTGTAATTTTGTGAGAAACATTGCCTATAACAAGGAAAAAAGCAAGCATTTTGAGTCATACTAAAGCTTTTCATCTGAAACTCTTCAAAGTCATAGATAGAAAACTCTTCAACTCTTCACCAATTTGTGGATCGAAGTAGGGATTTTCATCTATCATATTTGATAAATTTATACCAAATTGTCATCTATCTTATTTAAAAATTGTCCAAAGGAGCATGAAACTTCATGACTAGTCATAGGAAATCTTTTATAAGTGCCTTTAAAATGGGAACAATTTTTTGGCAGTACAGAACTTGAAAATGGTTTTTAAAAAATCAAACATTTCTGAACATAATACAAAAAGGTTTTTCGTTTAGCACTCCTCAGAGTATAAAATGTCAGAATGAGGGTTTGAAAGAATACAATGGAAAATATATACCCAGTTGTGGATCGAGGTAGGCCAATCAGTTAAAACGCAGGCACATGACCGGCAGAGTTGTCCAATCAGTGCTGTTTGCCTATAGGAAAATACCACTGGAGTCCAATAGGAAAATACCACTGGAGTCAAATAAACTCTTTTTGTCTACACAATGACAGTTTTTTGTTTGAATGTAGATCATTTCCAAAACTGCTAGATAAAAAGACAACAGGGCTCTGCGAATTATCTGAAACATGTCATCATCATAGAGTTTTGCACAATCTGGGTTGTCTAAAAGGTGTTGTCCAATGGCAGAGTCACTGGTTTTTACTTTGTTTTTAGACCTACATGATAGAGGAGGCTGTTATTTTGCAGGACAGTTTTGGTTTTTTATGTTGGAAGGAACATGTTGTTTTATCCTGTCCCCCAATCTTTGGGTTGTGTTTCCTACATAGCGAGAATCACACTGGCACGTAGATAAGAGAACTCTTTTGGGTGGTAGGAACGCAATCCTTTTGAATGGATGAAGGGGCTCTCCTACTACTGTATACAATAGGAGGATTATCAGCAAAGAAACATTTTTTGATGGCCTGTTTAATCTGACTTTCAAATTGCAAGGAAGTGTTACCAATCCAAGATATTTTGTGGACTGAACTTTTGGACAGCTGAAAAACCTAAGGTAAAACAAAATGACATCTCCCAGAGAGCCATTTTCCAGAAAGATTGTTTCAAGTTTGTCTAGCTCTGCGTGGAATTTAGTTTTAGAGCAGATCATAAGTGCCATGTGCACTGAAATTTTGATGAGTTTGACTTTGTGTTGTTTCTGGGCAAAAAGAATTCCAGCTTATGTACTGACCAGTAAAAGTGGGCTGGGGAGATACAGTAAGAAATCTAGTGTTAGACTTTTTGACCAAAACGTCCAGAAATGGCAAGGAATCATTATTTCCTTTTCAAACGTAAACTGGAGGGCGGGGTGTAGGCTATTAAGGTGTTTTAGAGAAATATCAAACTCAGCCTCTCTTTTGAAAATGGTATATGTGTTGTCTACTATAAAAAGTAGACACCTGGCTTTTGGTCATAGTCGAAAAAACACTCTTCATAAAACCTCAATTTTATCATTGCAAACTTTAAATCTTGACAACCTGAATAAAACCTTTACCTGAAATCTATCTTTGAGCTTTCCTTGTCTTGTGATACAATGTTGTGATTTTTCACAATTTTTTCTAAAATTAGTTGTAAATTTTCTTGAGCTTTTTATCAGTATACCTGTTTGTAGTAAAGGTGTAATTGTTTTTTGTTACATAGGACTGGGATTTGAAAACCCTCCATTTGGAACTACAGAGGCCTGTCCCTAGGTAATATTTTATGAAACTTCGTTTTAAATTATTTATAAACTTGTCGGTGTGAATAAAATCTGCTTATAAAGTATATTTTCTGGTAGCAAGGTAAGTTTTTTATAAGCTAGAATCGTTTTATTTTGAAACCCCAGCTATGAACATAGATAGTGGTAAATAGCGATTTTAGGTTGAAATTAATACGTTTGCAATGGTAAAAAAAATTCCTTTGTTTTTGTTTCTCATTTTTGTTCATAATAAAGCCACCTTGCACTTTCTAAATTAATTTTTTATTTGTTGGAAACTGAATAATCAAATTGCCAGCAATTCTCTGAAACAGTGACATAAAGATATCAAGATCTCAAAAGCCAAAACATGTCAGTCAACTTGCTGAAGAGTTGCGACTGTTACCAGAAGAAGTAAGTAAATTATCAATTTATGCAATGCTTCAGTTTCTAAATGATGTTTTACTTCGATTCTCCTCTTGGTTTGTTTGTATCTTGTTAGGGTTTGGTGATGTTCATGTTTGATACCATTTATTCTTAGATTGATTTCTATGGTAAAACAAAAGCCAAGGTGTCACTCAGCGTTTTGGAAAGGCTGAAAGAAAGGCCTGATGGGAAATATGTTGTTGTTGCAGGGTATGCCACATTAAAACTTGTTTTTGACATTGTCTTATTTGCATCTTATTGATAGAATCATCCAAGGAATCTCCTGAAAAAATTTCAAGTAATAAAATAAAATTCCATTTTGAACTTTAACGTTTTATGGTGAATATTTTGATTGGATTGTTCATCTCTTTTAAGTGAAAGGAGGTGTTCAAAGTTGGTCACAAAGTTGGAAATGATTGTCCATTTTGAGGCATTTGTTGATTTGAATGAAGTAATGAGCACAGTCTTGTTTTAAACAAAGCAAATTTTAGAGTTTATTCAGGTAGATTCAAGAGTTCTTATTATTTCAGTGACTGAAAGAAACAGCTAATGTTTAAATGTTGAATTATCTAAGAAGGAAAGGAGATTTGGATCCAATTGCCCAATGATAATAAGCTAGATAAGGTTCTGCTTAACTGCATTAGTGACTTTCAAATTATATCGATGTAAAATGCATATTACAGCATAACTCCCACACCTCTTGGCGAAGGTAAAAGTACAACAACTGTTGGGTTATCACAGGCTTTTGGTGCTAACCTCAAGAAAAACATCTTTGCTTGCCTAAGGCAGCCGTCTCAAGGACCAACGTTTGGAATCAAAGGTGATCTCTCCTCTGATTTTTATTCAACGGGAACTAAATGATTTAAGCAAACTATTTAGTGCATTCTCTAATGTGGCTTTAAAATGCTAGGAAGACACTGACATTTGCCCATTGTTTCATGTCAGTTTTTTTATTTATAACTTATTCTTCTTTCTACTTACAATTGAAATAACTACTGAATGAACCTGGGAAGAGCCACAATGCCTGCCATACGTCTTGGAACACTGAAGTCAATTGTCTAGGTCATATTCAGCCATTTCCACCTCCCCAAGGAAAATTTTTTTGTTTGCTATGGATCGACGCAGGAGATTTGGAAATATCTTCTATTACCTTTCTTTTATGATAATTATGAATGTAATTAAAATCTACCGGGAATATATGTTATTCATTAATCTTTCATTTATTCCTGGTACATTTTACTTACATTCGTACCGCACGTACCGTACGCAATTTATTATATTATTGGTTTCTTTTATGATAGTTGTTTTATGATAGTTGTCTTATGATAGTAATCAACATAGTTTTAGGGGGAAGTGAGTTGGAAACAGTGATTTTTTCGAGAAAGAAATGAAAGTTGCGAAATAAAAAGCAAATTGCTTGGTGTTCCGAGTATTATTGGCAGGCATTGTACTTCTCTTCCCCATAGCGGATTCTGCATGCCCGGGAGTGTTTTCTACGTGCACCTCAACTCATCATCTGATCTGGGCTCTATAATAGTGCACATAAACATATCGTAAACTTTTTATTTTTTTCCACTATTTTATTCAATTTCACCTTTTCTATTTTGAAATGACATTTTCCACTTTTATGATAAGCTAATTTTGTTGAACATGTTTCAACACCAATGCCCATTTTCTCTAAATAAGTAAGTTCGATGTTTTTTTGAAGGTGGAGCCGCTGGGGGTGGCTATTCGCAAGTTATTCCAATGGAAGAGGTATTGAAAAATTTCTACTTGCTCGAAAAATTCAATGCCATCTATGCGTAGCAAAACTTTTAAACACAATGTACGCATCCTGCATCACAATGTTCAATCTTTGACAAAGGTGTAAACGAATTTGATTTGTTGATCACCGAAAGTTAGTTAATAACAAGAGGTCACACCAATCATTCTAAACTTTCAGAGTTCTTCTGATTAAATTTCCTTGTTTTGACTCTCTCGTGACTTTCTAGCTCATGGTTTTTTACAGGAACTTTCCTTATTTCTAGATTTGATAGTTAATTAGGTATGCACAATTAATGATAATAAAGTGTCAGAAACAAAATTTTCCACACATTCTTTTTAGCTGAGGATAATAGGAGATCTTATCAAAATGGTCTTCTTCAGATGAAACCGTTTGTGCCGATGTGTCTTGAACTAAACTGCTGAAGCAATGTCTCGAACCGTGATTTCTTCCCCGTAATACAACAGTTAACGTCGCTACTTGGTCTTCGTATTGGAACGCAAATCGAATCGGTGTCATATCAATAACTATCATGAAATGTGCTGGCTCTGTCTTTTTCTAAAATGACTGTCGTATTTATCCTTATTACCAAGTTTAAATCAAACTTCGCTTCCCATCTGGCGTTTCAGTATCTACAGTGTTTGATTTGCGAGTGCAGTATTGAAATGTTAATTTCTAGCTTGATTTGTCTCTTGATGAAGGGTGCAATAGAGACTTGAAGCAATATGACACCAAACTTTCAATTTTGTTTTGAAATGCTAAATCTAGGAAGCGGTTTGCATAGCAGGTTCCTTTTTTTCAAGCTTTACGTCTTGTATATAAAACAGGAATGTTCTGAGTTGCAGCTTTGAGTTTCACGCTTAATGCGGTCATCAGGCAAATGTTAGCCTGTACGCTATCAAGCACTATATGGCAGCCCGATATAATCATGTTATTTTTTTAAAAGTTTCCTTAAAATTGCTTCTAGTTCAATCTGCACTTAACGGGAGATATCCACGCCATTACTGCAGCAAATAACCTACTGGGTATGCTTTTTTTGCTTCTTGATTTTTGATCATTCTTTCTAATCATTCCGGCTCGTGATTTCTATGTAGTTTGAAAAAGGTTTTTCATGGAACAGTTACCTAAGAAGCCCCCTAATAATGATTTTATGATTCATAATCTTTGTGCGATTTTCATTTGGAATTTTATTTTACTGTTACTCTGCTCTCTACAGCTGCTGCTATCGATGCGAGGATCTTTCACGAATCGACTCAGTCTGACCAGGTATTACGACATGCATTCAAAATACAATCTAAAACTTACATATTTGTTCTCAATGATATATACATTGAATACAATTCATTAATTTAACTTTTATTAAAGGCATTGTGGAATCGACTGGTCCCTGAAAAGAACGGAAAGCGCAGTTTTGCTCCCGTCATGCATCAGAGACTCAAGGTTCGTCATTCAAAGTTGCCATTACTTTCCAGGAGACTCGTATTTTCTAATTTTCCAATTTTATTGCGATCTTTGAACTGAATCTTCACATCCTCTTTTCTTTCTCATAATTCATTAGTTTTGAGAAACGTCTCACGCTTATCAAGATGTTTTTGTTTTAAACTTGTACACATGTTCAGTCTTTTCTGAAAAGGTAACCTTCCATCCACACTGTACCTATTTTGGTTCTTTAAATGCCAAGGTTGCTTTGTCATGCTTGACCGTGGTATTTTGTTTTTTTTCATAGAAACTTGGAATAGATAAAACGGACCCAAACGAATTGACGAAAGAGGAAATTTCAAAGTTCGTACGGCTTGATTTTGATCAAAGCACGATCACATGGCAAAGAGGTTTGTTTGGGGGAAATTTGATATAATTTGCTTTGTTCTGCGTGGTTTCATTTGGCGAGTGTAATTTTGCTGTGGTCAACATAAGGGTGTATTTTTGAATCATGGTAGCTCTTATGGGGAGAATCCTTTTGTGGCAATCCACATTTGTCGTTTATATTTGGTTTTCAGGATTTGTTTAGGGGCTACATTGCTTCCAATATTAACAAGATCTAAAGATTTGTTTTTGATAACCTCAGATGCCTAGAAATCCGCCGGTGATACCAAATGATGCCTAAAGATGCCTCTCTGCATTAAGCTCTAAAGAGGAAAAGAAGCTTTTTGTCAAATTCACCTTATAAGGTTTCTTCCAAGTGTATTTGGTCAAACAAGAATAAGGGGGCCACGAGTAGATACTTCTGCCTGTAATTACTGGTTTGTACATTCTATGAATAACATCAATATCAGCTTTAACTAAACTGTTTGACCGTTTTCAGTGATTGATACGAATGATCGGTTTCTCAGGAAGATTACCATAGGACAATCTCCAACCGAAAAAGGAAAAACAAGAGAGGTGGCTTTCTGTTTATTCACGCTATGGAATTTTTAACATTACTCTTTTAAATTGATTTTTGTTGATGTTACATAGGTAAAAGTGATTGAAATTAGAAATATTATTTTAATTTCGGGCGATGGCATTACCATGCTTTTGGTTCCTTTTTTCATACTTTTTACTTGTTGAGGAATTCGTTTGTGTCATATCCATCGAGAATTCGTTTGTAATCCCCGCGCATCAAATACGGAGAAACTTTATTCTTTGGTGCTTTTCATCAAATGACTAAAGAGATATGGACTTGACTAAATAATAATTTTTTAGTTTTCCACATTTCTCAATTACACAAAGTCAATTCATGCAGTTATGCTTTTTGAGATGCTCTTTAAATTTGTTCCCTGTTTTTATGTTTCTTTTTTGCTTTTATCAGTGTCAATTCGACATTACTGTCGCGAGTGAAATAATGGCCATTCTTGCGCTGACAACCGATCTTAAAGACATGAGACAAAGGTAAAAGTCGTAAATATTTGCATAACACAATTAAGTTTATTTTTGGCCATTATATTAGTCATTACATATTGATCATAACATTAGTCAAATGTACTATAATATATTATTTGGCAGTGACGTATTACTAGCTAAACTACTTACAAAATCACGGTTCTGTATACTAAAATGTTACCACAGACAAAAAGGATGTGTCTTCTCTGCAGCTATTGCATAAAACTTATGTAGTTCGTCAAAAATGACATGGCACGTGAAAAAGCCAAGATTTTATATAATGGGAGAGTTATGTCATAACGTTAATCGATTTTAATTACATATTAATCATGCCTATGTTCATATTTTTTTTATATTCTCATAAAATTTTACAAAACAGACAACTACAAGATGATACCACAGGGAGTATGGAAATACATAGCAACCCTGTGGCCATTACATTAAACATATTTGATTCAAATTAAAGTTACATTAAATGTTGCAAATTACATGCTACAGATTACTAATAATTAAAAACATTTACAATTTGGAAACACTTGTTCATATTTAATTGGTCGTGAAAGATTGTCAATATGATTTTTGTAGACTGGGTCATATTGTTGTCGCTAGTAGCAAGGATGGCTCTCCCATCACAGCAGATGATCTTGTGAGTAGAGCTGAGAAAAAAATTGAGTTTATTAAATTTGATCATTTAATTCATTTACAGTAAGAGAAGTATTGTTAACTCAGTTTGTATTCTCTGAGCAAACCCTTTTTATTTTCTGCAAGGGTATTGGGGGTGCATTGACTGTGCTCATGAAGGATGCAATTCGACCGAACCTCATGCAGACGCTGGAGGTAAATATTTAGTTGTAATTTCATTTTAGTTTGATAGTTTTACAGATACGAACATAATTGAATCTGAAAGGAAGGCCAGAATTAAGAAAGATCAAGCAAAAATAAGAAGCTGATGAAGCAATGTTATTGAAGAACAGTTGTTATTGATTATCCCTCAATTTTTCGTCATCAACTTTATCCTTGCATTTTGAAAGAGCATAAATGCTTATCATTTTAGGGTACTCCAGTCTTTGTGCATGCTGGTCCGTTTGCGAATATTGCTCACGGAAATTCTTCAATTCTCGCCGACAAAATTGCCCTCAAGTTAGTGGGAGAAGATGGATTTGTAGGTGAGATGTTCTCTGTTTGCTTAATTTTTTTTGTTATAAAGATTGCAATTTGTTTTAAATTTCACTACATCTGACCGTTCTCAAACATGCTGAATTTTTTTCAGTGACTGAATGTGGATTTGGTGCAGATATTGGGATGGAAAAGTTTTTCAATATCAAGTGCCGTTATAGTGGTATCCAATTTTTGTTTGTTATTTTAAAAACACACTGTCTTTATCCAACAGTATTATTTTGTATGCAGAATACGGTCCTTGCGATTGATTAGAGAATGGAACTGAATCCATGTGTATGAAAAGAAATGACACCACGCTTGGTCTTTGTCTAGAAAAGGTAGAATAGAAGCAGTGTAAAATAAATTCGGATGAAGTGATTGTTATTTTTTGCAGTTTAGTGGCCTAATCTATAGCTTGTGTCTATAGTTTTCCATTCATTTCAGGTTTGCTGCCTAACTGTGCAGTAATCGTGGCCACCGTTAGAGCATTGAAAATGCATGGAGGAGGACCAAAGGTTCGTCAGTACAACACATCTCACATCCCTCTTTTGCAGACGTACCTCATTCAATTTGAATTAGTTGTTATGATAAACGAATAATTAATTTAAGGTATGACAGCGTAAATTGATAACATTAGTCCTTGATGGAATTGCAGTGGTTTGATTTCTATTTGATAATTTGATGTTTTAAAATTAAACACTTAATTTTTAGGTTATTGCCGGTCAGCCGTTGGCGTCATCTTACACCAGCGAGGTGATTTTTTGCATTAATTGACTTTCGTGACAGCGAGGCCCACAAACTACTTTCGCGTAAACCTGCTAAAATCCTGTTTAGGAACTTAGGAACTGTTTAGAAATATAGTAACTTATATCAGAGAAGAGAAATGCAAGTTTGCTTGTCTTGACAATGCTTCAGGCAGTAGCGTGGCTTGACTTTCTCAACTGGGTATTCTCTTTTAAGATAAGGGTGGAGTAGGGCGTGGCTGGGTGGGGGCTTGGTTAGAATAGGCAGGATAGGAAGATTTAAAGGACAAGCTAATGCTCTTTCATATAATTTTCTTACATCAGTTGGCAAGTAACTATGATGAAAACGACACTTTTCTACAGAACACAACACAAATAGATTTTTTCAAACTTATCAATTGCATAAAATTAAGAAGTTCTAATTCATAAGAAGAAGTTCTAATCAAAACCAGTAAAATATCCTGATCGAAAAAATGTCGCAATGTACTTACATAAAGAGGAAGTAACTGTAAACACCTACTCTTGATGCGTTGTGCAGTCTCATCTCACTTTATCTCATCCATACCATTAAAGCTAGAAAGAAGACCTTCTCTCCTGTGGCCTCTAAAGGGTCCTATTCTATACTTTGGAAACGTTTGTCATTTGCCAGTGCACCCAGTCTTATTATTCTTGATGCAAAAGGCCGTTAGAAAATTTCGAAATTATTCACAGAGGGCATTACATGAGTTATAAACACTTTTTAATTTGCAGCCTAGACCCTTTTCTCCATGGCCGAATCGTGGTATTTTGATACAAGTTAATGTTTGGAAGAATCGAAGGTAATGAAATGAGACAGCACAAAAGGCTATGCAGATAAAATATGGTAAAATACGTTAATGCCCCAGGCAATTAGAGGGAATTTATTCAAGCTTATCTGCATTTACTTTATTTTATCACATACTACAAGCAGGAGCATCCCTTACTGACAAAGGATTACAAAATTGACCTTTCAAAGGCACAGGACAAGTGTAGAATCACGTAGCAGCCTACCTTTCTTCTGCTTTTTGCTGTTGGTAGATTAGGGGTCAAATGAGAGGATGATTATGGAGCAATTATACGGACATGCAAAACGTCCTTGCAATAGTTTTTTCAAGATACATTCATATTTACTGTTTTCGATGAGCTCCGACCACTGATCTCAAAAAAAGACTGGATCGAGCTTCTCCATGCCAGCATTGATTCCACATTGCAGCGTCCATCTTGAGACCTCGCCGTGTTGTATGAGACTAGAGAGCAATTATCAGTTCAGTTCAGTTCACGCTACATGTATCTCAGGGCACATAGCCATTGTATTCGCTGATTAAAAGTAAATGTTATTCATGGAAATGTTATTCATGTTATTCATCTCTTCTTTTTATTTTGCTTTCAGGATATCGAGCTTGTCCGTTCGGGTTTTTGCAATCTGAAGAAGCAGATAGAAAATTCACATCTGTTTGGGGTACCCGTTGTAGTAGCAGTTAATCGATTTGAGTATGTTCTTCATCATAGTATTTCAGACATTTCTTTATAGTATTTCTTAGAGCATTCTTTAAAGAAACAATGGCAGCAGGCTGATCATTCCATCTTGAGAACGAGAAGGCTCAAATTATTTTAACTCACGTTAAAATGTTACTAGTTTTATACCTGATGGATCAAAAGCTGAATTCACACTGGACGCGTCGCGGCGCGGCGCGTCACTGAGCGTCATCGAGCGTCGCGTCATGCACTTTTTCATGCTATTCACACACGGTGCGTCATCGAGCGGCGCGTTTTCTGTTTTCCAATGCTGTTCACAGCAAACTTGCAAAATTCTCGACAAGTTGTACTGGATTCCTTGCATTGTAAAATCAAGCCGGACATTTAAGTTTGCTACAGAAACGGATAAAACGGTAATCTGAAGCTAATATATCAAAAACAGCATCTTGGCCTGAATCGTCATCTTGGCATCGAGGTATTCTATGTATTTCAATTAGTCTCGTGCGGTTTCTTCGACATTTCGGTTCGAGAGGTTGGCCAATGTTTTGACAGGAAGACGATTCTCTGCAAGCATTCATTAGAGAACTGAAATATTTATTGATATTAAAGATTTTGAAGGTCTTACTACAATTAGCAAAATGTTTGGCTTTACGGATTCATGGGGTTTCCTTTCCAGCCAAAATTCGAGGGAAAATTAAACACCTTATTTTTATCAACACTCCCCAAAATTTCCATGTATTAAATCCCTCGGAAGTAAATTTTTGGAAGGTATTGAAAGCTTAACGGGGAGTGATTGAAATATTTTTTTTACCAAAACGGAACATGTAATGACTCAACATCATTGTTGAATTGAATCGACGAGGCAACTTTATATCATCGAAGAGACTCTAAACACGAATAATACTGTTACTTATCATGAACTAATATAAATGCGATTTGTTTTTGTTACTTTCAGAATTTAGCCCCCCGATGCTTTAATCAGAGAGACTCATCAAAGTATATTCTACCGTACAAGCAATACAGTTTTATAATGGCCTGTTTCAGAAACTCCTTGTTTACGTTTCTGGCTGTCATTATTCTCTAGGTTTTCTATTGTTCGGAAGCGTCACCGAGCGTCAAAGTTAAATGTCTTTAACTTTGACGCTCGGTGACGCGTGGCTGAAAAAACGCGCTGCGTGCGCATAGCTGCCGAAAATGCTAACCATATTTGGTCAGCGTCATGACGCGCCGCGCCGTGACGCGTCCAGTGTGAATTCAGCTTAAGCCTATGATAATAATATCTCCCTACCGTAAGCCTATGGCAACCCTCGCTCCATTTCCAAAGATAGTTATGTGACTTTTATGATATGCTGAATTTTCTATAATTATTTAGGACGGATACAGACGCTGAAATTGAGCTTATTCAAAAATTAAGCAAAGAGGCTGGAGCATTTGACGCAGTATCTTGCACTCACTGGGCTGATGGAGGTGAAGGAACAATAACAAGTTTTTGTCTTGGTTTTTGTCTTAGTTTTTGTCTCAGTTATTGTCTCCATTATCATCATTAGCATCATCAGCACCTTTGATAGAAGGGGCATGGGGAACTAACTGCCCTTCACTTCCTATGACATAACTTTCTGATTGTAGCTCCCTGTTTAGCCAGTTTTTAACCAAGGTTCGATTTGCCAGAAAATAACCATGTCACATGAACATGATCATGTCACTGCCATGTTACCAAAAAAGAACATATTTATCAGCCAATCAACCGAGCAACTAAAATTTCATGCAAAAGTCTTCGAGACATTTCTATTTAAGTAGTATATAGTTTTAGAAAATCCTATTTTGAAATAAGATGGGGGTTCAAGAGCACATGGGCCTCAAACCATCCAATAAATAAGATAATATGTAAATGTCCTTATGAGAGATTGGTTATAGGTGACATTTGTTTCAAATACCTTTGTTTCGAACCCTGCCCTTTGCTCCCCGGTCCTTCTCGTGTCATTTTTGTTTTAGATTATCCAATCAAGTAGTGTCGTTACTAGTGGAACAAAGTTATTCTATTTATCTTGATATTTCGCTCTCGGTCCTAAAAGTTTCTTAATTGGTGGCCATTTAACTGTTTTGCTTAGGTGCTGGTGCCGTTAATTTGGCGAAAGCTGTTGAAGCTGCTTCTAAAGAGAAGAGTAATTTTTCATTTCTTTATGACGTCAAAGTAAGTCTACTTTTTACACCTAAAATAGCTGTTGTATCATACTAAAGCCTGTGTCGTAACGGGAGCGGATGGGTTACTCCACACATGATCCAGTGGGCATTTCCTTTCTTTGTCTCCATAACATTTTATCTCATCCATACCATTAAAGCTAGAAAGAAGACCTTTTCTCCTGTGGCCTCTAAAGGATCCTATTCTATACTTTGGAAACGTTTCTCATTTGCCAGTGCACCCAATCTTTTATTCTGTTATTTGCCTTATTGAACGAAACATACCTTGGCACCGTAGCTCCCCATCGAAGAAAAGATTGAAATTATTGCAAAGAAAATTTATGGTGCAGATGGAATAGATCTTGGGGAAGAAGCAAAACAGCGAATCGAAAGATACAAGACACAGGTAATGCTCATTTTTTTATTTAAAAATATTTTATTTGTTATGATGAAATTGAAAAGGGTTTAGCTTCTTTTAACTCTTGTTACCAGAAATTCCATTGCCGTTAGTACCTACTATTGCATAAAGTAGTGTAAATTTTAGATCGCATTGGGTTACTTCTCTCCATATTTACATCTGTTGTCAGTAATATTTGCATATCATTTTGAGTTACGTCATTACTTTCGAGAGATGGAGTAGTGTGTTTCCAGCTTGTGTTTTTTGATGGCATTAGTTAAACAGCCCTTGTCCAATGATATTTTTTACCCAATCAGTTGTCATCAACATTGTTATTGTGTTTTAGGGCTTCAATGATCTGCCAATTTGCATGGCAAAGACCCATCTTTCATTATCACACAATCCTGAATTGAAAGGCGTTCCTACAGGTAAATCTTCCTTTGATGATATCCTTGTGTTACAGTAAATTATTTGTTTCTCATTTCATGATATGCTTTTCCAAACAATTTACTAACTTGCAAATTTATGACGAAACGATGCCAAAGACGGCAGGTGGATACGCTGCTTCCCTGCAGTCACTATAAACGTAAACATGTAGGTTCTAAATTGAATTAAGAAAGCTATGCAAGAATACATTTAAAAAATGGTGGCAATGAATTTTTCTAAGCGTTTTGTAGCACATTTCTATTTTACTATGGCTTCAAGCATCCTAGTATTCAGTTTCAGTGACTGCCTTCCAATAAAGCAGGTTTTTAAGAAATAATTCATAAGCAAAGCTAGCTAAAAACTGTATTAACGCTTATCGAATGCACTGTGGTTTTAACTCCAGTTATTTCCTCATTTCCTTGATTACTAAACTGGTTTTTGTTTCCAACGTTTAGGTTTTGTTCTGCCAATTAGGGATGTCCGAGCAAGCGTTGGTGCAGGGTTCCTTTATCCACTGGTTGGAACAGTAAGTTTTCAGTTCTCTATATTCCATATTACAACAACCTTTTGCTATAGCCACCTTATGCCACTATGAGTCAAATCATTGAAATTTAGGATTTCCTCGACTGGAGTTCTAACAACCATTTAAACTATGAACTTGAAAATTGTCCGTTTATGATATTTACTCAGACCTTAGATTGTCCAACATACAGCTTTTATTTTGTAGTTCGCAAAGAGCTTTTCATCTGTCATACCTTGTTCTATTTCAGATTTGTATCTATCCTCATTTTTTCAAAGTTTAAGGCATTTCTAATGATCGACTGCATCCTTATGCGAGTAACACAGTTCAATTCATTTCGCACCTCAGTTCACATCGAGTAACACAACATCGGTTTCTCGTAGATGAGTACCATGCCAGGGTTGCCAACACGGCCTTGCTTTTTTGACATCGACATTGATCCGGAGACTGAAGAGGTGTTCGGACTCATGTAGTGTCATTATTGGTTGACACCTGTCCTTACTAATGTCATTCTGATTTTGTTTTGTAGTTTTTAGTGTATGATTTAGGATGTGATTAGGGTAAACAGTTTTGAGTTAATGTAAAAGGGTTGTGTAAGAAGTCTGAATTCTAAGGAATGACCGTGATTGTAAATGATTGATAATGAATTTTTAATCAGTCGGGACCGGAAAATACATGCTTGGTCCTGTTGCCTCTTTTTAACTGTCATATAATCAGCAACGTTTTTATTGTTAATGCATGTAATGCTACGTATTGCTTGATCCGCCCTCGTAATTGCTTTTCAGATAAAATCCTTTTAAGTATTCTTAGAACATCTAAATATAACCAATCTGTGCGTGTATTACCCACTTCAAATTTACTACTTGTTGCTCCGCCTTTCTTAATTCTGTAGAACGCATAACAAAGTATATCGTTCGTACAACATAGATTACGTCATGAATTTCTACGTCATGTTAGTTTTCTTTATTATCGACAGTCCATTTCCATGCGTTTTAGCTGTATGGGCCAACCCAACCACATCCAAGCATCACGCAGAAATGATTTAGAAGATGTTTTAGACGATGGCTTGCCCAAATTACTTGCTTGCACAAAAAACACCCATAATTATCTGTGCGTCTTCTTGATAACAACCAATCAAAAGCTATTTTTATCATCAACAAGTTGATCTCACGCTCTCACACTACCTCCCTAAACTCTTGTTCATCGGCCTTGTGACTTATCGATTTTTTAACAAATACGGGCATTGTTCCCAGGATAAACAAGAGACGCCAGAAACCCTCCCCGTGCTTACCCTCTTCTTGCATCCCGGGGTCTAACTTGATCTCACTTCCCCCTCTTCTTAGTGTATCGGATCTTTCCCTGAGCACAAAAAGAAATCGGTTCTTAATCCCATAAACAACATGAAATATTACAAAGAAAATTTCACTGATTTACAAATTTTAGTGAATAAGACCAGGGACGTCGGAACAACCAAGCGGCAAGGGGGCAGGCTTGAGTAAAAGGGCATTTGAAAGATAATTCTAAGCTTCTACAAATTTCTACGCAACTGCCTTTTTATTTCTATCTTCTATAGGTATATTCAGCGCTGGGAGTGGCGGAAATTCAGGATTTCATTTAGGGCGGGGGGGGGGCAGGCTTACGATATTCCGACAAGATAACATCGTGGACCATGTCTAATTTTAAAGAAACTGCACATTTTGATATAAATATTTGATTTTTGATGGGACTCTTTAGAAATCTTTGCTGACCACGCCATAATTAGTTAGCAAGAAGAACAACCCTTTTATGATCTTTGATATCAAGATCGATATTCCATCAAAGATAAGACAATTGATGATACAAGAGGTAGACCGATTACACTCTTGACAAGTCGTACGTTAATTTGCTGCATTTTATCTTGTTTTCGTCAGTGAGAAATATGTTTGAAAATAACTTTTATTCAGAAGAATCCGATTGGGGGGCCCGAGCCACTGAACGCTGGCTAACTTTCAGCATAAGGAATTATTTTACAAGTTTTGAGATGTTCAGAATTTCATATGAATCTCTCTGGTTATTACAATTGACCAGTTTCAAGGGCACTTTATTGAAAAGGACCCACTTGCCCTTCCTATCAAAAGGTTGACCCCCCGCGCGCCCTTTCTCCGGCGTCCCTGAATAAGACCTAAAAATTGAAACTTCGAAATGCTTGCCTAAAACTTTTTCCAAAACGAGAAACGGCCAAAAATGGTAAATTTTGCTAGAAACCCAAGCCGGATGATTGGCATTTTAGTACCCGATTTTATACTCAGAGGTCAGCAATGAAAAAGAGAATTCCCTCGTACCCGCTTTGTAGCGAAATTTTGCTGACGCTGTTATGCTTGTATATTTTGGTTTCATATATTTGTTGCCATCCACAGTTTCATCTTTATAAAACTCTTGGCGAATTTAAGCCTTTAATTTAAAAAAAAGCGAGGGATACGTCCTCTGTGACCAGGGGCGGAGCCAATAAAATTGTTTGGAGAAGCGAAGAGATTATTTTTGCCGACAAAATGGGCGTGTCTAACTCTCTAAGGGTGTGGTCAAAAGGTAAAAATTCTACTTACATGCTACTTTTATGCGTTTCTGTTTCAAAGTTTATACTCCATACTTTGAAAGTTCAACTGCACAGAAATTTTAATATGTCACAATTGTTGCAAAAAGGTTACAGAGCGAGTGCAATAATTCCATCTTTCCCCGGCGAAAATCCTCGATGTGCCGACGGACACATTGTTAGGGGGTACCGAACACCCTGTACCCCATTTTGGCAACGCCTCTGTCTGTGACGCGCCCCCTTTTTTCAAAGAAGAAAATATAGGCTTTTAGGAGAAAAAGGAAGGGTTATTGTCTTTTTGCAAAAACAGTTGAACACAAGGCAGGTTTCTCGAGAAACAGAAACAGTAATGGAATCACATATTTAGGAGTAATCATATGAACAGCATTACACCGAATGAATCCACTATTTAATTTGTACATTGATTGTTTAAGTTCATCACCATTTTTGTAAAAATTATCGTGGGGTTCAAGAAAGCTGCTTTATCGTTTTGTTTCTGTTCACACCCATAAGGGATGAGTTTTTAGTAAATTAGAAGGACCTTATGCGAAAGTAAGCATGGCTATGAGGGAAGGAATAAAATAAAATTTGATGCCGATGGAGTTTGAACTTAGATGTTCTAATCAGGGAAGACGCAACGACCAAAGGGCAATGGGGCAGGCTTCAGAAAAAAGGTATTTGAAAAACAATTCACAGCCGCTTCGGAGGTCCTGGGAAAAAACCGAAAAATGAGGCCCCCTGTGGACGGGGTGGGGGCAAAATTTTTGCGATTAGCTTGAAAGGCATTTCAGAATATTTCTTGTAGCCATTTCTTGCAATCGTTTAAAACGTTTTACTACTTTTATGCAAACTTTATTACTTTTTTTCCATTCCTAAAATGGAATTCATAACTTTATAAGGCCCCCTAGACGTCAAAACCCTGGGGAAATTTTCCCACTTGCCCCCCATTCGGTGGCCCTGACTCTGGATACCAGGGTCACATAGATTCGAGGGCGAAAGTGGAAAGCGGAGGACTTTCCTCATCCTCTGGATTTTTTCTCCTCCGTAGAGTCTGCACTCAGGCTAGACAGGAGCGGAAATCGGAGGACGATCTCTTGCGGGTGATGAAATGGCTATGCGAAGGAGCTTTGTTTAGATCCAGAAGTTAGGACAGTGGAAGTCTGTTGGATTTTGAAAATAATTGAGAATGTTGCTGCGATATTTGCAAGGCTGCCTTTGAAAGGGAGCAGTAAACATGAATGATAGAGTTAATTCTTGTTAACTAGCAAGTGAGCTCCCGGTCATCATAAAGCTTTGAGATCATAAACAAGAGTCTTCTTCTAAGACAAGGTAAGGAATAACAATGGTATACTTCGCCACCAGCATACACTGTACTTGTTTTTTAAACTAACCATTTTCGCACTGATCTAAAATTGTCACAGCGAGCGAATTTCAGTCACAGAAAAAAGTCAGCGTTGTTATCCACCATTTTTCGTCAGAGTAATGTTGTTGTTGTTGATTATTTCTAGACCATGCTTATTGCTAGTATTCGATAGTGTAACCCTCTTCTCGGTCTCGTGTCGTTAGATTAAGAAAGGGCTAGGTAAGTTATTACAATATTTAATTCTTCTTTGCGTCATTTTTAGTATTAGAGCATCCATAAAATAGACGGTACAAAACGAAATGAAATATATCTATTTTGTTTTTAACCAGCTTTTTAGACATGAATCTTGTTATTTTTGGATATATTCTGCTGCCTCCTCCTTTTCTGCCTGCGTTTGGTATAAATTCTACCGCCTTCCGGAGTTTTTTAGGTATTCAAAATTTTTGGATTTTAAACGAGAGCAAAAATTGGAATATTCTCGTAGGTAAATCAGGGCCTTTTTTTACATGTCAACTAGTAGGGAAATCAAAATACTATTGTCTTTCTCTCTATGTAAACAAAAGCCTTGCCATCCCAGCTAAAATCCCCTCGAAAGGCTACGGGAGCTATGAGAATTAAATGATCTAAACAAAGAACGAAAATGTAAATTTACTTGTGACTTCCTGTTGTTTCCCTGTGTTCCTCAATATCCCGCCATTTTTAGTCTTTGTCATTTGTGATTGGTCAGATCTTCAAAAGATGTCCTTGATTGGTCATTGCAAAAAATTTGGCGGTTGAATTCTCAGCTTCTTCAACTTGTTTCGTCTTGATAAACTTGTTGGCGGGTTCACATTTTATAGGCTTCTGGAAAAGCATAATTAGGATAGTTTTTAAGCCCACTGTTTGGCTGGAATTAATAAAAGGAAGTTCAGGACCTCCGAATCGACTGGCATGGCTGAAGTCCTAAAGGTAACTTGAAGTTACATTATCTTTGTTCCCTTAAAATCACATTACTCTACTGAGTAGATGTTTCGAAAACTCTCAGTCTCTTCGATGGCCATCTCGTAATTTTAAGTTGTGTCTTCTTTAAAACTGCCAATCTAAGGTTGGCGTTTCTGGGAGGAATGTAAAAAACCATAGGCCCAACTGCGCCGTTTTATCGCCAAACAAAAGCCCGCCAAAATATCCCTCCGTTCCATGCATGCTTTTTTTTCTTGCCGCAAGATCGTGTTCCTTTCATTATATGTACAATATAAGTAAATTTAGATACATGTTTTTCAAATGCTTCCAAGCAAACTCCTAAATAAAGTTCATGATTGCTTTTAAGAATAATTACCCTAAAAACCAACTTTTAAAATTACAAAAAAAGATTTATGTAATCAAGAAGATGATTTTAGAAGAAGCATATTGTATTTTTAAAAATAAAACAAAGTGGGACATGTGGAAACAATTCATAGAAGCTTTCTACTTTGTTTGACGTGATTCAAATTGCAATTTTGATGTTGCCATTGTTTTATAAACCACAGATAAAAATTCGATATTAATTATCAAATAAAAAGAGAAAATGAAGATAGTATAGTAGGGACTATATGTATAAATTGTTTTTATCAATATTTTTTTGTAAATATATATAAATATATAATATTTTAAAAAGTAAATATTTTAGTTTATATATATATAGAGGACCCTCCTGAAAGCACTTTAAAGAAACTTCATTCCTCTCGAACCCTGTATATGTATTTTTTGTGTGGGGAAAGAATTGGTCTGTTTCACTTCACGACATTGACACCTAGGGAGACTAGAGGACATAAAACTCAAGGCAAGATTTTTTAGCTAAAAGTCCTTCCATCAAAATATTAAAATTTCAAACTGTTAAAAGACGTTTCAGCTCATTATTTTTTTAAAAAGTGCTTTAAAAGGATTGAAGTTTTGATTGGTGGTTGTTTCACTTCCGACCCACTCCCATTCCCCACTTAAAAACACAATCAATTGGCACAATAATAGCTTTTGATCATCCTCATGCCATTTCACCTCCTTCAGGTTGGTGCAATATTTTTGTGAGGAGAGTGCATATATACACTTACGTTCAAAACATATTGGGGGCAAATTGCAAGGTTGGATCAGTTGTTAGAGGTGCTTACTGCAGACACAAGGGTCCTTGTTTCGAGTCTCTGGCATGACCAACTTTCACCCAGAGTGAGGAGAGTCGCCAGCTCTTAAAAATTCCAGGTGTAGGAATCAAGAGGTGTGGTCACATCAAAAGGAAGGACCAGTACACTGCTCAATAAGCATAAGCTTCTCAGTGTCCTAAAAACTAACTTCAGACGCTAGGTAGAAACCAATACAATACAATACAATTCAGTTAAAAAACTATATGGTCACACTATTAGGGTTCACAACAAACTTTGTTCAGATATGAACAGTCTTTTTTCAAATAAGGTAGGCCTATGTATCCCTAAAATGAGGTTAAATGTTGAACAAAACAATTTTTGAATCATAACTATAAAAGCATTGGATTCTTACAATTTTCCTATAAATAATATTATTTATAGGAAAATTGTAAGAATCCAATGCTTTTATAGTTATGATTCAAAAATTGTTTTGAGCAAATTCTGCTAAAGAGTTGTATGGCCTAAAAACAGCAAAGCAAACTCCATGGCCTTAGCAATTTTTTGAAGATGTCCAAACAAATTCAATTTTTTAGATTCACATTTGCAAAACAAAATAGTTTACAAAGAATATTCCAAAATCAAACTTTTAAGTCTCATATGAAGTTCACTGAATCAATGAAAACGTTACAATTTCATGAAATTATTAAAGCTACTTTTAAAACTGCATAACACTAAAGTTAAAGCCATAGTTTTCATTGGATGACAATTAATTTTTGCTTTGAGAAAGCTTTTTTTCTTGTAAAGCTGGAAAATTTGTATTTCTTATTATTTTTACAGCCACGTTTTTGCTTATGTTCCTAAATTTAATTTTTCTTATACGACAATATAATGTCTGGTTAGAATTCAGACCTATTACTTTTCAGTTTCCCCAGAAAGGACCTTTCATCTCTCAGTGTCATAAATTTCTTCGGTCTGCCAACCCATGAAAAAATTGTTGCTCCTATTGTAAGGAAAAACTTCTTACACACCACAAAAGCTGCTTCTTGTAACAAAGTTCTTGATTTTTCAGAACTCCCTTGCTTCCATCTCAAGGCCAATATATGTTTAATGGTTGATGTTTTTTGAATTGTTTGGCATACATAAAAGGCACTGAAACATCAACAATGTCTTAGAACAAATTTCACGGAAATAGCTACCATTGTGGAATAATGAAAAATATTTTTAAAAAGTTTTTCCAAATTTGTTGGATGATATGTCTTTGAAATGTTGTAGTTTGCCCCAATATTTTTTTAACATAAGTGTATATATGTACTGTCACTGTATTTGTCTCATAGTGAGAGTGAGTGAACATCTGAAACATTAGCATTTGGCTAGCATGCTCAAGTGTGGAACTTATCCTTACTTGAGTCTGTACAAATGGTCAAATCTTTTTTTTGCACAGTATTTTCATTTTGTCTTTGAACTTGTTCCCTTTATTGTCAAAAGAAAACTAATATCTTTGATCCTTTCCAAGAATTTTTATGCTTGTACCTCAGCACATCAATGGCCTGTTTTGTTAATCTTTGCACATATAAACAATATGTTAAATATAACTTAAACTTTGATATTCAAAGGCACATGACCCAAACAAAATGCCAGTCAATGGCAGCCCAAACAAGTCTAAGAAAGGCAAGAGGATGTCTGTGGAGAGGATATACCAGAAGAAAACCCAAAGAGAGCATATACTTCTGCGTCCTGACTCATACATTGGATCAACTGAAGCTGCCAATAAAAGCATGTGGATATGGGATGAAGATAAAAGGGCGATTGTTATGAAAGATATAACATACAGCCCTGGGCTTTACAAGATTTTTGATGAAGTGTTGGGTAGGTCAAGTTAGTTTCTCTCTTTCTCTCTCCCTGAGAACCTTTTGGCAATTTTGTCATCTTTGACCACTATTGCCTGTTAGTTTTAATAATCATTTGTGTTCTTTTTTCAGTTAATGCTGCAGACAACAAGCAAAGAGACTCTTCAATGAACATGATCAAGATTTCCATTGATGTGTAAGTTGTTTGTCATCTTTGTTTCAGGTCTTTTGGGGAACGAAAAGGCAGATGTTTGGCAAACTGAGCACCTTTAACTTTCTAGGCACACAATCGAACAATGTATGAATTACTGAAAGATGGAGATTGGTAGTCAACAAATATTAAAATATGGAGATTTTTTATTCAGATTACATTAAAGAAAGTTCTGTTAAATGATTAAGATTTGTGAATAGTTATTTCTCATAATTCTTGTAATTTTCAGATTTATTGCCCTATTAAAACTGTTTTTTTTTCAATTTTAGAGCCAAAAATGTAATCAGTATATGGAATAATGGAAGGGGCATTCCAATTGAAATTCACAAAGAACAGAATGTTTATGTGCCAACTCTCATTTTTGGACAGCTTTTGACCTCTTCAAATTATGATGACACTCAAAAGAAAGTCACAGGAGGTCGCAATGGCTTTGGAGCAAAACTTTGCAACATTTTCAGCAAGAAATTTGTGGTGGAGACAGCATGCTCAGAGTCTGGAAAGAAGTTTAAGCAAGTAAGGTTCCTTTGTTGTTTTGACTTAAATAATGAAACATTGTACTATGCCTCAAGTTCCATTCCTAAGTGATTTATTACCTGCTGGTGGACTGGAAATGAACAAATAGACATGGCATGGATCAACTCTTTAAAAAAGTATTTCAATCATGAAAGTGAGGTGCTCAGGGTTTCAAGTATGACATTGGACACTTGTTTGGGCTCTCGACAACAGAAAGTAAAGCTAAATCATATTTTATCTAGTTTCTTCATTTTCTTGCTTCTAAAGCATCTTTTCCTAAAACTCATGATGCATTTAAAACTAGTTTTAGTCAACATTTGCTTTAAGAATGTTATTCCTTAAATTTATAAATACACTTACAGGCCTTTTCGTTTCACGCGGGCGATCACCCTTGCCATCACCCCGCCAAATTATTGATGTGGGCTATTGACCGCCTTTGCAAAAACATGTATAGCCAACAAATGTCACCATTGTTGTTGTCACTATTATCCAATTCACATCTTCACGCGGCGTTGTCGAGGATTTCATGCGAAGCCTTCAAGAAATTAGTAAAATCAGAAAGGTTCATGTTTTGGAAAAGGAAAGCCTTAATGAGGTTTATATCTTAATGATGCAAACATATGAGCCAGTTTTCATAAATTTTAGTGATGCTCACAAATAATATTGCATTCAATTGTGATGATTTCAACAGAAATATCCCAGATGCACTTCCAATTGTCAAATTTAAGGTTGCCATTTGGAGCTTCAGTGTAAAAAATTGTGTTGAGTTTTTGAGTGGGCTAAATCTGGAAGCTTTAATTTTGTTGTTAATGTTTATATCACTTGCTATCATTGTAGTGCATCCATAGATTTATTTGTTCTTGAATTGAGCCAGAATGGTACCAAAAGATATATGGGCATATTTCAAAAATGAGGGACAGATTTTGAAAAATTTAAACTATAAACCAAGAGTATAGATGACATTTACATGATTTTATGATATCTAAACAATATAAAAAAATCAAGCCAAGAATTATTTCAACTATGTTTTGAACTAAAGGGCAGTGAAGATTAGGAATAATTGATATTTGAAGTGTGGTGTATTTTTTGATTGTATCCAAGTTTAAATTTTGAGGTGAATTTGAGCTAGAATTTCTTTGGAGCATGTATTTTAAAATATTTTAGAGTAGTTGTTTTGGTGGCTTGGTTGTTAACCATATGATGCCTTGCAGTAACAAAATTCCTTCTGTTACTTTATATGTTACTGTATCAAAAATGTTCTCTTCTGGGTACTTAACATCCAACTCACCAATACCATATATCTGAACTATCTCTTTCTGTCCAAATAAGATTGCTGACACAAGCTAGTTTCAATAGAAATGTTTTTCAACTGTTTAGGGTATCTCAAAGCCTTCATTGTGTTACTTTTCTGTGCTTTTTTCCTTCCGTTACTTACTTATTTTAGAATATTTGTAGCTGTTTAGTTTTAGAATTTTTCACTCCTTAATTTATAAAAATTGTTGTCATACAATATAAGGGTAGTCATTTCCTAAAAATTGTGGAATGCCACAATTATTTCAGTGCTCTGTACCATGTGGCCCTGGCTTTCTAAAGTTTATGTGCATGATTTTCCAAAGGCAGTTATTTAAAAATGTATTAATATTCAAAATATTTTGACAGGAAAAACAAGATTAATTAATTTTCATGTCTCAGAACTGGCAAATAAATTGGGAAATCCAGAAGTGTGATACTTGTCTCATGTGGTATTATAATAAACTGATCAAGATGTTGTTTTGAAGGCTTTGGTACATTTCTTGCAAATATTAATACTAAAATGATTCTAAGTGTTCTTAAGTATTTTTAGGCAATCTTTGAATTGCTATTCTTGACAGCCCTGAAAAACTTTACTGTTAACTAAGGCTTGCACAGATTGTTGAGGGATTTCAACCATTACCTACAATAAAGCTGCATGTTAATATGTGCAAGGCATACTGACCTTTGTTAACCTTTATATCTAATGTTACCCCTTGTTTCATCAAAGTTTTTCAGATAAAGTTGGATTAACACAGTATCAGATCATTTAATATTTGTCATAGTTGTCATATTAAAGTAATAATTCTAAAATTTTCCACATCTGTTAACATGCATCCTTCCGTTACTTTATTCCGATTCCCTCCGTTACTTTATATGCATGCTACAAACACTTTACTTTTGAAACGTAAACAGCTACAGCCTTTTGAAATATCCCAATATAGCACTTTATGACTACCATGCAAAAGAAACTCATTTAAAAAATATGAATTCGTAAAGACCTCAAGTAAATTGATGCAATCTAATTTTGCAGGTTTGGAAGAATAACATGACAAAGACTGCTGATGCCTCCATTAATGATTTCAGGGGAACCGATTTTACCTGTGTTACCTTTGAGCCAGATCTTGCAAGATTCCATATGGAAACATTGACAGATGACATGGTTGCACTTCTGAAGAGGAGAGCATATGACATCGCAGGTGCCTTAAAAGGAGTAACTGTTCTTCTGAATGGAGAAAAACTCAAGGTAACAGATATCCGTTATGATTTAGGTCTATCTTGTAAAGAGATGATCAAAAATGACAGAAAAACCCTCTACAGTCCAGTTGCATGGGCTAAATAGCCTTTGTGGAAATAGCCCCTGTGGAAATTGCCAATCTTATAGTTAAATAGAACTCATGTTAAAAAGATATAGAATTTTGTTTGTTAACTTGGAGAAGCTTAAAATGACAATTAAGTGTGTTTTGACCATTGAAGCAAGATCAGATTAAGCAATAAGAAAACGAGCAAATGTCAATATTGCGGCGGTCTGTTTTGTCCGTTTTCATTTCCTTTGTTCGAGCTCATCTTGAAACTGAAGATGAACGAATTCGTTTTTAATTGACTCCATTTTCGATTTTCTCATTAAAACAATTCGTTTTTAAATGACACCGTTCTCCAATGACTTCGTTTTTGCTGTTCCCATTAAAATGATTCGTTTTCAAACGACTCTGTTTTCTGATGATAACTTTGAACGTCATTTTCAAATGTCTCCATTACCCAAAATCAGAAACGATCTATTCAGCTCCGTTTCCCTACGAAAATAGAGTAATAAGAACAGGGTCTGATTTCCAACGGACTAACACATTATTAATTGCCCCTTTGCCATTTGTTGGTTAAATGGGGCCTTCTTTTTTTATTTGCTAAAGCTATTTTTGTGTGTTTTCTCTTTAACTTTGCTGATCAGAACTGAACATGAACACCACTATACAATGTGTAGCATTCAGTCAATTAATTAAAAGTTTTGTCACGTTTAATGATTCAATAGAAAAAACTTTGTTGCACTGTGTTAACAATTAAATTTGATTCGCGCACCCCCACTCTTGTCACGCGAATTTTTGGCAGCGCGCGTTGATCTCTGAACGTAAAAGCCCTGCAACCTTCTAATAATTATCTAGAGTTTTTCGCAAGAGTTTATTTCTTTTAATTCCAGGTCAGAGGCTTCAAGGAATATGTTGACCTTTATTTGAGAGGTGCCAAAAAAGACGAAGATCAGAAGGTTGTTCATGAAATTTGCAATCCAAGATGGGAAGTTTGTGTTACTGTCAGTGATTGTGGATTTCAGCAAGCCAGTTTTGTCAACAGTATTGCTACTACAAAGGTAAGAGACATCACTGAACTTTCCTCAAAATACACCATTAGACAATTTTTTGCCCTCTGATTTTATATAAATAAGAAAGCCAGCCAGTGCTGTCAAATTTCAATGTGAAAAGCTCGTGTATTTACATGATTTCCATCCACTTTTATCATTTGTAGCATTATAAAGTTTTGGTACATATAAACATTAGTATTTTTGGAATATACTGTTGTTTCTTTTACAAAATGCTTATATATTCTTAGCAAATGCAATACCAGAGTGTTGTCAGTAAACTTAGTTGCAGCTTTCTTAACTCTTTTAGGGTGGAACGCACATAAACTACGTAGTGGATCAGGTTGTTTCAAAGATGATTGTGGCTGTGAAAAGGAAAGCAAGCAAAGAGCTCAATATAAAGCCATTCCAAATTAAGAACCATCTTTGGGTTTTTGTTAACTGCTTGATTGAAAATCCTGCTTTTGACTCTCAAACAAAAGAGAACATGACCCTGAATCAAAAATCTTTTGGATCGACTTGTGAACTCTCTGAGAAGTTTATCAAAATGGTACTTACATAATACATATAATTATTGTATATTATATGTTACTTATTGTAACTGCAAGAAAACAAGGTTCAGTCAGTATATTAAAAATTTGTTGACTGCATTGTTAGAATCCCATAAAACTGGGATGGGCACAATGCTGAAAGTGACAGTGGCTCCTTGCAATGGATCTTGTTTACAAACTATCTATTATAGTCAAGACAACATTTTGTACGACAAATCTTGCTTATGTTGAGACTGGCATTGAATTTGGAAGTTTTACTAGAATTGGGGTATTTGTTTAGCCCTTTACAAACTTTTTGTTATGACCAAATACATTTGTTTTGTTGTGCTGGGTATGACATATGCTCTTGTCATTTTCTATGAACTAATGGCTAAAATTTTTGCGCTAAATGATTTTCGATTACTCTATTGTCTGTATCTCACAAGACTTCTCGTTTGTTCTTGTTTGTATCTAGGTGCAAGGTTGTGGTGTTATGGACAGCATTATGTCTTGGGTGAAATTCAAGACGCAAGAGAAATTGAACAGCCAGTGTTCAGGTATCAAGAAGACCAAGCTAAAGGGAATTGCAAAGCTTGATGACGCTAACGATGCTGGTACCACCAAATCGCAAAACTGCACACTCATTCTAACCGAAGGAGATTCAGCCAAAACATTGGCAATCAGTGGTCTTGGGGTTGTTGGCAGAGACAAGTATGGTGTGTTCCCTTTGCGTGGTAAGCTGCTGAATGTACGGGAAGCAACTAGTAAACAGGTAATTAATCGTCTGCCTTTCATATGACTGTAAAAGTGTATTTTAATTTGTTTTCGGATCTGTCAATTTCCTCGTTGATCTTAACTGATAAATGTTGCCTGAGATACCATGTTGCAATCGAACTATCTTTCTTGCACAAAATGAACTCCAAAACGTCTTTGTGACTTAAATTACTACAATATTACAATTTCATAGATAATGGAAAATGCTGAGATCAACAATGTGGTGAAAATCTTAGGACTCCAGTACAAGAAGAAGTATACAAGTGAAGCAGATTTGAAATCCCTGCGTTATGGAAAGTTAATGATAATGACAGATCAAGATCAAGATGGGTCACACATCAAAGGACTCCTCATCAATTTCATTCATCATAATTGGCCTAGTCTTCTACAAACAAACTTTCTAGAGCAGTTCATCACTCCAATCGTCAAGGTATTAGCTCTAACCTTGTTGTTGCCGATGAATTACGACAATAAAACATTTATTCACTAGCAATTAAGAGTAACGAAGGCGCTGGCAAGTCTTGATAGGTTAAATAGCATTTCGAACAGAAATTGCCTAGGACCAGAAGTTTTTTGTAAACGATTGTTTTTATGCCGATTTCCAACATCCCTTCCTTCACTTCCATGTTGATAAATTTTTGCAATTTAAAATCCATGTATTATGTAGATTGCCACTTTATTGATATCTTTGTAGAACAATGAAAAACAGATCATAAAGGAAAATTTAAAGAATTTTGCTACGTTTTTATGCTCTATGATTCCAGGTTTCGAAGGGCGGTCAGACGTTTTCATTCTTCAGCTTGCCGGAATTTAGAGAATGGAAAGACAGAACTCCGAACTCGAAATCATGGAAAGTGAAGTACTACAAAGGTTTGGGTACAAGCACAAGTAAAGAAGCCAAGGAATATTTCAGTGACATGCTTAGGCATCGAATACATTTTGATTACGATGGGCCATCAAGTGACCAAGCAATCGAGCTTGTAAGTCCTGCCTTGTTTCCCGTTATATCATCACTTTCAGTTTATCCATGTTAAGATACTCTAAGCTGTAACTATATATCTATCTCTATATATATAATCATAAGGCAAATGCTGACAGGAGGAAAATTCTTTCCACAAGGGTGCTGCCCAATATATATAATGTATTAAGGTAATTAAGATGAATTTATTCATGCTGTTTTCTTTAACAAACTTCATGCTTTAACTTTAACAAGGCATTCAGCAAGAAGATGGTATCAAACAGAAAAGACTGGCTAACATCTGGAATGGAGGAAAGGAAAAGACGAAGGGAGCTTGGAATGCCAGAAATCTACTTGTATGGAACAGAAACAAGGAAAGTGACTTATACAGATTTCGTCAATAAAGAGCTGATACTGTTCTCGAATGCAGACAATGAAAGATCGATCCCATCTCTCGTCGACGGTACCATTTCAATCATTTTGATAAATGTGATTTTTTGTTTTTGTGTTCGTCAGTTGCTGATTCTTTTGATATGAAAACATTTGCTTCATTAATGGCAAGCTTTGTTTTTCCAAGGGATTTCCAAGTGATAACTTTAGCTTCTCTTCGTAGGGCTCAAACCTGGTCAAAGGAAGGTTCTTTTCACCTGCTTGAAGAGGAATGATAAACGAGAAGTAAAAGTTGCACAACTTGCCGGTTCTGTTGCAGAGATCTCAGCATATCATCACGGTGAAGTATGTTAATTCCTAGTTTTTTCAATTGAATTTTTCCATTTTTGTTGCCCTTTTTTGCCATTTTTATTCTATGGTTTTACAGTGTATGAATTCGGTACATGTTTCGATTAAAATTAATATTTCGTATGTATTTGTCATGAAATGAGCCCATTTTTCAAAATCAAAATGAGACCAAATCCAAATCTGGCCTATAGACAATTCACAAATTTCATGAAACCTTTGTTAGCCTTCGGTTCGTGATTGCATTATGCTGTGTATTTTGCATGCGTCGTTGCGTTGAAAGTTTCTAAAATGTTGATTTGATTGTACGATGATTACTTCTAAAACAAATCTTTTAAAATTAAGTCCCAGTCTATTCGTTTTATTATTTTACACTGGCTCCTTGTTGTTTTGCAGAATAAATTATATTCAGTACATTTAGTGTAAATAACGAACCATGCAGTCTTCAGTGGCTGGTCCCTTCCCATCCCCATTCCCTGCGTCAAACTGAAACATTACAGTGTGGGTCACTATTGCCAAATTTGTTTGATATTTTGCCTTGCAGATAAGCTTGATGGGCACAATCGTGAATTTGGCTCAAAATTATGTTGGTTCCAACAACATAAATTTGCTTCAGCCTATCGGCCAGTTTGGGACACGAATCAATGGAGGTAAAGATTCTGCTAGTCCGCGTTACATTTTCACAATGCTGAGCCCGTTGACCCGCTTGCTCTTCCCTGTTTTGGATGACCCAATTCTTAACTACAATTTTGATGATGGCTTGAAGATAGAACCAGAGTGGTACTGTCCAATTCTGCCAATGGTTTTGGTGAATGGTGCAGAAGGGATCGGGACAGGTTGGTCAACTAAGGTACCAAATTACAACCCTAGAGACCTTGCTGAAAACATTAAAAGAATGATTGCTGGCGAAGCTTTGAAGCCAATGGTAGGCCGTCTTTATTTCTCCTTGCTTTTTTCTTTTCTTTTTTGCTTTTCTATGCTTCATTTGCTATGACTTGCATCTTTACTCTGCCTGTAAAGAAAAAAAATATTTTATGCAGATCCTCCAATGAAAGTTATCCGACGTTTATTGTTTTTGGGTTGTCGTTATCTCCATGTCGATTAAGGCCAATTTACACTCCGAATATGATGCATTCGGAATTTAGTTTTTCATCCGAATTCGCAATGCGAACCAAAAGTTTCTTGATATTACTAGCTTAGCCAATCATATGAAACGACCCTTCAAAGATGGCGAACGTCACATCTGCTGCAACTTTAATGATTGATTGGGATAACAATTTAGTTGGTGCGTTAATCGAGCAAATGCTCTTCAAGAAATTAAGGGCAATTTAATGCAGAAAATTCTTGAACCAATTGGGAGGCATTCGAAACTATTGAAGGACGCTCTCAAGATATGCCAATTGGGCAACTATGCGTGAAAATTTTCCCTGATTCATCACAGGTGCGGACATTTACAATTTAAAATAACAAGAAGAAAAAGAAAAATATTTCCAACATCATTAAGGTATTGACACATTTAGACATTAAACAAAACAGGACGATATCACAAAGAATGTGTACATGCACATCTCCCTTGTAGCCAAACAGGAAAAGAACAACAAAGAAACACAAAAAGGGGGAAAATGGATAGAAAAAGAGGAAGTTGAAATGTGCAGCTTCCTTACCAGGTCTTGAAAATGAAAATGAAATGATGATCATACAAATCGATTTGTAGCAGTAATTTATTTTTTAGTTTCTGACAGCATATGCTTATTTCAAATGTCACTAAACTGGGTATTAACGCACAGAAGTAGTGAAACCAAATCATTATCGTTTAAACTGTAAATATTTAAATCGTAAAACATGGATATGTATGATACTTCGTCAAGGAACGGGGCTCTGTGTGTTGAGTGTTTATGGCAGAGCAGCAAGAAATGGGCAATGTCTTCTAAACTATCATTAAACAGGCACATCGGGTCGGTTGTATCATTGAGATTATGCCTAAATTTATGTTCTTTCACATAACTTAGACCAACTCTTGGGTGAGTAAGATATCTTAGCCCATCAGGATCATGAATGCCAAAGATCTGTTTTTTCTTGGGTCTTATTTAACTTAACAGCTTGGATTTTAAAATTGACAAACAAGTCTTTCTTTGGTTACAGCATCATCCAATGACGCCTTAGCACGCTTTGCATTTCAATCTCCTTTGCAGTGCTGTAACCGTTTTTGCCTGCCCTGTCTATCTACGAAGTGAAAATTGACGTAACGTAGCAAACTCCTTTGTTGCATTAAGTAGATGTTAGATGTAATCTTTCATCCGCAAAATTATTGTATGAGGTCTGAATGCCTTCTAGATTTGTCACGAGTGACCGAATTGGGTCTTTGTAATTTTCTGTTTATTTCCTGTTGCCCAATAGATTCCCTGGTACAAGAATTTTAAAGGCACCATTGAGGAAGTTGAACCAAACAAATACAGCTGCACTGGATGCTATAACATAGTCGATGATACAACTGTTGAAATCACAGAATTGCCAGTCAAAACATGGACATCAAACTACAAGGAAAGTGTTTTAGAGTCTTTTTTGCATGGAACGGAGAAAGTGAAACCGTGCATAAGGTGAGGAAATTGTCCTTGCTCTTTTGCCCAACGAAAACAACTTTTCCTAGTCATTTGATTTCCTGTACTGACAGTCTGTGTAACCCGGCAGTGTTAATTTTTCTTTTCAGTGATTACCGCGACTGTTGCACAGATAAGACTATCGACTTTTTTGCTACAATGGGGGAAAACGAACTGGCAAAGGCTGAGCAAGAAGGAATCGTGAAAAAGTTCAGGCTCGAGGGCTCACTTCCTTGCACTTCAATGGTTTGTCTTGAGTCTTGTTTTGACGTCATCCGCGCATTGAAATAGCAATGTTTGGTTAATATATTTGTTGCCAATGTTTATATGATGATTTTTCAAGTTGAGAATCAACTCCGCGACATAATTTATCACATTAGAGCTTAATATGTGCAGATTGATTTTAATCGGTTTGATACATCATCGCTTGGCCCCCGATGGCACTAATAGACAAGATTTCAAACCAGGCTTCCACCCGCCAAGGAATATTGATTTTTCTGTATCACCATTAGGCCAGACATTTACGGGTAGGTAACCTTAAGCTAATGTTCCGATGTACTTGCTGGTACATTTTGAGAAGCTGTAAGATTTTCACTTGACCTGTTTAAGCACTTGCACGATTTGATAGTAGCCATTTTCATTTGAAGGTGCTGTTTGATGCAAAAGGAGTTTTGCGTAGGTACAACACTGCAGAGGAAATTCTGAAGGAGTTCTTTGAGGTGAGAAGGCATAATTACCGAGAGAGGAAATCCTATTTGAGAGGAATGCTTGAAGCAGAGGCGTTAAAAATGGAAAACCAAGCACGGTTTATTCTGGAAAAGATCGACGGCAAAATTTTTATTGGTAATGAGGTCTTCAAAATTTGCTTTGTTTTGCTGTTGTTTTTTGTATTAAACACAAGTGAATCCTCGAATCATTGGCAGAACACCTGCCTCTTCAACTGAATGCCCCCCCAACGTAATATGCACCCGACCCTCTCAATGTGATCCTCTTCCTTGTTTTTTTATCATATAAAATTTTTACAATACATGTTTTACGTCTACATCCTACTATACTTTCCCTAATTACTTCACAAAGTGTACAACACTACAAGAACGGTACAACTGACTAGCCTGTGGCCATTAAACTAAAAAAATGTAGAACAGGCAACAGCTAAATGAAACAATTACGGACACCTACAAATGCTATTACTCACTGACTACTAGAACCCGTTTCACACTGGATGTTCGGTCTAAGGTATTCTATTAAAAAAGGTATTCTATTTGATGTTAAGTTTTATTCATGCTAATTTCGCGTGACAAGCTAATTAGATAATGGACAGGCGTCATTTGTTCTGAATATATCTGTATATATATAGCATAGAGTCCAAGAAAATAAAACCACATGTTTTAACTCTACAAGCCTTTTTTGTGAAAAACTCACTTATCAGGATATATATTATCCTATCTATGTATGAATAAATATGTGGAATTTTGAATTTTTTTAGAAAATCGCAGCAAGAGAGATGTTGTTACGACTCTAGTCGAGAAGGGGTACATATCGGATCCGGTCAAAGCATGGAAGAAATCAATTGAGAAGGAGGTAGTGCTGGACAATGAGAGCGAGGATGGTAGTGTTGTCAGTAGTGACGCTGGTCCAGACTTCAACTACATCTTGAATATGAACCTATGGAGTTTGTCTAAAGAGAGGAAAGACGAGCTTTTATCTGAACGTGATAAGAAGGTTGGCGCATTGAAACTCCATTATCTCTGACTTCTGTAATGCTTTTCGTCATTGGATGTCTCTGCGGCAGTCCCAATACCCTAAAACAACTTTATACGGGTGTCAGAGAAAAAGATGAATGACAGTTATTAATTTCCATTCAGTCCAGACCCTCTTTGCCAACCTTTACTAACTTAAAATATTATTTGTATTCCATTATCTCATAACATATTGTTTGCAAAACTGTACTTTTCTTTATTTGTTCCTTAAAAGTGATTGCAGAATAATACAATATAATCGGCCTTTTCAGTTCATTTTTATGCTCTCTGAAATATTTTTGTAACAGAAATATTTTCGTTTTTGTGCATCCATGATGTAACGCTGAAAATGTTCTTAATTGCAGAAAGCAGAACTTGAAATGCTGCTCCAGAAGACACCAGAAGATCTCTGGTTGAACGATCTGGACGTTTTCCTTGAGGAATTAGAGGTGCGTTGCCGAGGAAATTCATCAGGCACTTTAAGGCATTCTAATTTTGTAGTTATGCGATGTTTTGTCAAATCTTTCCACAAAATGCTATGTCCTGAGCAGTGACCTACATGTGAGCTGCTTAAATTGTACCAAACCAGTTCCTTTCTACATTGATAATTCTTGGCAATGACGTAAGAGTTTTATTTTAGAGAGTTGAGGCGACGGAGCGTGATGAAGACGAGGCCTCAAGGAAGAGTGCCATGGCATCGAGAGGAGGGCGACAGCAAAAGTTGAAAGTGACGAAGAAGAAAGAGAAGCAAAAGACGACGGCAAAGACCGCTGCTAAGGAAAACAATGTCGTGAAGAAAGAAAGTAAAGAGTCGAATGACGCAGTTAGTGAAAAGGGCAGTGAAAAGAGCAGCAAAAAGGACAGCGAAAAGGACAGCGAAAAGGACAGCGAAAAGGACAGCGAAACGAGTAGTAATATCACATCAGGAATCTTGTCACTTGCAGAAAGATTGGCTCAAAAGAAAGGTGCTTGTTATGTTTGTTGACCCTTGTATCTATAATCAGTGGTTTGTGAAACTCTTAGTCAAAGATCACGTCTGGATTAGCTTTTGTTAAACATTGCTCTTCGTTAATTATTTGTAAGGCTTTCCGCATTAGTAAAAGCAGATTTCCGCATTCTCTCTTGTTTTGCAGTTTTGAACGGGACCAAAAAGCAATCAACACTCAGTTTCGATGGAGCAAAAATAAAGAAGAGACCAAAGGTGATACAATCATTTACATTTTTTTACAATTATGACATATTTTGCTTTTAGAAACTTTCGATTAATCATTCGCTTTTATTTTCCTGGATTGCCGCAAAGATTTCGAAGAACCTGAGGGTAAAACCTGAACGATTTGGTGTTGTTTTGTTGTAACATTCAACTTAATTAAAAAAATTAAAAAAATTTCAACGTAACAAAGACTTATATTACTTAACAGTGTTCACCAATCAATGTTTGTCATGCCCTTTTTAATAGAAGCTTACGATTCCATCTTCGGATGAAGAAGATTTCCACATCTCCGATGACGAAAGGGAAGATGCGTTTCTTCCGTCGAAAAAGAGGAAACTACCAGCGCTTGAAAAGCCCAAGTCGTCTCTGGTCTTCGAGACCATAGAATCAGATGGTGAAAACAGCGAAGTGGAAAGAACAAAAGAATTAATTCAACGACTGACACCCAAGAAGAGCAAAGATGCTAGCCACGAATCAGCTATGGCTTCGGACAAGTCATTGGACAAGTCATTGGAAAAGTCATTGGACAGTGACAAAGACTCTGAAATTGCTGTAATTGAAGATGTTTCATCTCCGCCGGCAGCGAAGAAAAAAACCATAGCTGCTAAAAAGCCAGTCGGTCCCAGGGCAGTGAAAGCTGCGGCAAAGGGGGCTGCAACAAAGAAGAGGGGGGCGGCGAAGAAAGATGAAAAGCAAATGACTTTATTTGCAACAGCAGCAAAAGCAATGGACAAGAGGAGAGCTGCATTGCTGACAGATAGCGATGAAGATTCTGCACAGCCAGTCGCATCTGAAGAGAAGGTAAACTGATTTTGTTTGTAGGTCAACTGTTATAGTTACACTGTTTTCACTGCGTAACTGTTTCTCGTTATACGGGAATTATATTACAAGCAGGAACAGAAATTGGTAGAAAAAGATCGTAAATGCTAAAATGTAATTGTTAGTTGTTCGTTGTCTGTTTTTATTCGAACTCTTTGTTAACTCTTTCTGTTCAATATTAGCATCTTGTCCGTTTTGATATTGGCTGGATAGTTTGTTCATCAATAAAAAGGGAGCAGTACTTTTCCCGGTGGATTTTGTTACATTGCATTGTACCTTCCCTCTTCAATGCTAACTACCTCTATATTGCCCCATCCCAGATTTTTTCATTTATCTTCTTCCCATTTATTCTGCCCTGTTGCCTCTCTATTCATACTAACCCATACCTACCCTGTGGTGCCACCTGAGGAAGGAAGGTGCCACCTGAGGAAGGAAGGTGCCACCTGAGAAAGGAAGGTGCCACCTGAGAAAGGAAGGTGCCACCTGAGGAAGGAAGGTGCCACCTGAGGAAGGAAGGTGCCACCTGAGGAAGGAAGGTGCCACCTGAGGAAGGAAGGTGCCACCTGGGAAAGGAAGGTGCCACCTGAGGAAGGAAGGGCCACCTGGGGGAGGGAGGGGCCACCTGAGGAAAGGATGTGCCACCTGAGGAAAGGATGTGCCACCTGAGGAAAGGATGTGCCACCTGAGGAAGGAAGGTGCCACCTGAGGAAGGAAGGTGTCACCTGAGGGAGGGAGGTGCCACCTGAGGGAGGGAGGTGCCACCTGAGGAAGGAAGGTGCCGCCTGAGGGAGGGAGGTGCCACCTGAGGAAGGAAGGTGCCACCTGAGGAAGGAAGGTGCCACCTGAGGAAGGAAGGTGCCACCTGAGGAAGGAAGGTGTCACCTGAGGAAGGAAGGTGCCACCTGAGGAAAGGATGTGCCACCTGAGAAAATTTAAGTAAAGCAATCGTTCTTCTGCCTTTCATTTGGCTCTGCTCCTGTAATATTTATAACTTCTTGCTCGCTCTTTCCTCCCTTCGTAAACAACGGTCGATAATGAGGCGAAAGTTGCGTGTGTAAGACGTTTTGTTGAAGGTGCATCGATTTTAGTTTGATTCTCATTAATTTTTAGCCAGTGAAGGGAGATCCCAAAAAAGACACAAAGAAAAGAGAAAAGGCGAAACCAACTAAAGTTGCTGCAAAGAAAAAGAAGGTTTTTGCGGACAGTGATGACGACGAAGACAGGTTTTCGTTTGATGATTCTGATCCGGGGCCTTCGAAGCCGTCTCGTTCCCGTGCTACAAGAAAAGCCAATAAAGTCAGTTACAGGTTTGGGGACTCGGATGAAAGCGAGGGTGAAGAAGACAAGAGCCAAAGCCTTGTGATATCCGATGATGATGATGATGGCAGTGATTTTTAGGCTCGTAGTTTCATGTTTAAGATGCTCGAATCCTGGTCTTTGGTGCCAACAAACGTCACTGGTTGTTTTGCAACCTGCTACTCCGCGGTTACTTCACGGTAGTTGACTAAATCGGTATGCCTAATTATACGTCAGGCTTAAACAGCAAGCAGACATCGTGGTGATATGAAGTAATTCGATGTACACAGGGTTTTCCTGTCCAAATATTGCCACGTGCTGTAGAATTAAGTACCCTGTGGCCGCTTAACGTTATTAACGCAGAATTTTATTTATTCCATAGGAGTCTGTCCGGCTGTTTCGGTTCATCAGTAGTATTGTCATTAATTTTCAATGTGTTATTTGACCTGGGTTCAAGACTTTATCAAGCAGCAAACCTTGCCATTCCCCAAAGCCCTGGTATAGTGGTTTATCCCATTTCTAGCTGCAAGTTTATCTGTGATCAGATCATAAATCAGACCTTATTTGCAATTAGGAATCTAGTGGACAGGACTTTGGTAATCAAGAAGCCAATACAAATATTCAAATCATATCTTTCTTGGTTTGTTACAGTTATATTTTATCCATGTTAAATAATTTGAGTTAGTCCTGATACTTTTATTGATTTTATATTAAGCTCAGATAAGTTGAAAAAACGTGTGTTTTTGTAAATATAATTTTAGGGACATTGCAAAAGGCAATTAGAATGATTTTTCTTTACATTTGAATGATTCAACATCTTTACAGTTGTCTTCTACTGCCATTCGCAAGAAGTGGATTACGATAGAGAAACAGTTTCCATTCCCTGGATTGATATACGCATGCCCATTCTGTTTTGTCATTGGCTGGTCAGTGTCAATTACAATGACGCCTTTATGGCAAAACAAAGATTTTGCAAAGCTTTTCATTTCGACCAAATTTTTATAGAGAAGACGCATTGAACAATGAGCTTATAGTGTGGCAAGATTGTAACGTCTAAAACCTTTTTTAGACTTAATTCAAAGGTAAAAAAAATTTGTCGTCTCAGTTTGTTTTAGGTACATAGCATCCTTCATTCTACATACCTGGGGCAGTTGCTGTTTCTGTCTCATAGGAAATACACTCAAAAAGTTCTCAACATGTTCCCACAACTATAGGCAATGTAATGCAAGAATGCCTCTTCAAAAAACCGTTTGATTTTCTTATATACAACATCATGTAAGGGTCACTCAAAAAAAACTTCAATACCCCAGATTCCATTTCATTGTTGGAACATATCGTAGCAACGTGGTCTATGAGGTTAGGCGTTTTTTCAAAGTAATCGTACATGGCTCCACAAAAAGCTGAGAAAAGCTGAACAAATTGTAGATGCTTTGGAGGTGTTATATCGTTGTCGTTAATTCGCCCTGTGTGCTTGCAATCAAAATCGTTTGTATCACCATCAGGAAAGCCTCCAGCTTGCTGAACGAGTCAATAAGGGAACTATGAGGTTGTCATTTCTACAAAAATGAACCCCTGTTAGAGGGATATCTTCATGCTAATGCTGCTGATACCCTTCAATTTTTGTCAGTACCTGTATCTTGCCCGGTTTTCTTTTGTTTATTAAGACAATCACATGACTACTCTTTTCTTTAATACGAAGACAGCTATGCAGACTATTAACATTTAGGACTGCAAAACAAAGACCTTTTTGTTGCCCGATTTGCAAATGTCTATTAAAACCACCAGAAACGTTACTTTTACAGAACAATGAAAATCTACGCCACTGTCACAAATTTTTGAAAAATCTATGTAAAATGATTTTGAAATAGTAACAGCACTTGTTGACAGAAACACTCTTCCTGAATCAGACCCGTTGGGAGATTCTTGCTGCCCTCTTCCTGGGGATAATAGTCGTGGGAAAATTAAAAACTACTGATTGTAATTGTTTCAAACTGTTATTCTACATGAGTCCTCTAATCTAAGCTGTGGATGAACTGTATGTCGCTATAACACCAGACGTAAAACCTTCCCCTATCGCTGCATCGCAGAAACTTTTCGTTTTAGGATGCAACAGACTTCTCATCCTGGTTTTCATATACAGCTTTCACATATCGTAATTCTTCGCCAATTGTCTTTGACTATCCCCGATTGTCGAAGTTTTCACTCAAACCTGAATAAAAAGCTTGGGGAGACTTGCAATTTTAATTCCTCAAACAATTTTGACAATTAACACTGATCATGTGCTCCATGTGTTTATCACTGTTCGAATCACCATATTAGATTAGTTTTTTAATGTGAATAACCAAGCTAGCTTTGCGACTGAAATTCAAAGCACTGGCCTAATATCGTACTTCATGAAAATAAAAATCACAGTCAATTTCTCAAGACAACTGCCGCTAAGCATGCCGGTTGCGCAAGAGCCCTTAACTGAAAATGGCCACTCCTTTGTGACGTTATGCCGTAACATTCCTGATCAAAGCTGTTGTTGGTCTGAAGGTGTTTGGAAAGGCAAATTGACAAATCAAATTAAATTATTTTTATTCAACAACAAATTTTAATAACAGTTTTTAAAGTATGCGAAAATAACTGACAATTATAAAGTCTATTGTAGGGTTACAACATCCATTAAATGTTGCCAAGGACATTGGGACAAACCCATAGGTTTTCTGGCCCAGTGTCCTTTAAATTGAATTGCAATGATCAGAGATGATGGCCGAAGGTTCCCGATGGCCTGGTTTTTTATGTCATGAGCCATCGCAGAATTTCATAGACCATCGGGAAACCGTATTGAATACCTGGATAAAGCAGTGGTAGTTTATTATTGTTGTCATGGCAACTTTAACAAAAGCAACATTTCTGTACTTTTAATCAAATTCTCATTTGAAAGCGCCCGTGGTTTTAGTTGGAGGATGCTTTCAGGATGATTTTCTCGATTCAGCTCTCTTCGGTGATGGCAAATCAGAGATCTCATCTTATACCTTGTGGTTAAGTGATTAATCCTTATACAATTCCTCGTCTGAAAAAACATTAAGTTTGGTATCTTAAGAAATTGTATTAAGACCCAGCATTCTTTGACTTCAATAAAGAAAGTCATAGGCGCGAAAATTTCTTTTAGATGGTCATTCTAAATGCATTTTTTAGGTAAGCCGTCCTGTACAATGCAATGCATACTAATCAAAACGGTCGATTTTTTATGCGCAAATATTTGTCCTAGGGAGATGAGCTGCTTTGTTTCCAATCGCCGTTATTTTTCGGGAAAATATTTCTGGTTGTAGTTTCTGGTAAGCACCACCAAAAACTGAGATATTGGGGGGCCAGGGGGGGGCGTCGGCCCCCCGAAAAAAAGCTTTAGTATTATAAGTAAAATACTGTTAATTGGTCAAATATAGCTGTTTTTCATTTGTTTATCAGGGCTGCCCTCCCCCCCCCCCCCCCACCCAAAAAAAGTATCTCGACTCTTGAGCACCACACATTGGTCTTTTAAAATGATATTGGTGAAAATCCCGTCTTGTTGCTACTCAAATTTTCTGTGCCAGCTTTGGCACGCTAAACTCATATCGAAAACAGGTCAGTTAATGATTCTTTTCATTCATAGCAGTAAACGTTGAGATTCAGATACATAGCTGATAAAACCTTTTTTCTTTTCTCACAAACATGACAGCAATAATGATGCCTCAATTATCTTAAATCACGTTCTATTTCCCCTATCCGAACACCTCGCACATTCCTTACCTCACATCTTTCTAGTCCATGAGCTATTAAAAAACAAAAGTCAAGAAGAACAATATCTTCTTAAGTCAGCAAGGGGTTTCACGTTTCTCTGTATATTAAAGTTCAGTCAATATGACCATTAATGAAAATTGCCAAAAGGATTATGAAAACTTCAAACAATTTGTCTGAATCCTCAACCAGTTTTTTACCTTTTTTCCCGTCAATTCTCAAAAATTGTGTTCTCCATGATTAACCTAGGAATTGGATATCTTCAACTAGAGAGCGTGTTGTTTCTTGCTGTCAAAAAATTTTAATTAACATGTTCATTAGTTTAAATCACAGCAAATATGTTTCTGCTTGGATTTCGAGGCAATAATTTAAGTTCTTGCTTTGCTGTTTGATCTAGCTTGCTACTAGCAGATCGGGAACCGGTTTCTGCTTCCACTGACATACGGTATATGATAGAAAGAAGAACTTTCGACTGTTTTTAAAATGAGGCTTTTTAGCACCTGGCGTTTAAGAAGTGTTTTTTAATCTCGAGATTAGTTTCTTTTAGAAATTTTGTGTGTGGCTTACAACAGAAAGTAAAGGCTGTATGACAGAGGGCAAACACCTGTTAATCAATCAAAGTAAGATGTCATTTTTGACAAACTATCTATACACCTTTGCATCTTCGCCAAATTTTGGACACACCAAGGATCGGCGGCCAGATCGCCCTTGTATTGAAATGACATCCAGGGCAATTTTTTATTATAGGGCTTATTCAGGGAGGAGGGGCTTATTCGAAAAGATGGGGTTTCTAGTTTCATGATTTACAGAAGAGAAGCCAATGCGCGCCGGGATTAACAATATTTGCGAATGTTTTGTGGTTGACGAGGTTTGACGTGATGTGGTTCAGGGCTCTGCGAAGGCGCACTCTGGAAACGGCTTACTACAGTGGAGAAAAGAGAGAAAGATGGCGGGTGTTCACCTAGGTTGTTTGTTTGTTGTCATCTTCTTCATTGTGAGGGATTATTCACTTTTCAAAGTCGAAGCTGGACGGGCATGTTTGTCCTCGGATTATGGCAGTCTTCTTCTACCTTGCAATGAAAACAGGACGCGATCAATTATTCCATTTATAAAAAACCGATGGTGAGTCATTTAATCGTACTTTATTATTCTCGACGTGCTGCTCATTTCACGTCAGGTGGAAAGAAAAGATGTAGAGTTCGCTTTGACCATTTATAAAATCATGATCTTCTTAAGATGTAATAAATTGAAAGCATGTTATCAACTTCGTCAGAATAGGTGACATCGTATCGAAACGGACTTCGCTTTCCTCGACGATAAAATTTCTCATTTTTGCCACGAATCTTCCTTGACAAAGTCAAGTTTAGATCCGGTTTTCAATGACATTAGTTTGACAGTTTTGAAATAGCCGAGGTTATGATATTAAATAAGCTGAAAATTTTGCTTTTTCTTCGATGAATAATACGAGCATCGTCATGAATGTTTCTGGTCGCGCAAATTATTTCAGCTCCACGATTGTGGTCGGAAACAGCTACCAAAAAGCAAAGATCGGCGATGTCCTCTTTTTAACAAATGATACGATTATAAATGACTGATTTTGGTAAAACCAATCAAGTTAACATGGGCATTAATTTATTTTCCAGGAATTGTAGATTTCTTTTGGAAAGGTAGCTAGCTTTTCCCTCGAGAGCAAATTTCAAAAGCGACAGGCAAATGAATATTGTCACCAGTAATTACATTTCATTAATGAATTTTAAAATGTCCATTGTTGGTAGTCTGGTGGCTTTGTCAATTAATCGCATTGTTAGAGCTGAGATTGGCGATTTTTACTTACATAACAAAGCGATTGTAAACAAACACGCTTGTTTCCACCCGTGGACCTGTTTCCACCCGTGGACCTGTTTCCTTTTTAATCATTGTCTTTCGACTAATACTTTGAAAGAGAATAGAGATCTGGGAATCTCATTATCCACAATGAGGAAAGGTTTATATGCGAGAAAGCAGGAAGTTGTGTTTTAACAAAAGCTTAGTGTAAATTTTTGAGATTATTTCAAAATGATATAACTGAAAAATGTGCACCCTTGAAAGGCTCATGCTGCAAGTCCTTGAATTGGCACCCCTTTTTATATGACCCCCCCCCCTCCTAAAATTCTGGTAAGCCCTCACGTGGCTCAACCAAGATACAACTAAGAGATACACTGTTTAGTCCATGATTGATAACAAATCCAGTATGGGATGGAAATCTAAAATAAAGAAAAATTAATGAAGAGACCACCAGAGACCATAAAAATATCAATATTTTGGACTAAAATATATTTTTGTGTTTTGATTTGTGATTTGGTTTGAAGTATTGAATGAGATGGTCAATAAGATTGCTAATCAAATGAACTTTAAAATCATGCAAAAGCAACAAAACAAGCTGCTTCAATGGCAACTTGTAGTTTATTTTTGAAAGCCCCCTCAAATCAACCTCCAACTGAAATGTGCCTAAATTGCTAAGCCCCCAGTGGGGCTAAATAGAGGATTTACAGTTATACATTGAAGGATTTATATTGTATTCATAGCATGTTCGATTGATAACATGTGCAGCAATGAACTAAAAATTAAAATAATTGAGTCATTGACAAGGAGATCATTAAAGACAATAAACATGTCAATATTTTCAGCCAAAACATCTTTTTTGCAATGACTTTATAATTTTGTTTTTAGAAAGGGTTATTAAGTAAAATTTTATATGAAGTGACCTTGAAAATCTTTCCTAAACTTCAAATTGAGGCATTTGTATGGCAAATTGGAAACTTCCAATTGTGATTTTTATAAGCCCCCCCCCCCTGATCATATAAGCTCCCCTCAAAAAAAGCCTTATTATAAAACATGCAAATGGAGGGTTTACAACATTGAACATTGGCTAGGGTATTAGGGGGACATAGAGCCATGACACCTTTGCCTCATTAAAGACTAGACAAACATTTCATCATAAAGGAACAAAGGGACAATATTTTTGCTTTTTTGTTTATAGAACAGGACAGTACTGTGTTGCTATCCCCAGTGTCAAACTAGGTGAAACTCGGAGTAACATTTTACAACCTTTCTGTTCTATACACTAAAAGACTGCACAGGCCTTTCCAGGAGACCCATGCAAACCCCTTGCAAACCTATGCTAACCCCCTACAATATTAATTCATGAAGGCTTCTTTCCACCCATTCAATTTTTTAAACCGTTTTTTAAACATTCTCATTTTATCAGTTTAGCTTCCCAATGTTTGTACTACTTACTGCTAGATATCAGGGTGTTAATAAATAGAGAGAAAGATATCTTTTACGTCTATATGTTTATCACATGTTAAGAAACAATTGTATTATCTGCCAAAACTTGCAAAAGAATAGGAAATATGTTCGCGCGAAAGGAATAACAGATAGGGTGATTAATGATACAAATAAATAAAGTGAGAGACATTACATCGTGCTGTCAAATACGAAACAATTTCTTTTCAAGTCACAACATATAAACTAGGCATTCCCAAAAAGACCACATTTGACTGGAAAAACCTAACAAAACTTTGCTGTATTCCAAAAAAGTTTGTTTTGTTTTAAGGAATGGTAATACATAGTTTAAAAGGAAAATACACAAAAATTGCCTTCTTAAAGTGAATAATGTTTAAATATTTGGCAAGGTAATGTATTTTTGCCTTTGTAAATGCTCAAATATAAAGAAATTACCAACAGTTCTACAAGGGCTAAATAGCCCATGCAGCCAAACTGGCAAGGGCTTTTTATAGCCTGTGCTTGGTTTTTTTCCTGGAGAGGCCTGACCGGGCAGCGCTGCCTTTACTGCATTGTGCCATTTATGACAGACTGATAAACAGTAATTTTCATTTTATTTTGGCTTCTATCATTACAAACAGTTTTAAGAACTGGCCATAGTGTTATACACATTGTTTCTGGAGTAAGTTTTTAAATTTATAATTTTCTCCTTTGCGTTATTGGTTTGATATTTTCAATAATCCAGCAAGAGTAAGATAAATTACTTTGTATGTGTTTACAGGAAAAAGGAAGAAAATATTTATGTTAAGCAAATTAATAAATGTACAAAGGATACTTGTAACATTTCAATGAGTTTTTACCTTCAAATTTACCTTATACTGCATAATAACACTAAAATAAAAAATGTAGTTCCCCTCTCAAATCTGTCTTTATTTTGATGTTTCAAGAAAAATTAGATTACACTTTAGGAGAGGTAAAACCAGGATTTTTATTTGCGTGAAAGTTTTAAATTAACAATACCTTAATATGTATGTTACTTTAAAGCATATCGTTTACACACAGACAAATTTTTGACAACTTTGTTGTAATTTGATTTTAATGTGGTTCTAATTGAATGTTTTTTATATTTTGGTATAGTGTAATAATTGGAAGGAGCACTGGGTACACACATCCTCAAACTTTCAAGCAATAAATAAACAATAATCTAATATCAATACATAACAAAGACTCAAAAATAGAAATCTTGATGCCAAAGGAGATGCTTATTTGACTGGGGAATTATTCAGAAGAGGGATCATATCAATGAATGATGGCTCATTAGGGCTTAATTGACACACACATATGTTTGAAAAAACAAGAAAATTGTTGCCCAAAATACTGGATGGAAAATGATCTTGAGTAGAAAGCCCTAAGATTAATTGCTTAGTGTATTTAAACGACAATTAGTTAAAGGACAATTCCCTTTAAAGCGGTTGTCGCCAATAAGCCTCGTTTTCATAATTTGACAACATCAAAGTGAAGTGGACTTATTCAAGAGGGGACTTATTCAACACTTGATTCTTAAGAGGGGAGCCTATTTGAGAGGGGAACTTATTCGAGCAGGGGGCTTGTTTTAGAAAGGGGCTTTTACCTATTCAATTGTTATGGTAAGTTTTGCCTGGAACCTCCTCTCTACCTGAACATGGTTGCAAGACAATCTTAAACCACTTAATTTGTTATTTCCACTAACATTCTGAAACATTGTCTCGAATATCAGGGGATATGGCATAATCACCATTGGCAGCATCATCGACATCAATCATAATCAAACTTAATCATCAACCATCTTCTACAATTATCATGATCAACAATCATCATCATCTTTCATCAAGACTTTTTGTGGGACACGCGCGATAGTGCTCGAGCGGGCAGGCGCGCGTCCAGACCTAGTCACGGGAGTATTCAATCGCGCGTGAAGATTATTCAGTTTTAATCTTCGACACACAAAACTGTTGCTTCGAAAAACCTTGATGATTCTAAATATTTCCCAACGAAACCATGTTGTATATTACTGATAAATTATTGTGAGCAACGTTTTAGAAAAAATGGCGCTAAAATGCCAGTGTCAAACCAAATCAAACTTCTTGAATTCTGCAGATATTTTTTCAAGATAAGACCATAAGTTAATATTTAGGGGGTTCGAGTCAGGTTTGGGGGTTTGGTGGTTGGGTTCGAATTTTTCCGTTTGACATTTCAGATGGAGCCCCCAAAATAGAGCCAAAGCGAGTCAACTAAACCGACTAAACAGAAAACCCGCCCTTTCTTTGATTGGTCACCAATTAAAAGCAAAGAACTACAAAGTTTGGACTTCTTGTTCAACTACCAACAAGTGCCGAGAAATTACTCAGACTTCTTTCATATAGCTTTTCAAATGAATGCAATGATTTTTGATGTCTCAAAAATGAACTGGCTCTCTCCTGATCCTTCAAATTTTGGAACTAAAGTATGATTTTTAGCAGCGAATATTGGTCAAGAATTGTTCACTACCTTTCAACCGTACTTAAAGCTTCCATTGAGGCAATATTAATATTGGGTGGTTGAGGGCCGTTCTTAGTCATTGTAGTGCGCTGGAACAATCTTCTGCGTGAGTAGTGAGAGCTCTGTTGTTTCCACAGAGGTGATCTGTTTTTGAAATATCTAGACATTAAGCACCCCAGTCTTCCCAATGAGAAAGTATATTATTTGACTCGTATGACATGAATAAGCTCAACCTCGCAGTCTTTGTGATAGTTTCACTGTGACAACTCGCTGGTCCGCGAACCTCAATTGACCCAAACGTCTAACGAAGTTGAGAAAAGGGGAAATCCATCACCTAGACCTATAAACTGTTCCAAGAACTGTGCAGGCTCCGTGCTTCACAGCGCAAAGGTATAATACGAGAAAAGAAAAAGGAATGACTTGAGCTCTGAAAACGTTTTCATAAAATATTGTTGTTTTATACCTTTCAATAGAATCAATCAACTCCTCATGTCTAATGTTAATATTTGAGTCTGTTACCATTATTTTTTTGTATCAGATTCACATCCCATAGTCTCGATCCCAAAAACCATATTGCATAAAACATGAATGATTTCTGGGTCGATCTTCGAGTACAAACGATCATTCGCACATTATGTAACGTAGTTCCTGGACCATGTCGTCATTAACTTACAGTATTCTTGATGTTATGAATCTCTCATGCAAACTATCCTTTTGCAAATCCAACGCCCCTGTCTTATTGGGTGATTTTTTATTACTTTTTCCTTTTCAGTGACCCCACTGCGAATGGTTCCTTTGCGCCAACAATTATTGATAATCTGCCATGTTTGTGCAAGTCGGGCCTAGGCATTGAGATTGTGACAAGTCCTTCCTTCTCGTGGCAATGCGTGAAATGCAAGCCGGGAAATTACAGCGTGGGTGGCATGGTGATTGACACTTGGGAGCGGTGGAATGGCTCCCTAAATGTCCCTGGTAGCGGTTACAGATTTACACCATATTGCACCACCGTTATGAAGAAGGGCATGTGCAACGGATGGCAGCCATCTCGTAAGGCTTATCACATTTTTCAGGCTATTTCACAGAATCACCTTGTTGCGTTGAAAATATAAAAGTCATTTAAGTTTTGACGCTATTTTAAGGATATACTTTGCTAGTAATCAAAAATCTATTGAATTGTCAAAATAATCACAGTGCACACCCTGCAATCTATTACTCACTATCCCCAAAATGAATCCCAGTAATCTAAATTGAATCCTAAGTAATCCAAAATCTATTGAAAATCATAACAAATCCAAATAATGGGACGAATGGCGATTTCTCTGTTGGCTTCTGTACTGATTTCGAGGTACAGCTAGGCGAAAGATAAGTTGTAGCAGTTTGTGTGCTTTAATTTTTAGATTATGTTCCTTTGCCTCAAGCATCAGAGGTAGCATTCTTAAGGCCTGTCATATTGGTAGAAGCTCGATAAGCTTTTAATCAGCAACCCTTTTGTATTTCTTGCACTCTTGATCTTCAATCATATGTGTCTACGTCCAATTTTTTTCGTAAACACATAATTTTCACCGGTTTCCCTTGTTTACTGCAGATGACTTCACTCATCTGGTTTCGTCTCTCGCCATCAATGCTACAGATCCAACTTTATGTCTTGAGAACAAAATTATGCAAACATACATGGCTTTTTCTAATCCTGGAGAAGGAGAAAACTATATAAGCTTCCGTTACAAAGTGGACGGCATACCTTGCCCCAAGAAGGGCAGTGATTGCAGAAAGGGCCTTATGTTTTTCATTGACGATAAACTAGTTCTCAAAGTCGACGTCAAGTTCTCTTGGGATGTTTTCAGACACAACGTATCAGCGGTAAGTTTTGCTTTGCAACTATGATATAAATGATTGTTGTTAATTTGCTCTTATTATTGTCTGCTCATGTTTTCCAGTTAGCATTGAAATTTGCCTCTTGGTCCTTCAACAAGGGTTTTTGAGTGCTTTCCAATATCAGTGCGCTACTCACAAACCCAAAAAGGAATAAAAGTCCATACACTGATCTTGCTATTTTTTGTCCTTTAACTAGATAAGACTTGCGCAGTAAAAGACTTCAAAATGGTATATAAAATGCTTTGTTTATGTGCAAATGTTATTTAAAGTGGAAATGGGGAATATAGAAGCCTAATTCATAGTTTTCTCAATGTAAACCAATCGAAATTGATTAATATCAAAAGCAAGATCACTAATGATATTTATCATCATTAAGATTACAAGATTTATAACAAGATTTATAACAAGGCCCAAGTCATTCATAAGATTCTGAAAGTGTTTGAAATATGGGAATCGAGATCTTATATGTTGTCATGCCAGACTCCTAGTAACTTAACTGAACTTTTGAAAGTACTGTCTGTCCAACTCTTCTCAGAGAAACATCGAACTTTGTCGAAACGTTATCGTAGGAATCTCAAACTATTTTCAATTATGGGTCGGGTGATTATGGGTACTCCACCACACATGCCGCTGGTCATTCCATGGCAGCGACAGCGGGGAATGACTCACTTATAACTAGGGATGCCGTCCAGAAGAGTTGTGAAGGGGAGCTTTGTTGTAGGGAATCTCTAGCAGCTACTCCGAAGACCACGCCCATTGTCACGCCCTTTATACTTGCATTTGTGTTAAAGTCTCTCTGTTGTTTATATGAAATCATTCCAACTATTCACCTAAAGGCCGATAGAAATTGCTCATTCATGGAAAGGCAATACCATAATAAAGGGTTAATTCAGGTTGCCAAGTAACGAATTCCCCAAATCAAACATGTACGACTTGTTTGTTGAGGGGCATTGACCCCCCCCCCAAATAATCTCTCTTTATTTCAATTTTTGCTAAATTTCTAAGAACCTGAAACTATCGATGCTAAAAACTAAAGGGAAGGCTAAAAGCTAACAGTAAAGTACATTGTTTCGGTATAACCCGAAAAGCTTTTAATTACCCAACGGACCGGCAATATAGTACATATATTTCATCTTTCAGTTTTTGTTTTTTTAAATAAACATTATATTTGATTTTGATTAAACTTTCTCAAATGAAGTAATATTGTTAACATATTGACATTTACCATATTTATTATGCTGTTAACTTGTAACTTTAATGTTCATTTTTATTAGATACAAATACGTCACCCACTCGAATGCTCTTTAGGGTTATTTACAAATTTCCATCTGCACTTTTAATTTATCTTTGATGCAACTTTCAACAATCTAACTCTATCTTGATGATTCTATCTAAGTATAGCATCTTTATATCAATGCAAATTTGCAGTTAATTACTGAAAATATTTGCATGAAATGAAATAAAAATGAAATTGAAATGAGAGAATGGGCGGCTGTAAATGGTGCAGCAGTGTAAAGCAGCGCACTGTCAGGTAAAAAACGACAGTGGAACGGTAAGGAACATGTTGCCACAGCAGCCTCTTGTGAATGAAGAGAAAGCAACCCTGATGTAATCTATCAAAACGACGATGTTTATAGCTTGTAATGGAAAAAGAGAGCAGTCCCTGTGTAATCCACCAAGATGACGATGTTTATAGCTTGTAATGGAAAAAGAGAGCAGTCCCTGTGTAATCCACCAAGATGACGATGTTTATAGCTTGTAATGGAAAAAGAGAGCAGTCCCTGTGTAATCCACCAAGATGACGATGTTTATAGCTTGTAATGGAAAAAGAGAGCAGTCCCTGTGTAATCCACCAAGATGACGATGTTTATAGCTGAAGATCGAGAAGATGGTGTTCTGGGAGCTGTTGATCAAGGTTTAATTAGTCAAAAAGTTCTGGGAGCTGTTAATTATTCATTCATATTCAATTATTTATACACTAAAATGCCTTCAGCATATAAAAAAACTAATTGAATTAAATTTAACATCTAAATACGATAAATTATTAGGGCCTATTTGCTGCTCTTCCAGGGAGTCGTGTTTTGAATTAACTCCAGCTCTTGATTTTAATGTTCTTTTGAACTGCAGGAGGGTTGGCAGTGCCCTGGTTGAAATAAGGATGCTGTTCCTCGCAGTAAGAGCTGAATAGTGGAAGCCTTTTTCACATATTCAAGGCTATATCTTGGAACCTGGATGTCCTTGCAGATTCTTGTTTTGTAGTTTGAGTGCAAGGATATCAGGGTAAATTTAACCCAAAGGCTCCCTTGACACGTTCTGTTCATAATCTTGTAGGTCATGGCTAATCGATCGAATTTAAGTTAGGATAGATATACAGGAACGAAGCAATACAACGACGAGAATCCAATGTCACGAGATAACATTTTCAAAATAAATTAAATTCAAGGAATATACTAATATTTCACCCTGGCATACAGGGCTTCATCATTTACTCTGATGAAGCCCTGTATGCCAGGGCGAAATATTAGTATATTCCTTAAATTCAATTTATTTTGAAAATGTTATCTCGTGACATTGGATTCTCGTCGTCGTATTGCTTTGTTTCTTTTTATATCTTTCGTAACAACACTCATTGCAAGATTCACAGAATCCGGCGGACAGCCTATCCTGCGGTTCTTCCTTCTTACACATTAATTTAGGATAACTGGTCATATAATTGGTTTGTAACCGAGCCCGAACTACACAACACCAAAAACGATTCCTCGTCGCAAATTGGCGATGTTCAAAATATGCGAGATTTTAAAGTGTTGTTTAGTATGCTAACGTAAAATATGTTTCCAATTTTTGAGAAATCTCTTTTAGATATATTTCTTGTATGAATCTGAATAGTACAATCAGAAGCAGGCAAGAAGGCCTTTTACTTTCAAGGAGCAAAGATTTTTAATAAACTAACAGACGAAATTAAGTGTGAAACTTCAATTCTAAGATTTAAGACTTTTTGTAAAAATTTTAACTTCGACTTGTAAGATTTCATTTTCATCATGTATTTAATTTTTATTTCGGTAATCCATGAATATTTTAGACAGGTCCTTTATTGATAACAGCACGTTGTTGCTGACCAAAGTTAGCCTGTATAAATATGATATTATTATTATTATTATTATTAGTACTCGGCAAAGAGGTCTTCTCTGACTTATCCATTGCATTAGAAATTTAAATCTCGATCAACCAGTAGACAAATAATCACCGCAATTTTGTACTAGTACCATTTCTCTTGTTACCATGTCTCCAGCATTTAAACGCGGTCACTGTCCCTTGTCTTGTGCGTTCCAGTGGCTCCGGCAATTTCGCCAAAGCCGATCATTTCTCCCGCATAAGTGTATTGTGGGCGGCTTTACAAGCTTATTGCCCCGCGATTTCTATGCACAGTTAATAACTTAAGGATTTTTGACAAGGAGAATAAATACTGTCTTAATGAGGCAAAGTCTGACGAGGTTCCTTATTGACGATTTCTGTTGATTCGGTCATTGCGAAGAACAACTCAAAATTACGTAACTAATTGTATTTTTCAATCCTCGCAGACCATGCAATATCTGGATTTTGCACAAAGACAGAAGTCTTAAATCTAATAGCTATATCCCTGTACCCTGTATCTGCACCCTGCATCTGTACCCAGCATCTACACTCTGCATACGTACCCTTCATCTGCACCCTGCATATGTACCCTTCTTCTGTACCCTGCATATGTACCCTGTATTTGTACCTTGCACCTGTACCCTGCATATGTACCCAGCATCTACACCCTGCATATGTATCCTTCATCTGCACCCTGCATATGTACCCTTCATCTGCACCCTTCATCTGCACCCTGCATATGTACCCTTCTTCTGTACTCTTCATCTGCACCCTGCATCTGCACCCTTCATCTGCACCCTGCATATGTACCCTTCATCTGCACCCTGCATATGTACCCTTCATCTGCACCCTTCATCTGCACCCTGCATCTGCACCCTGCATATGTACCCTTCATCTGCACCCTTCATCTGCACCCTGCATCTGCACCCTGCATCTGCATCCTGCATCTGCACCCTGCATCTGTACCCTGCATCTGTACCCTGCATCTGCACCCTGCATCTGCACCCTTCATCTCTACCCTGCTTCTGTACCCTGCATATGTACCCTTTATTTGCATCTGTACCCAGCGTCGGTATCCTGCATGATTCTTAGCACTTTTTGTTCATTTTTAGGGCACTCATGTATTCAGATGGCGGCACATAAGTAGCTGTGACAAGTTCGCTGGCTTTCTTGATGTTGCATACATCGCCCATGTCACCTTTGTGAGTTTTCTTTCTTGGCGTCTTGTAATTTATTTTGATCCAATTTTTAGTGACCCGTTTTCAGGATCCGAAATTCTAACCTTTGTGCATGCAGTTGGTGGATACCCTTTTGTTCTTTTCTGCGTCATCCTAGTTGTTAATTTTCTGTTGCAAGCTTAGCTAACACCTTTGTTTTTAATTGATTTTACTTCAATTTGGTCTTTCATGATTGAACATGGGTCATCATCGGATTCTTTTGGAACAAATGGACAGTTTATTTTCGCCAATCTAAAGTGGTTTTCAAATATTTGATTTTATATTTTTGATTAGCAATGTTCACACGAGATGATGTGTATTTGTGTCTTTTTTGCTCCAGGTCGGAGGGACCAAGATGCACTCGGTTTGTACGCCTTGCCCCGAAGGGACCTATTCTGAAAAAGAAGGCAGTACGGAGTGCATTAAATGTCCCTATGGATCTTACCAGAACAAGAAAGGTCAAACAAAATGCATGAAATGCCCAGAAAATACATTTTCCCATATCGGTGATAAGGAGTGTTTTAGTTTGCAGAAATGCACCGAATCGGATTACCGTTATGTTCCGGATCCCATCGACAAATGCTTTACGAAAAATGGTGAGGTTGTGAGACAGCAAACCGTTTTGACTCCAACATGGCCAGGTTGGGTAACTTTTTTATCTTAAAATAATCCTCATTTTGTAGTTAGTGTAGGAAAGGGACACAATATCTGGTTGTTCGGTAAGAATGCTGAAGGAAGACAATGTCAAATTTCTTTCGGGTGGTTGCAATAATTTGTTTGTCCTTGATAGAAAAAATTTGCTATCAAGCATCCTCCTTACGATAAGGGTATCCCCATTTCGAATTCGGCCAATGTAAAATAGATTTGTTGAGACCTGGAAAACAGCTTGGAAAAAGCAAGAGGCAACTGTAAAGTTTGTTTGAAGCCAAATGCTGCTTTCTTAAAGTTCTTTGAGAACCGTAACTGTGACAGTAGGGTAAGCGATGTTACCTAATATCGGAGCTCAGCCAAGAGTCGAACAAAATTCAAGGGAGATGGCGGGGTTGAAGGAGTGAATTTTGAGGTAATAGCAACCTTGCTATCGTTATAAAAACCTACCTAGGTTTTCGTTGTCTAAGGCCCTATTCGCACTGCAAATATGATAATGTTTGTCAAACCCGATATTCTCACGCCAATTAAGAAAACTTTTTCAAGATTGACAAAGTTTGTCAGACTTCTTGTTCGCATTAGGCAGTTTTCTGAGATGTTGTATTGTTATCTAACACGTTATCAGGTTGCCATTCAGAAATTGTACCTTTTTAAATTGTGACATGATTTCAAATGGCACCCTGGGCTTTTTTATTGGTGTTAACATAATTCTGACATGTCCATCGAGTCACCCGCTGGTTATCATAGATTTTCACGAGATTGTGATGCTCCAGAGCTCTACGACGGAACCTTTGACCTTACAATTTGTCAGATTTCAGATTTTGCTGTTCGCACTCTACCAATTAAACTACTTCCTGACAAACCCTTGCCGCCTTTGAAGATAGAACAATAAGGGATTAGCATTATCAGGTTTCTAGATGCAGTGCGAATAGGGCCTAAATTAGGAACCGAAAGAAATCCTTTTTGGAGACTGCAGTTGCCAATGAATGAAGAGTAATTTTGTTGAAATAAACTGTCTTGCTTTAATGAAGGGTGAAGAAGGAATGGGGGGCAACGTAGCCTTGCAAAGACTGCTTCTTTGATCAAAACTTTAAGCAAAGATAGAGATAGGGCTTCCGTATGTTGCGTTGATATCGCAAACACTTCCTAGGTCGTTTGACCTAGAATGAATACAGATACGATAATCACCCACCATTTATGTGTAGTTGATCATCAATTCATAATCTAACTGGCCATTAATTCCCCGTCCAAAATGTAGGGGCTTTTTGGGTAGTTCAAGTTTTTTGCTGCCCAGCCAGCCAGCTGTCAATTCAAACACTCGCCCTTCATGATCAGTGTTAAATGTCAATTTACTAGGACGAGTCACCCGAGTCCGCCTCAATGGAACACTACAAAGGCGGTCTGCGTTCCCCTCCTTTTACAATGGTTATACAGATACGGTATTGGCACTTTAAAAATGAAACGTAAATCATTGAGTACGCTCATGTCGCCATTTAAAGGATTTTAGGCCCTTCTTACCCACAATGACAAAGCATTCTTGTTTGTTGAAATCGAAATGAAATTCTAAATTTCCAAAAATTGATTTGAAAATTGCCTTATTTGTGTTTATTTCCCTTGATATGTAATTAAAGGAATGAAAGACATATTTATTTCGGCCCTAGGTATGAAAAGCGGCCCATGTGTTGCCAATTCGGTCCCTGTCTCGCCTGCCAACTGTACGTGCCCGCCCGGTTCCATTCTCAAGACATTGCACCAGACAGATGGCTCGTCTGACAAATTCTACTGCGACTTCTGTTCAACTGGCAACGTTGTTAACGACAAAGGCGAGTGTGGTAGATGCAAGAATGGAATGGCAGCCATACCGGGAATATTTATAAAAGAATGGCCTAAAGGTCCGATTCCAGAGCTTTTTAAGACTCGGTGCTCAGGAGAACAATGCCGAGAGGTAAGGTCCTCCCTTTATCATTCGGTGTTTCAGTGCCAATTCGATTTTATCTTCGCTGATGGTTTTCTGTTGAACCCTTGTTATTGTTATTTAGAGACGTCAACTGATCAGTACGGAGCAAGTCGTGCATAGGCCTTTCAAGTTTTCGTTTAAATAATTTCTTATGCAATGAAGTATTTGAAAGGTAAAGAGAAAGAGGCAAATTGTAGCATCGAACTGCACCGTGTTAGCCAGCGGTTGTAATAAACCATCCATGTTAATTCGCTTCTGATGGTCCTGTGGATTTCTGTTACATTTTTTATAAAAGTTTTTATTTTTTTCAAGAGTGGCTGGATAAACCATGGCAAAAGTATATCGACCAAACGAATTCCTGGCAATTTTGAGACGTACATTGAATTAGCCGATCTAAAGATCAACTACTACAGAGCCTATGTCGGCTTTAACTGCTCCATCGACTGTCGTATAAACCCAACGGCAAAGAGCCTTGCGAGAGTAGACGATTGTTTCCTTCGGTTTTCCTTGATTCGCGATCGCTATATTACTGTTCGGGATGTCGACTGCATCCAATACGGAAGAAACCACCGTCGCAATGGCACGGTCATGAATCATTTCTTTCCAATTTCAACCCCAGGCAATTATACATTGAGGTTTGCTTTCCGTTTCATTTCATTCAACTCATTTCCATTGATTATTTTTAACTTACGACGCCTTTGCAGTACGTTGGTGCCAAGGGGCCGTGTGTTGGTCTTGGCCTGTCAAATACTTCTGTTTTGTCAGGGGCGTATCTGACAACACACCAACTCCCTTTTTTCGTGATCAGTAGGTGCGTCTAGGTATATGGTGCTGCATGCCTTAAACTAGAAGTTTCCTTTAACACATATCACCACCCCCTTCCCATTAAGGAAAGTACGGTAGCCATTGGTATTATTTATTGCCGTTTAAAACATGCTACAGTTTTCGATTGTTGATTCACAAGCGTTTATTTTCAATACCGTACTTTTTTAGTCATAAACACACTTTTCACTTATACACTTAAACTCGTTATTTTCTGTTTCATTTTCATAATCATTTGAAAAACTTTATCCTCAAATATCTTGCAACGGAAATAACATGATTTGCATACTGATAATCAATAAACCAACGAAAAATGAACATTAAAATGAAAATAGAACGTAAAGAGTATTCACTCGTCAGCTAAATGAACATTTCCACCCGAGGGTGTTATGTTTGTACGGTTTATGTGATCAAAAGATTTAAGTTGTCTTCTAGTGTGCACATTTGCGTGTAGGAATACATATAGGAATATAATTTCGGTAGCGATTTATGTTTGGTGCTATGTTGTCTAGCTATTCAGAGGATGTTGGGGGCATTTATGTTGCCATGGCTGCTTACAGATCGCTTTAAGCGTGGAGATTTAGCTGAGAACCAGTTGTGCACACCAGGCTGTTTAAAGCCCTGTCTATTCACATCGCGCATCTTACAGACGCAAATTTTCATGTTTGCCTGTTGCTGGTTGCGATCCACTAATGAAATGCTTTTGCTCCGAGTTCGGCAATCTTCAAGAAAACGAAGTTAAACCCATGTTTCTTGGTTTCAGTGAATTAGTACATAAAACCGTGTTTGAAGACAAATGATAAATAGATTTTCGTCGATATTTTTTCGATATATTAAAAATAGGTTTCTTATTAATGCGAAAGGTGGAATGCCATCTGTTGTTTGCACTAAGTTGTTTTTTTTTCATTAAAGAATAACTTTTTTCACTAAATTTTCTCACTGAAATCAACTTGAATTACCAGTTGTCGTATAAAAATGTTATTTACTTCAGACAAAACCTCGGGGTGCGATTAATTATTTTGCAGATGGACGTTCCACCAGAATGATGACGAAAAGACCAATGTTCTCAGTTACGAAGGCCGGATATATGCGATCAGTATTTTAGGAGTCGAAGGTGGTAAGGTAAATAAGTGCACTATGTGTTCCAGTGGCAGTCAGGTCACAAAAGATGGCTCGTCATGCGAGAAGTGTCCCGTTGGAACATTCAGCTCAGACGGCGTCAAGTGCGTCCCTTGCCCCAAAGGAACATTTACCGACGCAGTAAGCTCAGTTAGCTCTGATCTCAGAGCATGGTTTTTCTCTCGCACAGGATTCTATTTTACATTTTTTGTCTGACAAAAAATCAAAGGTTTTTGTCTGATAATTTTTCTCTCTTTTGTCTGATGAAAAATCAAATGATCTTATCAAGCTTTTCCCTTCTGCAGATACCAGGACAGTTCATATTTTTGGTCCTTAACATTTGAACTCGTAATATTTTCCAAGTTAAAAGTACCAATTGAAAAGGGATCTTATAAATACTGTGCTAAAACATCGCATTTTATCTTTGTTCATTTTCTAAGGTAGAAAGCCACAAGTGCATACAATGCGGAGCAAACACAACTTCAAACGAAGCACGTACCGACTGCATTATCAACAAGTGCCGATTTAGTGCAGCTCCAGGCATTATTTACGATCTGATGCCGATGGCTAATGTTGGTGGACCTATGGTCGAAGTCAAGCAAACACCTAAAACTGGCTCTCACGTTTGGTACCAACATTTTTACTACGTTAATCTCTGCACCCGAGACCACGATAACTCCTCGTGTACAGACTTGCGACAGAAAGCCGACGAAAGTGGCAAATATGTTAGGGAGACGGTAATTTTCGTCCTTGGTACTGTTCTTCCAAGCACTGTAATCAGCTCTTCATTTAAGCTATTGTCCTTTTCAAAGCTATTATTTCTCAGATTGATTTAGTCTTATGTAAAAAATTAAATTCAATGTTAAATTTTTGTTTCGCATACTCTCTCGTCCTTTTTCACTCGATAATCAGATTATCCATTCCAGAATTTATTTGTTTGCTATGTTTCAGGTAACCAACAAGTTTTATGAGGGTTAATACTTTGCTGACACTTGACTGACACTTCTTGGTTCGTGCCCAGCTAAATCGCTGTATATACTCTGTTATTTTTCAGATTATTTTACAAACGATGGCCTGCAAGCGCTGGTCGTTTTCTTCAACCTACTCCTACAGCATCGGTCGGGTCATTGGCTTCAAACCTAAATCTGACGTCACTTCGGGGCTCACCGTTGAACTGACTGATGGCTTTCGCTGTTATAATAAACACAAAAATGAAATGAAGAACGCCAAAACAATAATTGACTTAGTTTGTGATACAAATGCTGGAGTTGGCAGGCCTACCTCCATGGGAAACTTTTCAGGTTTGTTTGTTAGTTTCATTCGCTCTTGTGAGGTAGTCATTTTCATTTGGCATTTTCAACACACAATGCCTTAATTGAACTACAATGAACTTACTCAGAGCATGTTCTTGCTGTTGCTTTGCAAGTTTTACGAATGCCATGAGTAATTACCGAGTTAATCTGAATTAGGTCGTAAGCTCCCTCTGAATTAGGCGCCCAGCATTTGGGCATTTGCCTTGAATTTCAGCCGTTTTTTGTTTGCTTTAGGATAGCCAATCTTAACATTCAAGAATAGAATCGTTCTTAATTCTGCCTAACAACCAGATAAACGTTTTGGGAAAATGGCGAAAATTTAGGAAATGCTTTTGATATAAGATTAAAGCACATGAATTTACCGAACTAAAATACATTTACTGATATAAGGAATTGTAGCGAATTTGGTGTCGAATTTCATCCGTGTATTTAAGCCCGTTACAATTTTAGTTGTTGAAAAGGAGCCATGTACGTTTTATCTGCGGTGGCGTTCCTTATACGCATGTCCAATTTGCGACAAATCAAAGGCGACGGAGACCCACACTGACTGTGTCAATGGCTTTAAGAACGTGACTTACGGTTTCACCAACAACTGTCGAAATGAAACTGGGGGTACCAAAGTCTACGACAAATTTTTTGTTCCATGCAAGGTGAGGACGTTTCTGTATTTTCTTTTCCAGCTAGGCATGTGTAATATTTTAAAGCATGTTTTAAGGCTATACCAAGGCTGTTTCAAACAAGACTGTTCATCATTAGAAGAAATAAAGAAGAAGAAGGGAGAGTTAACTGTGCAAAAATGATTTATTTGAAATTTGCGATGGAATGTGATTTCAGCAAAAAATATTCCCAGCTTAAACTTAAAAAAGCAGACAGAGTGGTATATATTAGCTGGGATTTAAGTGTCTTTTCAAAGAATCGCCAATTAATTAATCCATAGGTTTTCCAAGGAATTTTGTAGTTCCCGTAATTTCAATTTTTGATGTGTCTTCAGGCATAAAATCATATCAATTATTCCTTATCATCGTTTTCATCATAAGCGATTATCTGTGTTATTTTACGCCAACCTCATTTCTTTAATCTAATCCCTCATTAATGTACCAACAATTTTGGTATCATTTCTGGGTATAATCGTATGCATGGGAATTAATCTACCATCAATTTGTTGGTCTTTTTGTTAATGGTTGGAACATCTGGTGAAAGGTGATGTCTTGTTATATGACTATGCTCTAAATTTTCAAAACATAATTCTTTATTAAAATAAATGTATTTTTGCGTTGTTTCCAGGTGTCGGCAGCATCATCTGCACGTAAAGCATTTTCATCTAGCGGCCTGATTGTTATCATTGTCATTTTCGTCTTCATTGCATTCGCACTGTTCATTACAGTTATAATGTTGCTAAGGAAAAATCGGCTGTACCGAAATCAACGGTTCTCCCCAGGCACTCACATGAACCAGCTTAAGGGCAGGGAGGATGACCTTGCCGAACTTATTGACGAGTGATGAGAGGTAAGAGGACGCACAAATATGTTCTTGTTTTGCTTTACTGCAGATTCTTTAGGGTTGGTCGTTGTGAAGGTTGACTAGTTTCGCTCTTTGTTCTGAACGGCGAAATGTCACACTCGGTGGTACAGAAGTTACTGCTACTTAACATTACTGCTACTTAAGATGACAGTCAATTTTATGCCTTGCGTTTTGTATGCCTTCTTTTTTAATTTTCATAAGACTGCCACAATCATATGACTATTAATCCGAACTGTGCTGTGCATAAGGCATAAGTTAACATTTTCAGTATCGAACCAAACGTTGAATATAGTATATTATTTCTAATTATTTCTAATAATTTTGATTTAAACTCTGTCTTGATTTGTTGTTTAGGATTTCTTTTATACAAGAGCATGTTTTTCTTTCCCAAAATATTCAAGTCACTTTTTTAAGCTTCTCGATCCAAGGAATTAATTTCTTTGTTTTTCGTTTTTTTTAAGGAGTTTTGGTTGTAAAATCCAGAGACGCGTCGTACATCGAAGGAGCATTCTAGTCATTTGCTGAAAAAAACAAATCTAACAACATTTGCTTTCAACAGAGATATGATGGTTTCGTGATGTCGGATAAGAGTCTTCCAGAGACATATGATTAGCTTTTTTAATTCTGTTATATGAGATAAATAGTTCTACATTTAGATAACCATATGCAGGCAATTAGCTAGCCATGTATTTATTTATATTTTTCTCCGTTATTCCGGCTACGTCCATTGCAGCGCTACTCAATGGCGTTTCATCAAAGGTCATATTCCCATAGGTTGCAAATCCCCATATTGAAATCCTTTACCAGGATAATTTTTTTCTACTGAGTAATTCATGTTTGCTCAAGAATCCAGATCTCACGGCAGCTGGATGTCACTGACTGCATAGTACATAGTCTGGGATTGACATTGGGGCTGTATACAAAGACGGCAAAGTCGACTCTAACATCATCCGTTGGCTCAATGTTTTATCAATGTTTAGCCAACCCTTTGTCCGTGGAGTATCCAATTTTCTTAAAACGTTGTGCGAAGTCTTACAACGCAAAAACGCAAAGTGAACGCAAAAACGTTTAGGAGTTGTATCCCTTAGTCTCGTTAACCACAATGGCCCTCCCCGTTGGCGACTTTGTGCCCAATTGTTTTTTGCAGATGTTAATAAGCATTATAACTGTTTATATAATCGAAACATAACTCAATAATTTAATTTTTTTCGTTGGCTTGTTAGGAATGCTTCCACGTGAAAGCTGAAATCTGGCTGTAGGGAATTGGTAATCATATAAGATCACATTAAGCTGGACAAAAAGTCGCTTTATGGTGAAAAATATATTTAAAGACGTTAGAAGAACATCGAATAATCAGATTCAACGAAAATCAGATTCAACGAAAATCTCCTCCCTCCTCCCCTACTATCGAGGCAATATCTTGATGTTTATATCTATACAGTTTTTTGGGTCATATGATATGTTCACTGTTAGGTATTATCACTTTTGACAGAAACTTTTGATTAAAATGAGCATTTTTCTCCAGTCAAGTTTATATATTTTGGAAGAGTTCATCCTTTTTTCATCGATTGCGGATTCTTTGGTTTTATCTGTGTTATAAAGCGTTGTATTTTTTGTATGGACCAGCAGTATCTAGTCTATCCAGGCTTGATAAATAGCAGAATAGAACGTGTTTGGTAACATATAGAACAGTCTTAGTGCAGGGCATTGGTTCTAGGACACCAGTGGGAAGACAAGGTCGTTTTATTCTTATCTTAGGGCTTGGATAGATACAGTATAGAGTTCTTGAGTGTGACGTCGTGAAAGATGTATTTTTAGAATTTTGCCCACATATCCTAAAAGAGCACCATAAAATACTTCTAAAACTGCGAAGCAGTTAGATTTGGATAATTGTAATTTTTGCTCTGTTTACACATTTATAAACAGAAGCCAATTTCAGAGCTTTAATTTTGAAAGGCCTGTGCTCATGTGGCCATATCTCATATTTCATAATGATCTTTTAGGATATGGGATCAAAATTAAAAAATCCTAAAAATATATTTTGTGGCGTCATCACTTACGTGTTCTGTTGGTTGCTAGCAGAGGGTTCTCAGACATTTCTTCTGGCATTGCACGAGGTCTCGTCACCTGTAGCAACACCGTCTTGTCTGTATCAATGAAATGGGATATAATTTGATTCGATATACATTTTTTTGCTGTTGTCAAGTTTTAGATAAGAGGGGCCCTTTTGTAGACTTTATCTAGATTTGTAATTAGGATTTATTCTTCAAATTTTGATAGCCTTTACATGTACGTGATTTGTAATCGTTTAATCATTTAGAAATTATATACAAACATGTCGCTTCACTCCGAGTATTTAGTTTCTCAGCAATCCTTTAATGACGCGAAGTCATTGTAAACCATGTAGTAAACATATGTAAGCAACTGCACAGGAGCCCGGCTGAAACAGTCATTGGATAAAGTGCCAATCGATAGAATAAAACGTTTTCAATAGAAAACCATATTTTTTGTCATCAGTTATTTTTTTCAAAAGAAATGCAAAATGGAAAGACAATATAAATAGCACAATGAATGACTCGGTATGAACACGACACAATAAAAAAGAACAAGTTCACTGTAGGAACCACCAATCAAGACTTTAACCTACTCAAAACATTTTTTTTATAAAATTACAAAAACTGTGAAATATTGTCTGTAGTTCGAGGTTTCGGAGCAGTGTAGAACGATTTCTTATGAATATTTGTAACTATCGATTAATCGGCATTTTGCCTTCCAGCGGATTATAATTAAATTTTCATAGTGAAACGAAATGCTAAAGAGTAAATACATTCAAAAGAAACATGTTTAAAAGTTTCATAGATCAGCTAACCACTAAACTCAATGCGAGGATAAAATTCAGGAACAAAGCAAAATGGCGACGAGAATCCAATGTTACCATGTAAAATTTCAAAATAAATGAAATTAAACGTTTTAAACAATAGGTTCTTGCTCTCTACTTTATATAGACAAAGAGTTTCCCCAGCCGCTGTCGTCCCTTCGAAAAGGCTATGGCGCTATAGTGTTCAATGGTCTGAGCCACTGATCTGAGCTGGTTACAACCTTCCTTCTCTCCGCAGCGTCCGCAATGCTCGCGTCAAGCTCATTGTTGCGCATGCGTTCTTTAGGGTAAATTAAGTGCGAAGTTTTGTCGATTGTAAAAATGCTGAATATCGAACTGATAGTAAAACCATGTGTTTTGGAGAACTGCAAGTCGAAAATGAAGTAGATAACTATTGCACGTTAACGGAAAAACTCAAGTATTTGTCAACACGAGCATCAGTCTGGTTTTAATGGTTTAGTTTGAAGCAGAAGGCCCTGTTCCGTATTTGTTTAGGCCGTCCAGATCATATAAACAGTTGCAGACAGGGCAGCATTACACCTCATCGTGTTCTTGCAGCGGAAAGTTTAATATTTTCGAAAGGATTTTCCATATTTTTGACGGCCAGTTACTTATTGACGGGTGTCCAAAGGCCCTTGAAATATACACAGCACACCACTCATGGTACAGAAGGAGAGGACCAATCGCTCATATTTCCTGGAGTGCGGAATTGAAAAATTAGACTAAACTCGTGAGTCATGTTCGTCTTGAATATTTATGAGGCTAGGATTTGAACTGATCACTATCAGTTCAGTTTTACTCTTTTTAAATTCCCATCTTCGTTCTCGTAATTCAGTATACCAAGATTTCTCTCTGTGAAATTTCATTTCCTCATCTAGTTTTCCATATTACTGTATTTGGACTTCGCAGTTAATTATACTATATTTAGACTTTTTGTGCTGTTTATTTTTAATTCAAAGGCATTATGTTTGAGTATTCAAAAACATTTTTCATGTACAGAAAAGTCAAAAAATAGATTTTTCAACTTGTCATAATGCAATCCTCTTAATAATGATTATAATCATGGAAAAATTCTAGAAAGCATTATAAAGTTCGGCTGACTTTTTTGGTTGACATTGGAGCATCTTTTTCTTTTAAATGTGATTTGCATTACCTCTTTGGCATTGCCAGCATTTGTGATGATCTGCAATTTTCAGTATGGTAAATTCCAAATGGAAGTATTTTACTTAGTTGATACATGATGACATATGTATATTGTCTTGTTTAGTAGCTATGGGTACATTGGCAGTTGAAAATTAACAATTTCATCTTGAGGGCCTGTAAGGGGTATTTGAAATGTGAAATAATTGAGATTTTTCGAGAAAAATATAGTTATTTAAGTTCTTTAGCTCTGAAATATGAAATAATATTGATTCCTAGTATGAAATATCAAAAGAGCCAAAGTAGCATAATATTTATTCAAATATTTCTTGAGGATGCCAGTCAATTAAAAGCTATTAGAAAATTATCAAATAGATTATCATAGCATTGGCTTACATGGAATATAACAGAGTCTTATAAATGTTATATACTTCAGTCCTTTTCGTGAGCAAAATTACGCGTGTGTGGCAAATCGCACATGTAAACAAATTTGCGCGTGCGATCGCACTTGTAAGAAAATTTGAAGTACAAACCTGATAAAATTGGTAAAAGGAGCAAGAAGGGAAAAGCCACCCGAATCCGTGCAAGAGCAAAACTCAATTAATCAATACATAAAAGATTTTGTTGCCCTTAGCAGCCATCTTTTAAAAGTCGTCGTCACTCTCCAAAGTTACAAGAGCAAGTAAAAATTGTTTCCAACAGCTACTTGCTTTCAGGGCCTAATTACGTTTTGACAGGAAATCAGTTATTACACTTAACATGCTAATGGCGACTTAGCTTAAAGACGAGACGCTAAGTTGAATGGAGCACTCAGTCAAAAGCCAAACATCACTTCCGAAAATTGGAAAAATCATATTGTGGTCAAAAGTGCGAATCAAGTAACAAGGGAAAGGATAAACAATCATGAGACCATGGGAAATTGATGTTAAAGGGCCTCTCCAGCAAAAAAAATGTTTTTTTAATGACTTAAAAGTTAGCATCTGGTGCGTGTATTATGACAAAGTCATTGTTTTTGCAAAATTCCAATTAGTTTAGAAGTTGTAAGGCTTTAAAGTTGCACCTTTCCGAACAAAAAAACGACAAAAGCCGAATCAGTTTGGTGACATTCTGACGTCACAATGTGCGGCTCTCGTTCGCCATGAATTTCGTATATCACCGAAGCGTGAAGGAGTCATGGTCACGCGGTGATAACTGCATCCAGTTCCAGTTCCTGTTCCAGCTCTTCCCTCGCGTATAATTAATCGAAATTGTCACTTCAGCTGTTCTCCAGAAACGATGAACAACTAAAGGCTTCAGAGTTGGTGTCTGAAATGCTCAAACTGAAAGCTGGTGCCAGACTGGAAACTTTGCTTCTTGCGCGGGCAAGTTTATTTTGAAAATTTGAGACTGCGCGCCTGAAATCATGCACTCTTAGTTATTTTTATTGTTAATAATGTTAAATCCCATTGTCAAGGGATCTAGGGGATTTTGCGCGGCCAATATGCAAAAGCGCGCAGAGGTGTGCGCGGGCAATATATTGCGGGCGCGCAGCAAAGTTTCCAGTCTGGAGCTGGTGGAACAGAACTGAGAGTACCATCACTTGCAGTGTTCAATTTGCGAATCGCCGTCGTTCGATTCGGTTTGAGGCGAAACTATCCGAAATACACTGTGACGTCAAATTTGCGTCACAGTGTCACCAAACCAACAATTTTTGTCGGTTAATTCAATTCAATTATCGAAATGCAAGAGCTTATATCTCACACACTGTAAAAAAATATCGAAAAACAAATAACGAATTCGTGATCAGCAGGCTCAACTTCTTTATAAAAATTGCCAATTAAATGCAAGTGCAAAATTTGGCTGGAGAGGCCCTTTAACAGAAAACTGCAAAAACACCTGTTTGCGCGTGTGGTCAAAAGCACGCGCAATTTAACTTGCGCGTGTGCAGGCGTGTGCGGGTGCGATCGCACGCGCTAAACGAAAAGGACTGATACTTTTGAAATATGTCATAATGGCAAAATTTCACTATGAAATACGAAATAATGTCAACCTCCCTTATAGGCCCTGAATGTGACTTAATTTCCAAATTAATTGCATGCTTTTATTGCTGACTGGTTTGAACTTTCTTGTCAAATGCTTATTCAAGTCATCTCTTTTCAGTTATATTTATTTCTATTAATTGTATATACTTTCGGTATATTTTTATAATCTTTTAATTTATCAAAATATACCACATCTTGTCTTCTTAAATGCATCATGGATCTTTAACAATGAAACATCTGCCACATAAACTTGACAATAAAGATTATTAAAAAATTTCTTTCTATAAGCCCCATGAAAACTTTTCATGGCCAATTATAACATTATACTGGTTGTGGGTAACTTCAATTTTCTAAGTCTTATGAATGTTTGCCACAATGCATATTTATTATATGATTGTGATAACAAGAAAATTGCAAATTTGAACTTTTATAAAAACATAAGGCACATAAGCCTATTCCTTTTGAGTTAACAAGCAGGTTCTGAGAATTTTCCATTTTTCCAAATCCATTAATCCTGCAATACTATCCTTAAAATTGGTGTCTATCTCAGAAATACTATGTTGCATGTTCAAAAATAGATGTAATAATTTGAACTGCCCCTCTGTTTGGTAAAACAGCAATATAGACAATGTCAGCATCATACAGAGATTGAATATATACCCAGTTGTGGATCAAAATAGGCCAATCAGAAAAACGCAAGCACAAGACCAGTATAGTTGACCAATCAGTGCCGCGAGCCTAAAAAAAATTACCAATGGAGCCAAATTATAAAATTACCAAAAATTATCTAAATTACCATATTTTGAAGCCATATTTTGAATGTCCACAAGTATAATAATATTAGTTATCACTTGAATTTTTTAAATTATTGTTATTTTTATTAATAATACAACTGAAGGGTAGAAGAAATTGTTTTTTGAGTATTTTGAAAATTGTTAGCTGAAAACTTATAAATATTTAGTTTTACTTTTATGCTTTTGGTGTATGGAACAGTATTTTTCTTTATTGCTACTCCAAATTTCACACTTTTGCGATCATTAGGCAACTGTTCACAGAGACAACTGTTACCTTATGATCACATTATGCATGAAACTCCAAGTAGCAGCTTAGAGCTGTCCTGTTCAAAAGAGTGTACAGCCCTGCCTATAGGGCATTAACCATTTTATGACAAACAGATGACCATTAATTTTTTTTTTACATTTTCACAATTTTCTATAGATTTTTGTCTAAAGATAACATCATTATCTCAGGAAATTTGACACAACCAGCTGAACATTTTCAGTGCTTTAATTATTGTTTGTTGTGAAGTTGCCAAACAGCAAAACTGCAGCTCCCTTGTTCCCTTTACTTTTTTCTATGTTTTTAGTACTTATCATTATTGTACTGAAGTATACCTTGCCGAATGCTGCCAGAATCAAAATTGAATATGTCTGAGTTTGGGATATAGAAAGGGCCATATTCAATTCACACATTTTTGTCTGTTGATGGGGAAAATTGTTAGCAAGTTGTTGAAATCAAGGATAAATGATTAGGAGCAGTATCCTTTTTTGTTGGCCCAGTACATCTGATCTTTCCCATCAACAAAGTCAGACAACCAATGAATAAAATGAATTATTTTTTCAAGCATTTGAACCTTCAGAGCCCTTAATAATGACATAATTTAAATTTGTTTGTGCCAGGGTATGATGGAAAGAAAGCAGAGAAATGGCTCTACAGGAAGTGATGCATTTATTACCTTACAACAAAAGGTAGGTTTCTTATGTAACATGCAGCAGTTTAATACCAGCATTCACAGCATTAAAGGAACAACAAGCACATTGGAGCAGTGCTGGGTATTTTGAGTGTGTACTATGTATGGTTTGAAAGTATGACTTTCAAGTTTGTAACTTAATTTGAAATGCTGTTGAGAAAACAAGTTTTTGCACTAAGCTGTTGAGTATAAAACTAGAGGAATATAAACTATAAACTAAAGCATCAATCTGTTAGTATTTCATTTGGTTTCGTGGAGTGATATTCATGCTTAAGCTAACAATGTCAGATAGTCTCTACAAAAATTTAAGAGGTTTCAAAGTCTTAAAATTAGCAAGGCAGGTGGTAAAGGCATGCTTAAATCGAGGATTTTTATGATTAGAATTGAGAAAGCAGACAAGTTTCCTCTATGGTATTCAGATTAAGCTGAAATAGCAAAAACCAATTTCTATTTCGGCTGTGTTATTGCAGAATTAGTAAACATTGTGGGAAAGAAATAAGAGGCATCAATAATTGATGCCCTGTCGTTATGTCTGCCAAAAGAATATGTCCCGCATCTCGCAGTGAACTTTGTCAGTCAAGACTCCAGACTAAACAAAAAATAAATTTTCTCATTCCTTTGATGTTAAATACTGCAGAAACAAACAATAGGGCCGTCTGCTTTGGCGCTATTTTTCTCAGTCGACCGTAGCGTGTTCCGTGAGTTCTCGTTCGTGTCAAACCTTCTAAGTTTGCTATAGGCTGTTTTCATTCAGTTTTTATTCAAGTTCCAAATAGGACAATAACGACTGTTTTCAATATTTCTGCATGTCATATTCTGTAAGCCAGTTCACTTGTATTTTTTATATAACTTCGGTGGTTTTATTGTGATTTTGCAATTTTCTCTCTCAGAATGACGTCAGAGTCAAATTGGAGTACCAAGGAGAAAGAAGGTAATAATGAATTAGAATGGGTAGTTTCGAGGTTTTCAGTTTTGCTAATTTTGAAAACCTATAAAATGGGTTAGTTTGAGCTTAAAGTTCTCAGTTTAGATTACAAATTATTTCTCTTTGTTTGGTTATATTTATGAAATTGTTTCCGCATCATACTACGAACTTGGGTCCGCATCATAATACGAACGTTTTTAAATTCGGAGGTATTATGATAGCTGTACCATCTTCTTCAGCTCGATGAAGCTATAATTCGCTCTCTCTAAACCCAAGGGCTTCTAAAATTCAGTCATTTATTGCCATTGAGTGCCTGTTAAGCAGAGCAGTGAACCAATTTTTTCTCATAAAGGATCATCCCTTTGCCACGTCCTGTCATGTTGGATCGACTTCAGGCAAAAATCAAGGCCGCCTTTGGCAAGAAGCTCACCGTGAATTACGTCAACAATGCGGTAAGGAGACTCTCTATTTTCAATATATGGCAGTTTCAAGATAAACCCTATAAAGTAATTGCATTGTTGAATGTGTTTCTGAACGTGATTTGAGATCGGTTTACTCAAATTTCCGTAGCAGCGAGGTTCTGCGCTCAGAACATTAGCGTCTTTTTCCAGTTACTCAGGCCCTTGTTCGTTGGAAACTGCCTTTGACGGTCATGGCTCTTCGTGCGCGGCCTCGTGCTAACAACTTAAACCATGGTATAAAGTCAAGGCAAGGTTATACCGAGTACTGATGTTTTTAGAACCGTATCTAACCACGGCAGACTGGCCTTCTTAAGGATATACACTTTTCTTTTATAAGAACCAGGCTGTAAGCAGTGCAGTTGGTATTTAGTATGATCTAGGGGGATGTCGAGGCCTCATTCACCGAAAAGGCACCTCTGGATGGCTAAAATCTCCTCGCCTTGGCGATGAGACTTTTTAATGGGGTTTCACAACATTGTTCATAATTACATCGACAGTAGCTCGGCCTCAGCCTGTTCTTAATTTATTCTTAACTTTTTTGCCATTTTTTACGCTCGTGTTTTTATAAAGAATGTGTAAAAAACCATATATGAGGTAGGAAAACATGGTTCCATTGAACCGCCTGTCTTTTGCATATTGCATCGCATGAGAATCCATAAATGTGGAAAAGCAAGCCCTAAATACATGAACAATAGCTACACATGGCAACGGAAATACTACTAAACATAACCTAGCGTAGTGAATATCCTCGGGATGCGAATAGTTCACCTCAATCTCTTGCAATATGATTTACTCACCTGGGCTCACCCTCCCCTCCCTCACCAATTATTTTCAGAACTGTACCTAAATGCATGCACAAATGATGTTGGTGCATTTAGGTACAGTTTCGCCCCCTCCAGCCCCTCCCTCGAACTGTTATATGCTTCTTGGTCCCTAATGCTGGACATGATTCAGAATTACACATTTTGTTTAATATTTGCTCAACTCCTGCAGTCTACTTCATAACGATATTCTGCTATCGGCACGCTAAAAATGTGCTTATCAAGCTCGGAATAGCATCCGTCAAGCTTCTTCTCAAGTTATGCAAAATATGATTTGATTCTTTTGTAGATTTCAATCCCGATCGAGCACCAGGAAGACCTCGATGGGGCTATTGCTCTTCTGGACCAAAGTCCATTAATCACAAGCCTGAGACTGTTCCTCACAGACGATTACGAGGAAGCACGCAACGCCGACGATGGCTATCCTGCTAACGGATCGCCCTTTGACCACCCGTTTCATACATTTCATAGACGCACGTACACCGACCCTGATAAATACCCCTTTAATGTGAGTATTGGTTGCGACGCAGGACTCTGAAACATTGCTTTGACTCTAGATTGAATCAAGCTTGAATTTATCCATATTCTGTCTCCTCAAAGGAAATTATTCTTGACAGTGCAACAGTGCAGGTTTTTGGACAGTGCATTACGCATCTGTTTTCTTTTCACGACACTGAAAATTTCATTTTACCAGCCTGTATCTTCATACGTATTGTAAACATGCCACTAAAGCAAGGCGACTTCAGTTACTGTCGAATGGAAAACCATTTAAATATTTCTGTTTTCAAAACTGCACAAAAAGCGAGACTATACTATTATACACAGGAAATTACTGGTTCCATACTTTTGTCTAATTTGACGTCTTTTTAGGGTTTATTAGATCTGAACTGAAGGGTTAGTAATAAGTGATGTATTGCATTGAATGTGGATTTTTTAGTGAATTTTCTTCCCCCTTAATTGCTAATTTTCAACATAAATCAAATGACTAAATGACATATCCAGACTGCGGGGTAGCAAAATTGGTGTTTTTGTTGCTGCAAAAAGCAAACATGGGTACGTTTTACAAATCTACGAGCAAAGAAAGTATCTAAGAGGGTCTAGCTTTATATGCCTTTCAGTGCTCGAAAGCTCTTCGCTAATGAATAAAAAAGAGATACTCAGTACATCATTGATACTATTTGACCAATTAGAAGTTATTTATACAAGTGAAAACAAATGAATAGAAGATATTGAAGAATCAAATAGGTAACTCTCTCAACCGCCGCCTGGTAACAGATGGTCTCTTTGAGTGTTCTTGTTGAACACATTTAGAGCTACTCAGGAGAATGGATTGAAAATATATTTTGGGAAATGCCAGAAGTTTGTGAGAGAGGCATGTTGTCTGAAGTTGTCTAATGTATTAATTTTATGTTGAAAGAAGAAAATTTAGATAGCGGAAACTGGACAGTAATGGAAAATATTATTGACCATTCTTGAAGGTAGAACTGTCTTGCTCTGTCATTGTCTGCAACAGAACCGCATGTTCCTTTATCAGGATCCGAGATATAGTGCGCATTCTCGTTGATAAGTGGCTATTCACTATCGCTGCTGTCGTTAGAGGACAAGGAAAGTAATATTTATATAACCTGTTACTCATAGCTTGAAAATAATGAAATACTTTCTTGCATTTCAGGGGAAAAGTAGGCCAGTTCCAGTCAGGTAAGCTTTACCAAAAACATTCCTGGTTTATTTTATTTATTTTGTTTGAAAAGTTTGTTTTTTTCAGTTTAATTTTTCGTTATTTCTTTGCCTCTGATAACCATTATGATCTTTGATATTTCTGGAGAATTCCAAGCAGAGCTATCAGAATTCTCTCATGTTACAGTGATTCGAAATGTATGCCTGAAAATTTCTTTTTGATTCTTTCTGATATTTTCTCAATTTCCTTGAATCTTTCTGGTTGTTTTCAGATCGAAGTCAAATCCGGAAGAAATCCCCTTTGGCTCACCAGACTCTCCAGACCTTTCCGGATTACGGTCCTATTCGATGTTCATTTCGTCAAATGGAAGGGGATCCCCTTCACCACCACCGGGCTATCACCCGGAGCCAAATTTCTCATCTCACACTCAATCTTTCCACACAATTAAGGTAAGAAAAAATTTGCTGCAACAGTTTTTAAGCCAGGCAGCGTTAGTACCTGGTTTGACATTACAATTCAGAAGTTTTTTGTGACATTTTATGCGAGTAACTCTTGTCCTTGCACATGTTTCTCTTTTTTACCAAGATTTGCTACTGATATCTTTCGTGATTAAGACTAAACCAACTTTTCAAACCAACCATAAGAAATTTTATTCAGAATAAGCTGTTCGTATGCCAAAATGCACTCTTTTATACGAACCAGTAAATTGAAGTTCAGGCTTGCTGTTTTTAATTTTTCGCTAGCTAGTGTGCTCTGGGCGGTGTGCTCAGTCCTCATTTGCTAACAAAGTGAGTGAGCCACCACTTATTTACCGACAAGTTTGAAAATTCACCTGGATGGTTAAAAACGCCTCGCTTACGAGATGAGACTTTTTAAGCGGGTTTCACAATATTGTTCAGGATAACATTGTACAGTAGCTACGTCACGGCTTTGTGGCTTGTGTTCTCATAAAATTGCTCTTATAAAAAAGTGTGTATTATGGCTGCTTGGAAAGCGGAACTTATCTGTTGTAAACTGAAGCCACTTGATCTAGTTTAGAATAGAGAGAATGGTAATGAACTTCCTTTCACGTTTTTAACCGCACCAGGACATCAGCTCCTGGTTACCTGGACTTTCGACATTTGATACTCTCTGGAATGTTGTATAAAAAGAGCTTTCATCAGAATGTGCTCATTGTTTCCGTGTTTCGAGCAGTTTAGGTATTTAGTCAGTTTTCCTATAAATAAGGGATAGAGAATGATCATTGCTAAATTTCAATATAACTGCCCTCATTATTCATTCCTTCATCTTCTTTTTCAACAAGAGCGGCCAGAAACAGTAGAAAGATCTTGTAGGTATTTCTAAGACAATTTACCCATATCAATCGACAGATTTATTGTTTGACAGGGCGAGGGTGAATTTATACCTGAAGATCATGACCATCAAAACCCATTCGTGAGTTCGCTTTGCAAATTTTTAAATTAATGATGCTTGATAATGGCTTTGGAAAAGCAATAATTTTGAAACATAATTCAGCTTAAATATATTTCAAGGTTGTTGCTTTTTTTCAAATCCATTTTCTGTTTTTGTACTTAACGAAAATGGTATTGATGCCTGCACTGTCCATTAGCTGTTCATTTGTTGTCCATCAGCTGGAAATTCACAAGATTTTTGCCGACTGAAATAGGAAACTTAGTTTCAATGCCTCTCTCCTTTAATTGAGGTACAAACATGGGCTTTCTCTCTCTATTGGAGCTTTTTAATGAAATTTCTCGTACGATTGTTTTTGCCGTGAAGGAAGAAGAAATTTCTGATCTAACTTTTTTAATTGTTAATTTTTAGACTTTCGATTTCTTCGACCCATTGGAACACAGTGAGGTACGGTATCTGTCCTGTGTTTAAAAATCCCCTTTTAGTTTTAGAAAATATACATTTACCTTGTCGTCGAAGAGTATCAGTCCTGGCCCAGGCACTGTGGCTTCACGTACTGATGTAAATTGAGATCTATGTTAATTGTAGTTTGGTATTGATTCTTTATTGTGTTAATGTGCTTTCTAACAATTAGTTATTACAAACACAACACAAAAGAAGCCATGTAATTGATATTATCAATGCGTAAAATGACACGAAAGCAAAGTGCTTGTTGCTTGATCTCGTCATTTTCCTGTCTTCAGGTGCGCATTGCTTCGCGTCGAAGCAGAGATAGCATATTCGGATCAACACCAGCATTATCAGACAGCCCTAGGTGGATCTCCGGGTATGTTTAATCATCCATTGTCGTGCAATCGCCTGTCGCTTTTTGTTCACTAAGCAATTTCTGTATAGCTTGTGGCCCTCTTTGATCTAATTTTGTGTTTTTGCCAATGATACAACGGTATTTTTCTTTAATCCCCTCATCGACTTCTTTTCTTTTTTCGCTGATTCTGTTTTCATGATTGTATTTCTAACTATGGACGGTTTTCATTTTGCAGAACTCCAGATGCTTACGCCCTTTATAAAGGGAAACGACGACCTTCGAGCGCTCTTCTGCTCGACAGCTCCATCGATGACTATGGTAAGGCATTGTTTTTCACATGCAGGGAGGTACATGTAACGATTTGGCTTTCCTTTGCCAGGGGAAAGCTGACATATGTCTAAACTTATTGAGCAGGGTTTTAACATCCTTTTTTTGGTGCCTCGTGTGACTTTGAATGTACCAATTGCCTTAAATGCTAGTGCTTCAAAGAGTTAGTTCTTTGGTTTGTGAGAAGCAACTAACTTGCTTTCTTTTTAGAGAGTTTCATCAGCATTAAATCAGGGACGTATCCCAGAAGAAGACACACATCAGAAATGTCATTGAATCACGTCGATATTAATGATGGTACGTATTTACAGTGCTGAAGTTTTCACTTTGTTTGCACTCCGCAGTTGATCAACGTAGCACCTTGCTCTTCAACCAGCTGAAATTGGTCGGATTTATTGAATTCAGTCGATGTGTAAACAGGCTCTCGATGTTTGTGCCAAGGTCTTGTCAATTTCGAGAATTTTCTGTTGTTTTTCTGATGTAATACTTGCAATAATGTTGAACTTATTTCAGATTACCTGTCAATGCCACAGTTCTTGATGCGTTATGATTCGCGGCATAGCGCGGGAAACAGCAGCAGTAGTAGTGGCCTCGTCTCGGATTATGACCCAGTCAAAGATGTTGACCGCATGAGTGAGCAATTCCGAACAATTTCAACAAGCAACAAAGGTACTTTTTGGTCATTTCATTTCATTTCATTTTCAAATTATTTATGCATGGTAGCCCATTCAGCGATGCTGGTTTACAAGGGGCTTCGCATCTAAAAAAATGGAAAAATTAACATAAACCTAAATTTAATAAATAGCTAAAATAAATCTAAAAATAATACAATACACTACCTAACCTCTTCTAGCTTTACCTTCCCTACCGACGTAAGTTTTGACACCCTTTACAATATTTTACTTTCAATCTCCCTTAATATGTCAAATTTTATTTACAATATTTAAACATTTGTTAAAAGTCTAAAGTACGATATTGAAATTTTTTAGGGTAGGGTTTTGAATCTAATAAAAGATAAGGCTTTTTCAAAGTTGAGCAAAGTTTAGTTTATCTATGCGATCCTTTGCATTTCTTTGATAATTTGAAATTTACTATCTTGTTGAATATTTCAAGAAATCATAAAATTCAAATGTTTAGTTGTTGATGCATATTTTTGTTATAATCGTTGCCTTTATTTTGTGAAGAGCAAGGCTGTCCTAGAAATTTCAAGAAACTCAGATTAGTTGGAGCCGGAGCATATGGACAAGTGAGTCACTTTATAATGAAATGCTAAAGCTTTTCATCTGACATTCTTAAGAGTAAAAACATCAGAATACAGTTTGAAAACTCTACGCTAGGAAATATATATATATGCCAAGTTGTGGATTGAGGTTGAGGTTGTCCAATCAGTGGTGCTTCCCTATTGAAAATATTACCAATTGAGTCCTAAGGTGAAAATGAACTCAGTTTTGATTCTGTTTTGAATGAATACTAGCTTAATTAATCGGATACTTATTCAAAATTTTGATGTTGATGAATTGATTGTGGATGTGATTTTGATATTGTTTTGAATCAGGTGTATTTGTGCGTGGACAATGATTCTGGTAAAGAGCTTGCAATGAAAATGGTAGAAACAGCCTTGACAAACCCTGCTACGCAAAAGGTTTCACTTTTATTAAAATTATTTCCTTCAAATTTGCTACGCTTTTGCTGTTACTGTAGTTTCAAACACTTGGCGATCATCAGGCAACTGAACTTCATTCTTTTAACATTTCATTCAAACATTTCATTTTTCAAAACTAATCATCAACTTTAAAGCAACATTTCATTCTATAAACATTTCATTTTAACGCCAAAACTAATCATCAACTTTAAAGCATTTCTCAAGGCCGATGTTTATTGTTCCAGATGTTTCTTAAGTAGAATTGGTTCTCATCAATTTCTCCTCCAGTCAAATGTAAACACTCTCTTCATGATTATGTCCACTTTCACAATTTGAGTTTACGCGGTATTTGTTGTTCATCTTTTGCCGTGTGAAAATATAAGTCAACATGATAGGTTGTTTTCTTCAATTAATGTCTGCTTTTTTGTTAATTTGCAGGAGGTTCGCGCCCTAGAAGCTGAAATTCAGTTGTTAAAGAATCTGAATCACGAGAGAGTTGTAACATATTTTGGAACTAATCATGATTCAAAATCGATTTCAATTTTTATGGAGTATATGGCAGGGGTATGTTCAGTTTTCAGATTAGGAGTATTTGCTTCTTTTGCGTGAATTTTGATTTTTTGTGTGCAAAAAATGCAGTATCCGATGCGTTTGTAGTTTTTGGCTTTACTAGCAGCGCAGTCCCACGTGATCACAACTAAAACTGCTTTAAGAACATCCGTCAAATTACATACGATTTCTGATTGCGTTGTATTTATGTGTCTACTTGTAGTTTCTTATTCTCTAGCCAGGCCTTTCTTAATTGTAATACCTATCCCGTTTTACCTTCAAGTTGTTGACATTTTCAGGGCTCGATACACGATAGACTCCACAGCGAAGGGCCAATGAAGGAGAGCCAAGCAAGAAAGTACACAAGACAGATATTAGAGGGCGTCGCCTATTTGCATCACAACATGATTATTCATCGAGACATCAAAGGTAAATAAATTGCAATGCCGTTGATCTGTAGTTTATAAGATTCCAGTGGGGTTCTGCTTTGTGGGTTTTCAAGATGATGATACACAACCTTTATAGGATATGGTATACTCGTCGTTCCTTTACTAATTTCAGCATCTATCAGCAGATCTATCGTAGATGGAATAAGATTTGAATTTCGTTTATTGTTGCTTTAAGCCCTGTTCTATGTATTAAGCCTATTCGATTGAAAGATACTATAAAGTGTTTAAGCTGATTTAGTTACTGTTACTGTGCTGCAGGTGCGAACATCCTGATAGACGCCACGGACAATATCAAATTGAGTGCTTCGGAGCATCGCGGAGACTTCAGGCAAACATCCTGATAGACGCCACGGACAATATCAAATTGAGTGACCATTTTCATTAATAGGAAATGTTCATTTGTATTCATCTGCTGATTCAACATTGATTTAACTGAGGCATCAGCTAGTTGCCTTATGTTCCGTCATCTAATATTTCACCATACAACTGTATTAAGTCGAAATTTCTTTGTTTTCGTAGACGATTCGTACCCTGACTGGGTTTAAGTCGATTCATGGAACACCATATTGGATGAGCCCAGAAGTCATTAATGGAGAAGGCTATGGTCGCAAGGCCGATGTGTGGTAAGTCATCAGAAAAATAATAATAATAATGATAATAACTGTTAATTTAAGAGATTGGTCAGATGTAATACCATCTGTTATTATTGAAATACCATCTGTTATTATTCAAGGACCTTTAACCCTACCTAATAACAATCGTTTAGGTAAAAAAGATAAAAAGTATCGTAAAATTGCAATAATATATTTACAACTGAGTACAAATATTTGAAAGCGTTTTTCCATTGAAATCTAAAAGTAAAAGTAAAAGCTTAACGTTTAAGAAAAAATTGAAGCAAATTCTACGAGGATTGCACTCCTTAGCATCAGCAAGTCAGCACTAATAGCAAGTCCTATTTGATCAGATTTATCTTTTTATGAAATGAAGTTAGCTATTCATAAGCAATATTGTTAATTTTCAGATTCCAGAAACCATTTATATTGTTCCAGGTAAATTGGAACATGAGTAGTATGAGTCGTTTTTAAAACAATCTGGTTTTGTGAAAGGTTTCAAAAAGGAGTTTTTGCAGACAATTGTTGATATTTTGCCCAACGTCTTCAATTTTGTTGCAGGAGTGTAGGTTGCACTGTTGTAGAAATGCTGACAACAAAACCGCCATGGGCCGAGCTTGAGCCAATGGCAGCGCTCTTTAAAATCGCAACCCAGCCGACAGATCCTCATGTGAATTGTTCTCCAGTTGCAAACGAATTCATACGAGCTTGTCTTCAAAGGTTTGTGTTCTTAAGACTATGAAGTTTATACTGGTTTTGAGTTTGTATTGTCACGTGATCTTGTAGTGTCACGTGCTAGTTGACGCGCCAGTTTTAAATGCTGGTTAGTCATCAAGTGAAAGAAACAAAGGAACTTGCATAGGGCAGAATATGCGTTTAGATTTGAGCTAAAAGCAAGTTTAGTGAAATATCCACGCATAAACGATAACGAGATCGATTGTCAATCTCCAAATTGTTTCAAGTGTCCAACTCATGTTAAGTGAAGCAAGCACATGTTTTGAGAAGCTATTTTGAGGAGGGCTTTTGCGTCATGTTGTGTAATGACGTCATTAATCAATGACGCAATAATATATCCATGTGGTATTTTTTTTGTACTGTTGCGAAAGCTTTTATTTTTTTGACATTGTGTTTTGAGTGATTTACGGATTATGTGCCTAAGAAAAAATAGGTGGCCGCAATCTCTGCTCGAAAACTTTATTGAGATGTCACGAAGGGATACGAATGTAAGCACCTAGCTGTTTGGATGTATTCGCTGTGGAAATTCTTTAGAAATATAACCATGAAACTACTCTCGTTAATCGAAGTTTTTCAATTCTGGGTTGATTATCCTTCTTTATTAAAACAAATATTGTTAGTTTAATTCCTGAAGTGCTTGAAGTTTTGAAAACCTCTTTAGGTAACCTTGATATAGAGAAAACACGTCCAACTTCCTACTAATGCTACGCTAGAGGGCCCAAGCTTCCGTTCTCCAGATACCCCAACCCCCTCCGAGCAGACTGCTTTTTGTATTGCAACATTCATTTTTTGATATTTTGAAAAGCATTTGATTTTGTGTCTGTTGTGACTGTTGTTCTTTTTCTTTTAGGGACACAAAGGCTAGGCCTTCTGCTACAGAGCTACTGTATTATAAATTTACTTCGAGGTTAGGTTTATAGCAGTACTTTAATCAATTGACTGGGTAATGGTAATGAAGCACTGTCATTTAACTACCTCTTTTAATGGTTTTATGGTAGGTATTCTAATGTTGCACAGGTGATTCGGTGGTGCTTCTCTTTGTGTAATGTTCATTGGTGAATTATCGGAAGTTTAAATGCTAGGCAATTTGCTAGGCAGTTTGTATCCAATGGATTAGAGCGGTGTTTACTGCCCAAAAACAATTTAAGGTCGTCTGTTGATTTTTAAGTACTTGATTCTCTTTTTGAGCCATGTTTTAATGCATTATAAATGTCATCACTACTGTTTCAGATACGTTAAGCCTGAGCTCTGCTGAACTTGTCATTTCCCTGGCTTTCCACCCCTTTGATTTCGCCCACTAAATTCATAAACCATTTTTGTTGTTTCAGTTTGATGTCAAGTGCGTAAATTAAGTTTGATAAACTTTTTTAAAATTATTTTGCATATTTGTGTATATTATGATGAATTCTTGTTGAAGAAGGTAGCCGGTAGCCAGAACCTTCGTTCTTAAGACTATGACCATTTTCTTGTTTTTTGGTGCGTCATTGGAATATACTAATATGCTTGTAATTGTTTTGATCTTCCTTTACCTAATTTCATTTCTACCTTTCGGTACTACCTGTCCTCCATGATTTAGCTACATTTCCCCCTTTTTTACAACCACTCGCCTTTTTTGGCCTCCTTTTATCGTCTTCCATCCCGCATTTGTATATCCTCTGCCTTTCTTGGGGCCCTTTCCCTGAAGACCATTCCGCATCAATATTTTGTTACACTGATATTTGTTTCGCCATGGTTATTTCCAGCCTCTGTTTTGTTTAGTGTGCTTGTCCCGACCAGCGCCATACTCAGCAGTATGCGCAAGATATTTTTTCAAAAACCTTGAAAAGTTTAGTAATATAGAGGATCATTCTGAATTCACAATTTAATCATGTGATATTTATAATTGAAGTAATTTGGTAGAAATTTCAAAATAGCATTGCCTGCCATCTTGTACTTTTGGATGAAAGAATTAAGCTTACCATCGAATGATTAAAATGTTGCATTCTTATATTTGCCGCAAGAAAGCCAACGGACAATGTATGGTAAATAGAAAATTGAAATTTCGATTGATTTTAGGCTTAGATTGATTCTTAGATTAGACACATGTTTTTTAGATTGAGAATGATTAGGTTGCCATTAAACTTGGAAATATTTCTCTGTCTTGGTAACACGATACGCATTCATGCTTTATTTTGTATTTTTCTGTGCTTGACAGACGTCGCTTGAATTTTAAGTATTTTTGATTGTTGATAAGTTGTTAATTTTTGTTCTTAGTGTAGAAATATTTAATATGTAAATATGTAAAAACCTTATTTTTATGAATATTAGGAATTGATATTTGTTAATATGGATCATTGTGAAAACCCAGTCTTGAATTTTCAAATGTCTCATATTCTTGGCCTTCTGTTTTCTTTATATGAAAATTCAGTCAACTTCCTTAAAATCCGAACTTTCAATTGAAAGAAAAATTTGTTCGCATTATAAAAGGTTTGAATTCTCAAGAGTTGGCCTAAACAGGTCTATTTATGAAGAGAAAGAGTTATCAAACAATCGAGCTGTGGAACTTTGGCATAGGTTACAATAATAATGCTTTGTTGATTGACCTTCCATCAAGGTCACTACATGGCGGACTCATCTTTTGCAAAGTGATTTTGTTGGAACATCGCACGTTTCTCTCTTGGGCATTTTGTGGAATTTTTAGAGCAATTCTTTTCTGGCTCGAGTGAGTCACAAATCATTCAAAATCGAATTAATTCGGATTTGAGCCTTGAAATTATGATTTTCGCCGTCTTGTTTGTTGAAGAGGAAATTGAAAAAGGATTAGGAAAAACTTAGTGCTGAATTGTGTTTTGCATAGAAGAAAATAAATGAATAAATAAGATCGAAGAAAAGCTTTCGATATTTTCAAGGCGCGATGGATAAAGATCAGAAATTTTAAACAGGAGAGGAGGAATAATAAGAAAAAGGGATCATTGATAAGTGAAGCCCAATAGAACAAGGATTTTATGAAAGGGGTGCGAAATTGACGAGATATGTATATACTTGGTTTTCATTTTATGGGGGAGTAATTAAGCGCGTTCTCAGCTTATCTCACCACACCATTCTATTATCAACTATTTTGTTTGCGCCCGCACCCATCCACAACTCTGCTACGCCTATGAAGCCCAAAGGGTATTTGCTATTTTATCTTGTCTTTTTTTCACTTTATAGACATTGTCTTTCGTTGCATGCATGGAAATTTTCGGTCTCTTTCCGCAATAATTTTGAAATTTTCTCATGAAATCGAATCATACCATCGCTGGCGAAAAAATTCTTGGCTCCACCGTGGGCGTCGGGGATGTCAATCGTTTAGTTTAGGGGAGCTTGGTAGGGATCCTGCCCGAAATTTTTTTCAGATAGAAGTGACCGAATGGAGCGGGAAATACCTAATCAATTTTGCCTGATTAGGGGGGCGGCAGCCCTTCCACAGGCACCGCGAAGCGTTGAGAATTATGGGGGGTCTAGAAAAGTGCTGACATCGAATAGAGAGCGGCTTGACTGGTGATTCATTGGTAAATTTTTCGCACTTTTTGCAAAATACCCCCAGCCCCTCTTTCCGCGGTGCCGTTTCCAGTCCTTATGGCTCAATGAGCGAGCTTTGCATTCCGCATGGATGCCGGTGCATATTGACACCGGAATATTCCGCAGATGGAATGTTGTTGTTTCAGAAGCCAATAATGCGAAATCTGAGAAGGATTCCCAATTCTATGCAACAGAGATTCCAATTATGTTGAGTTCAATTATGTTGAGTTTAGGAAACAAAGGAAACCTTTTGTATTTTTAACAATCGCAATTGTCTGTGACTAGTTCCCAGGCTTGGCTACTAAGCACAGCTACCGCGGGGATCGGATTGTTAGGGATGGCGGCAACTATGTACAGTCGGATTATAAACAGCGTCAAACATTGAAACGGGTCAAGATCTTGCAGTTTTCTGTTGTATTTTAGGAGTCGCTTTTCAAATTCATAAAAGTGCAAGCGAAGAAGATACTTTTCCAATTGAGTGTATCGCCATGGTCCTAGTGACGCACTTCTGAGTTGTCTCTAAGAACGCTAATAGGCCAAGAGAGATAATCACGCTAAGTTTGTGTGGTTGGCGGTTGCTATTGGTGGAACCCATTGATCATTTGCAGCCTGAAGTAGGAAAACGAGTTGGGATTTGGCTAAAAAGCCATCGCACAGCTAAACAGGATACTTGGAGAATAAATTTTATGACGGAATACGAAATTTGAGCATGCTTCTAGTGGAGTGCTCAAGGAAAACAAATGTTTGTTTTTCCAAAAGATCAGTTAGCACGCAACGACCAAGATTTTGGCCAATAAACCTCCTTATTTTTATGAAGCAAATTTTGAATTAGTTGAAATTATTGCAGATGATATCAGATTAACACATTGATTTAGTGGATTATACAAGTTTATTTGTAAAATGGCCGATCAGTCAGGTAAAGAGTCTAGAGATTTCCAAAGACCTTTGTCTTCAAAAAAGACTTCTCCACTTGCTAAAGACATTGCTGCAACTGTAGATAGACTTAGCCAGCCGAAACGTCGAAGGAATGCTGCACGTCGTACAAGACTTGTTGAAAGAGAGAGAGCAAGCAGGGAAGACCTTGAAATGGGTTATCCAGTTTCAACTGAAGAGCAGTTTGTCAATTTTTCTTCTGGAAGCCTGTCTAGACCTAATTTGAATGAAGCAGATAGCCTAAAAAATATTGCTGAATTTGAAGATAATACAAGTGCTAAATATTTGTCTCCTACTGCAAAGTCATCCAGCAATCTGGCACGTGTGCAAGCCACCTCTGTAGAAAGATTAAGTAGACCAAAATCACGAAAGAAGGCAATGCATCAAAACAGATTAAGTTTGAACTTAGATGAGCAGTGGAAATCACTCGAAGAAGCTTTTCAGTCAGGGTTGCAACAGGCATCATCTCCTGAAAAGACAGAGTCTGGATTTACAACCCCATCATCTTCCAGAGAAAGTATCTGCAGCCAGAGTACCAATGCTAGTTTTGGATCAAGATCCTCAGTATTTAGTTCTAGCATTTATGGCAGAAATGCTGTAAGTCGATCAAAGCTGAGTGGCACACACACAGAAATGCAAAGAAATAGAAGTAGCGAGGTTACCTATGGAAGAAGAAAGGCAAAAAGTGAAAGGCTTTTACTTTCAATGAATAACTTGAATAGTGCATCTCCAAGCAAGGGAGGGTTTGGCTCAAAATCATTGTCCCCTGACTGTGCAATCCAGCCCACACAAACTACCAAGAAAAGTCGAACTGCTTCAGTTGATAGGCTTCCTGTCATGTCACGTTTGACTGCACCTACAGTTAGTAGCTCTTTAAAGCACAGAGTAGCCTCAGAGACAAAGTTAAAACTGGAGCGGTCAGCAAGCAACATGTCATTGTCTTCAAAGGTATTAAAAGGAAGTCAGAAGAAGCTTCATTCTAGCTCAGGTTCAAGGTCAAAGAAGGAAGATGGATTTGGGGTTAAGTTATCAACTCTGTCAGGTTAGCTCATCTTAATAAAAATGCTTAAAGTTAGTCCTATTATTTTTAGCATTTTTTGAGATTGTTAGTTTTACCAGTATACTGTGTGGTTACATATGTCTGGTGTCTGGTTAAAAAAACCATTCATTAAGAGCTTTCTTTAGTGTTGCCAATAGTGCATATTTTGTAATATTTTGATAATATAATTTCAGCTACCAACAGAATACAAAAGAGGGCATATTGAAATGGTTTCCTGTACAACTTAAATGTTTATAGTTCAGTAAAAATATTTATTTTTTGTGGAGTTTTTAATGTTTTGCTTTTGCGTTTATTTATTCCTTGCATTAAATCTTGTTGAATTTCAAATAATCAATAATTTTATTCAGTTTTAAGTCAATTTTAGATCTAGAGCTCTTTGATTCACCTCACTTTTGTATCTAATAGTGTTTAAATGTATTTTGCATACATACATACCTATTTAGTTGATTCATTTGCTGTGCTATGGAGTGTTTCCATTAAACTAAAGGTCGATCATCTTTCAGAAAACCAAAAGAGGACTCAGAAGAAAGTGTTTACAAAATGGATAAATGCCTATTTGGAACAGGTTGGAACTTTGCTGGATTTTCTTGTTTGGTTTTAAATTTGGATAATTTTATAAGTCAGCTCTCATGATCAGAGTTATCTCATGATTGTGTGTTTGATGTTAGTGCTCGTTCTGCTTCCGGGAAAGCATGTAAATGTAAGGATGTGGATCATCAAATTCTTACTTATATTCTGATATTTTTAATTGTTATTTATCTCTTTTTATAGAAATAGTTAAGTTGATAAATACATTGGTACCTTTATTTTTTTGTTATCTGCAGGGCTTTTCATATTTAATTTAGAGAGGTTTTTGCTAGTTGTAATAGAAATAGATTTGTGACTAAATTGGCACCAAAAAACAAGACCAACAAGCAGTTTTCAAAGATGGAATTCCTCCTGCACAAAAGAGCCAATTTTTTGTTATGTGCCTGTTGGAATAGATTTCCTTAATTAGAATTTTTACTGATATTGAATGATTTATATTTTGTATTCTGTATTTTCAGCTGGAACCCCCTCAGAAAATTGTTGATTTATATGATGATATGAAAGATGGAATCAAAATAATTCGATTGATTGACATTTTATCAGGGGAAAAACTGGTTTGTATTTCACATCAATTCTCTGATTCAATATAAGATTTTTGTGTTTGGTTTGATGAGGTGGGTGAAAGTGTGGCATAACATTGCTTGATTTCTCTTCTTTGAGTTCATGCTAATCAAGTAGTAAGGCTGTTGATTTGTTAATAATTAGTCATCTTACAAATTTCTTTTTGACTTAACAATAATTTTTTTATGTACCAACTACATTTTAATCACCACATGAAATTATCTGGCTTGTATTGTTTTTAAGCCTATTGAGAAAGGAAAAAGGAAAGTCCATCACCTCAGCAATATTGATGCTGTACTAAATCATCTCAAAAGCAAAAAGGTATAGCTTATTTCTACTTAGAGTTTTGCATGATGCCATGTAAGGAAATAGGAAGGATGTCTTTCTTGGTTGGATTTATTTGATTGCTGTCAATCATCTTAGCAGTCAAATTGAGAAACTAAACCTTTTCCATGAAATGAAATCTGGCACATCCCCTTTCTTGTTTGTGTATTCTAGAACCCATCTGAGTAGGAAATGTAGATAGACCTCTATGTGAATGAGTTAGAAGCACATACCTTGATGTAATACATCAGAACTAACAATCTCATAGGAGAGACATCTTTGTAATACAGCATTTACTTTTTGTATGACATTTGATTA